GTAACATAGCAACCTGCTTGGTGTAAGAGCATGGTCTGGCCCTGCCTGTCTGCGTGTTCCTGGGGAAGGCCTTTGCAGTTGGGGGATCCAGTTCCCTTATCCATGAAACAGGGAACAATATCTGCCCTATGGATAGTGTCAACCTTGCATTTCACATGAAATACCTAGTGTCCTTAGGGACTGGGGCGGGCGGGTGTGTGTGAAACCTGCCTCTGTATAAAACCTCCCTCTACTCAGTCCGTAGGCCACAGGAGTCCTGTGAAACTGTCACACACATGGTTCCACTTCTCAGACACAGAATCTGAGCCCGGGCAGGGCCTGGGGTGGGGGTGGGGCTGGAGCTGCACAGTGAGCCAGCAGCCACACTAAGCCTGGGATAGGACAGCTGATGCCTCTTTTACAAAAAAAAAAAAAAAAAAATCACAAAGACTAAAAATGCGGCTTGACCCTAGAGTTCCAAAAATGGCACACCTGAGCTCTGGGAGGCCACAGATGTCCTTCTAGGAACAGTCCAGACAGTGCTCAGGATGGGAAGGGGACCCGTCTCTCTCAGGAGACAACCCCAGCACGTCTCTGTTCTACAGCCAGCAGCTGCCACCTAGTAAATGGAACTGTAGGTTGAGAAACAAGCTGGTACTCATCTGGGACCAGATCGTCTCTGGTTTTATCCAGTAAGAGGGCTCTTCCCCTATAGTACCCTCAGATGGGCTCTCAGATGCCCCCCAAAGGCTTGGCAGCTGGACAGCAGGCAGCTTGTAGATTACCCATACCCTCACATCTCAGTAGACTTCTCTATAACCTTGTGGGGGAAACTATCCAGACGTGCAGCCTGGAACACTATCGCATCAGTCCTGGTTTGCTGCAAGGCCACACAGAAGAAGGCAACAGAGAGCATGTTAGCCTCTCTCAGCTGAGGCACATGTGAGTTAAAGTACTATCAGTGTCTGTGTGTATGGAAGATGCATTTACTGTGTGCTTGAATATAGACACATACATGCATACGTCTTTCACACAGGCACATGTATGCTTACATGTGCATATACATGTTTGTACACACATGCATACATTTGTGTGCATTGTGTGCACAAATACACATGTGTGTATGCATGTAAGTGTTTATAAATGTGTGTGTGTGCACGCGTGTGTAGGTTTCCCCTAATGGGAAGGGACCCCACAGTGAGAATCTAGCTTCCAGCCACAGAGCCTTGTGTACACAGATGACCAGCATGTCTCCCACCTGCTCTAGCACCTTCACCCTCCCTAAAGGGTCCCACTTTACTGCTCTCAAGGGCAGTGGGCACAGCACCCCTGAGATGCTACATTCTTGGCGGTCCCTTTGCTCACAGCGCTCAACTGTAACATGACCAGCTTTGGGCCTGGGTGTAACTGGCAGCCATAGGCAGGCTGCAATTGTGCGAAGCAGGGCTCCCAGCCTGATGCAGGACAAAGCAAGAGAGCAGCCACACCCACAAAGTTCTGCCAGGTCACTCTGGCTGCAGAGCTGCAGGGTTAACAGGAAGCAGAATGGGAGTTAGGAAGCACGCTGGCAGGCCTCCGGCTCTGGGGTCTTCCCGGACCAGCCTTCTCGCCTCCCCAAGCCATGGATACACATCCAATCCCAGTGAGTTCTGAAGGACTGCTCCTCCATGCCGTCACCCCTCTTCTGTCCCAGAAAAAGACTCATCATGACAACCAGGTAAATGACTATATAGAATGCTCCTGTACACAGTGAGGAGATGTGCACAAGACAGGATGTGCACTGGAAGTGAATGGGCCGGTGGCAGCAGACGCAAGTGTGCATGGTGCTTCAGTAACCAGGCTGTGGTCAGGCATGGAATGGGGGAAGTCACAGAACAAGGCTCGGCCAGGGTCTTTGACCCTATGAGGGGCAAGAATCAAAGACCTTTGTTCATCAAAGAAGAGGGTGTCTCTGAGAGGACAGTGAAGGACGTCAGAGGCCCCAAGGCTGAGCTGCTGGGCTCTGAGCAACTCAGTTCTGAGGTCTAGAAAACAGTACCATTAGATGGCAGGAACTGGTTCCACTGACCAAGGGAACACATGAGCCAGCTTTCAGTGTTCAGAAGACATATATGCCACCATTTCTACTACTGGAACTTAGCATTGGTCCAGTCTCTGCACACCTCCAGGAATGTGAGGCTCTCAAGTGTCGTGGAGCCGCTTCCAGATGGGATAGCGCTAGCTTGCTCCTCCGCATCCTGACTGTCCATGCAATTGTCTTATCATAACCCTTGCTATGTATCCACTTTCTCCAATTTGAAACACTCCCTCTTGCAGGGAGGTTCATTAAGACTCAAGAAGTCAACAAAATTTACTCAGCGCTGCTTGCTTCCCAAGTCACCTAAGCAGTAACAGCTGTTGGGGGGGGGGGGTGGAGAATCTGAGCAGCAGTGCTACTTCCAGATTGTGTGTGATGCAAGTTCCAAGAGCGCAGCTTTTCGAGTCCTCACTCTTGCTGAAGCAGGCTTCCAATGATATGCCTGTATTTGTGTCACCCATATTCCTAAAAGTAACCCCGACAATCTCACTGGTTCACTAACCTAGACTTAGGTAGAACAGTGCCATATCTGGGATAAATAGACATGCCATCTCACTAGTAATAAGTCACGAAACACTGGTGGTGACTGCACAGGGGCCAGGAGAACTAAAGACATTTGGGGCGAAGTGGTTGCATGGATCCTGCAGTGGGTGCTGGCATGGGCAACTCAGGCTCCATCCAGCCGAGGCTGTTGAAAGTGAGGCAGTACCTCCCATCTGCGCCTGATACTGCTCTTTGATGAAGCAACAGATAGAAGCAATGTGGTCTTTTACTGCTATGCCGGCCCTTTATGTTTCTCTTTCAGTATACCCCTAGCTGACCAAGACCACTTGATACTTACTTAGAATGGATGACGGTTGGCCTTCAGAGAACCCACCAACCCTCTGTTTAAAAGCAAAGGTTAATCAAATAATGCTAACCCCTGAGGAGAGTTTTACAGATTTGTTAAAGCACCTGGAAGAACAGTGATGGCATTCAAAGGGAAGCACCTACATGTATCAAAGACACTCACAGAAGCACAGGGCTGTTGACTAAAAATTACAGAACCAAGGACGCACTACTTCTCTACAAGTTGTAAGCTATAGAGGCCCCCAAGGCCTTATGAACCATAAAGGCTGTTGTCACTGCTGCATACTGGGAGTAAATAGCAAGATCCTGTTGCTGAAGCTGTCACACATTTTGACACAAGACATGGAAAATAAGGTTGGAAATGGAAATTCTCTCTTTTCTGGCTAGTGCCAGAATGTGCTGCCTGGACTACTGGTGAAGAGGTCACAAGCGGTCATCATCAGCTATGAACGCCCATGTGTACTACAATACTAACATGCCAAGCAAGACGTGCTTGCTAATACAACAGTGGCACAATGGTTATGGGGGCAACCATCTGATTTCCTGTTAGATTGGAACCCTGTAAGGAAGGGCAAGAACCTGTCTGTGGTCCCAGTGTGAAGGCAACCACTGTGGTTTTGTTCACTGGATGTGAGGTGCCTGTCAAATTGCCTTCTAAATATTTGTATTTATACCTATCAATTACTGCTGCTGTCAGCTTTGGCCAGTCAGTTTGGTCAGTCCTAGCGGAAAACTAATTTTTTTTCCCAGTGAGGAGTGTGCAACAGAGACCTGTAATACATTAACTGCTGAAAGTAAATGACTGTTTCTCTGCCACACTCAGCCATGAATAGAAAACAATCAGACTTCTGTACCATCCCTCCAAGGCTCAGGAAGGGGTCAGAAAGAATATAACAGCCTGAGTAAGGAATACTTTGTGGCTACATCTTCCAAACTGAAACATACCTTCAATGAGGAGACTCATGAAGACACAGGAAGGAAGGCCCCTCCTCAAGGTCATAAAACCAGTAGCAGTTACTAATTCAACCCATAGAGCTGCTTGCAGAGTGTGTAGCCTAGGAGACCTGCTCCAGGGATGCAGCTGTCAGGACTCGACACCCATGCTGGAATGGACTTTTCAATAACACAGCTGCCTTTAGTTATTTGTATTTCTGTAATTCCTCACCTATGCTCCTATAAATAATCCCAACAAACTCTTCAGTTTGCTAAGACTTGTGTAAAATTGCTTCTTTAGTCTGTTTACCTATGTGCTGTCTGACGTGAACAAATGTTTGTTCACATCTTCCAGGATAAGTAACAAAACTCACCTTCTGTCCCTAGTCAGGCGTATCTATCTTGTTTTAAGTATTTATTTTGATTTTATCTTTGTACCTGTGAGTGTTTGACTCAACAGAGACAAGATGGTGTCAGATACCTGTCTGGAGCTAGATTTACAGACAGGTGTGAGCTTCATGACATGGGTACTGGGAACTGAACTCAGGTCCTCTGCAAGAGCAGCAAATGCTCTAAACCACTTAGTTATCTCTCTAGTCCCTCACTCCCACTCCTTACCCCAGTACACCAATAGTAACCCTGAGCCAAGACAAGCACACTCAACTGGTGTGTTGTGCTTTTCACAAGCAATCCATCCTCATGGGGTGTCCTGACACCTGCCTCTGCTCCAAGTAGTTGTGTCTTCTGCACTCACTGTGGACCCCTCACCCCTCCCCCCTCCCCCTGCACAGAGCCTCCATGACCACTGCCAGTCAAGCTGATGTAGGCCCTGCTTTGTGTTTTCTGCAGAGACAATGGCTGAGTAGGACTGTGGGATCCCCATTATCCAGGGCAACTTCCAGCTCTCACTCTGGGTTCACATCCTTCCGGCACTCACAGGTGCGCACATGACTCTACAGCTGCCTCCTCTGACCTCCTGATGAGTCTCTCCTGCTTTCAGCTTCCATCATTTCCTACCCTGAGGTCTCCTTCTTTTAGAGGCACCTCCTGGTTGGCAGGGATGATAGTTTCAGTTCCACTTAGTTCTTTTCAGACCAGTGGAAATTCCCTCCTGGGGTTTAAAACTCGTGAGTCACTGAGACGGCACAGACACAGAACCTACCTTCTACAGCAGCCACAAGCTGTTCCCGGTGCTGCTGGTCCCGGGCACGCAGTGCAGGGCTCTGCATGTACAATTCTCCACCACCACGTGTTGAGCCCAATCTGTTCACCAACTACCAAAAGGACAACAGAGGCCCACTAAGAACCCAGGCTTCTAAAGGGATCTGGACCCTCTCGCTAGAACCAGTCTAATGGTCTAATGAGCATGGACCACTATCTTCAGTATGTTTTGCATAGGTGAAATGGCTCCTAACCCAATCAAGGGCCCCCTAAAGAGCCATTTTCTCTTTCTTCCCTGGCCAAGATGTGGCTGCTCTGCTGGAGGTGGGGTCTGGGGGGCATGAGCACTTAAAAAAGAATAGGAACCTGAAACTGGAATTAACTTTAGTTTATTTAAGTCATTACATGGCATCTGTACTCATTAACTTGAGTACTTTTGCTTCTGGGAAGTCTTATGGGAGGCAAGTGCCCTCCAGCCACAGTTGAAACCACATAGAAGTGGCTGGCTTCCAGACAAGAGTTCTAGTAAGAGCTGGACACAGGCCAGACTGGTCTCCACCTTAGATCTGGGGGCAAAGAGCACAGAGATGGAGGCTAGCTTTGCATGAGCAAGGCTGAACTCTGCAGGTACAATGCCAGACTCATAGGGTAAATGTCTCTACATTTTTATATTAATGAGTGACAGCTTAGACCAGCACCAGGTCCCCTCCAAACAGCCTAAGCATCATCTTGAAATGGTGGGGACAATGGCAAGGGGACAAGAAAGCAGGGCCCAGTCTAATATAAAAGGACAGGCTACAAGTCAGAGGACAGCTGACTAGGGATGGTGGGTGACAGCAACCTGATGTCCTGATGTCTTCTGGCTGGCCTAGAACATCCACACCTATACAGTGGAACCTGGGTTCATTCGGGCCACAGAGGATGGCATTGTCCCTTACACACATGCCTCACCTCACACTCATAGTGTCCCAGGTCTTCCTTGCTGGCTGCCCGGATCACCAGCACCAGCACACCACTGCGGGGCTCATTCAGCATCCGGTACTTGTTGCCCAGGGTTAGCAGGGCACCATCCTTGTACCACCTAGAACCATCCGGAGGTACTGTGAGCCAGTGTCCTGCCAGAACCATCTTCATGGTACCCTCAAGATGCTCAGGGAACTTCCTAAAGAGCTACTGGTACTTAAAACCTCTTCTAGGCTGCCTGAGACCCAAGGGTCCCTAGTAAGGTCCCTTCCTGGAAACCACAGTCCAGCCATGTCTTCCCAGCCACGGAGGGTCCTATGTCCAGCAGGAGTCACAACCCCATGATACCCACTTTCCAGTGATCGGTGGCCATGTACAATCTCCCTGGCCTAGGAGATCATGCTGGCCAGCCCTCCCGCCACTGCAGGAGCTGCATTCTCAACCCTACAGCCCAGGCCTCACCTGATCTGAGGGTATGGGGCGCCTTCCACAGTGCAGGTGATCTGTGCGTCCTCCCCCTCCACAAAGGGGGCAGCCCGGACCTTGTTGACAAATCGTGGGGGCACTGTGGGCCGAGGCAAGGGCAGGAAAGAGAAGGGTATCTGTGAGGGAGCCCAGTGAGCTGGGGTGGGGACTGTGGTACCCTCACCTCCAGCAGTGACTTTCCTCTGGGAATTTCTGGGAGGCCCCTAGCCACCGGGCCTCTTCCACCCTCAGGCTTGCCCCACACACCAGCCCTCCCACGGCCTATATTCTGTGCAGAGTCCGTATCATTGACAGTGAGCTAGTGGGGTGTCCATCACACCAGGAAACCCACTCTGCTCACCTTGTACTAGAATCTTCCCCAAGGTGCTGGCATTGCCAGCAGCACTGGCCGCAAAACACATGTACTGGCCAGAGTCTATACCAGTCAGGTTGTCCAGGATAAGGGTACAGGAGCCATCAGGGTCTTCAATGAGGATGTGGTGTGGGTCCACCTCCACGGGCTTCCCATCTGGAAAGCAGGGACAGGCTTTCATGGAATAAGGTCCCAAAGGGAGAACAAGAGGCTGGGAGCAATTAGTCTCTCTCCGCATTTCTCTCTCCCTCTCTCCCTCTCTCCCCCCTCTCTCTTTCTCTCTCTCTGAGTGTCTCTCCACAAGGGTCCTGACTAATCTCCAACATTCTAGAAACAGAGGGTGTTGGAAGCATCTGAACTGCAGGAGACACTCAATAAGCACAGCTGACTCTCGGTCACTCCATCTTCTCAAGGACTGCACTTCTTCCGGGTTTCTTACTTGGTAACAAAGCATACTTGATGTGAACTCCTCTTCCCTCAATTGCCTCCACCCTGAAAACCTAGAGCCTGAACGAGCCATTCCCTAACAGCCCTTCCTCCTCCTCCTCCTACATCTAACCCTGTCCTATAGCCAACCCACCCCTGTAGCAAGACAAGCACCCAGGGTCTTCCCTGAACAACTAGAGACCACTCCCAGCAGACAGCTCAGACCTCAGTACCAGGCCTGTCCAGAGGGTCCCACTCCCAGGTCATGAGGAGCCAGAGCCTCCCCTCTCCAGTTAGGGAAAATGTGTCTCCTGCAGGGTTGTCCCCACTCATCCTAAAGACAGGCACTCTTGAGCCATCTGCTGCCTATGAACACACCAGACACCTATCTTTTAATTCATTGCCTTTGTAAAACTACTTGAAGACTGAAAATAAATCCTGAAACAATAGAGAAGGCAATGCATGGCTCGTAGTAAAGATTTAAAGGGTAGGCTGGGCATGGTGGTGCATGCCTTTAATCCTGACAGAGGCAGAGGCAGAGGCAGAGGCAGAGGGAGAGGCAGAGGCAGAGGCAGAGGCAGAGGCAGAGGCAGAGGCAGAGGCAGGTGGATCTCTGTGAGTTCTAGGCCAGACTGGTCTACAAAGCAAGGTCCAGGACAGCCAGGGCTGTTACACATAGAAATCCCATCTGAGAAACATATACATATATTTGAAGGCTAAGTCATCATACATACATCCATCTAAACATCCTGGGCAAGCCTGCTTCTTTCCTAAGAGAACCATGGGGAGAAGCAGGTACTTTGCCACAAAGAATCCACAGCCCACTGAGTGATGGTGGCATATGCCTTTAATCCCAACACTTGGGAAGCAAAGACAAGAGGATCTCTGTGAGTTTGAGACCAGCCTGGTCTACTGAGTGAGTTTGGAGACAGGTTCCAAAGGTACACAGAGAAACTTTGTCTTCAAAGTTACACAGAGAAACTTTGTATCAAAAAAAAAGTCCACAGCTCTTAATATTTCAAAACAAGTAAAACTAAACACATTAACATTATCCCAATGATTCTGTGTCTCCATGGACCCAGAGGGACTAGAATCCATTTTATACAGCATGTGGGGACCTTAAGAAAGAATGTCAGCTTCCCAGCTCTGCTGGACACAGATGTCACATCTCAGTTCCACCAAATCTGACACTGGGAGGCATCCTTTGGGTGCCAAGGTCTTGCCTTCTACCTCTGGGTGCTCAGTATGTGGCACTCCGCTGTGGACATGCTGTCCCTAGATGGGACAGACTCCATGTAGAAAGATGGCAGCAGAGGAAGTAACTGCTGCCCAGCCCAGCCTCCTTGTCCCTTCCCAGACTGGCTAACAGAGACAGCACAAACCCAGGATAGAAAAGAGTCCAAGGGTTCATGGAGGTCAAGTCATAATCAGTGACCTTCAATGGTGGCGGGAAGCCAACTATGGAGATGGATTGGCTCAGTCAGACCAGGCACTGCCCATGTAGCTTCAGCTGTTGTGGACATCCTCTGTGAGACTAGCAGCTGCTGACAGGCCATCCTAGGGATATCAGATGTGGCTCCTTTTTTTGTCTTGGATAACAGCCAAAATCCTTTTGAGTTCACAAGACAAGGCCTGTAGCATACATCCACATCACTTCCAAGCCTTCAAGGTCCCTTGACAGACCATTTCTGCGGAATCCGTGCTCTTCTGGGTGGTAAGTTAGAGCATCCATTTCAGATGCCCAGGCTTGAGTGTTGCACTTCACCAGCAGGGCTGGCTGAGAAACCCAACATTCAAGGTTCTGTTCCCAATCTGGAGTGCCTCAGAACTACATCGGCATTCACAACAGCCAATCTTTTGAGTCCTCCATGGGAGAATGCCTTATAGGACTCTTGGACCCTGGGGACAGTGTGTGTTCCACCTGTGTCTTCTTGGTCTCAGACAATTGGTTTGGGGTTGGCCTGGGGGCTTCCCAGAGTGCAACAGCTTGCAGTGGACCTTCTGGACTCCCCTTGGGCACTGCTCTGGTTTCAGTGTGGGTCCCCTGAAGGTTGATCTCCAATGCTGACATTAAGGAGGTAGAACCTTTTCAGAGGAGGGCTCTAGGTGAAGTGGATCTGGTCACGGAGGAGTGCCTTGAGATGGGATCGAAGCTGATCTATAAATGTAACTCAACTTCCCAAGAGTTATTCATAGAGCAGGCCCAGCCGGAGTCCCTTTTCCTTCCTGTCTATCAGGATAGCTCCCTCTATCTAACACATATTCCCACCATGATGTCTGCTGCCACACTGTATTGCTGACAGCCAACAGGTGTCTCACCAGGTAACACTATGCTTTTAGGACTTTCAGCTTCCAGTCCCTGATATCAAAAGATATCTCTTTAGTTTATAAAGAATACGGACTCTGGTGCTTTGTTACAGCAACAGGTAACAGAAGCTCGAATGTTAGCAGGCTTTTGCATGGTCTTGGGCAAACTTTAAGTTTCTGAGACTCATCATTTTGCCAAATGAAGTCTCTGGCATAGGAGGCTAAGCATGGGGCTTGGATCTGACCTCTTTCCAACATGGCCACTAAACACATCATTTTTGAAAATCAACTCTTAGCACATTGTGGGCCTCTGATGAAATCCGAACATTCAGTTCAGTTCAGTGATGTCCTATGTGTCCATTCTATGATAAGCCACTTTGAATGCAGTGACAAGCAGTGCCCAGCCAGCCTCACTCACCAAATGGAAAGAGACGATTTCCCAAATTCACATGAACAAGTGGTTACCCTCCCAGAATGAGGTTCTCTAACCTCCTCATACTCTTCCCAGTGCCAAACTGTTTTGGTTCCCTGAGGGTCTGGATCCATGAATGGTTCATTGTCCAGATAAGCAGAAATACAGCAGTACACAGAGCTCTGCAGTTAGGCAGAGGTGTCGTCCTCTGTTCAGTGGGCATAATTCTAGGCCATTCTTGTAGAATTGCCCCATGCTACTCTCCTTAGTTTTGCCACATAAACTAGAGTGGTGGGTTAAAGGAATCCCTCTTTGGGGCCACAAGGCATAAATCAAATAAAGATGAATTCCTGACAGATTGAGGATACCTGACCCAGACTACAAGGACTCTTGTATAGAACCACTACAATATAACATCACTTTGACCCATCATCAGCTTGACAGATGCAACACTATACTACACGCTAGACAGAAGGCTATTGAGAGATGCTTTCAAGTGTACAGAGAGCATGGCTACATCACACTGGGTCCCCACACCCCACCCCATCAGATGATCCCATGAAACCAAGATGATCCCATGAAACCATCCATACTGTTTCTGGTCAATGAGTGTAGCGTTGTAGTTGACATGAGCGATATGGTCCTATGTGGACCTTCTGCCATCTGATGACCACTCACAATAGCCACTCCAGGTCCTGACTATCCCTCATGCCCCCTGGCCCATGCACTTCAGGAAGGTTTTTGAGGTCACTGAAAGTGGCTTCCCCCTCCCAACAAAAGACTGTCTCTTCTCCTTCATGCTCCTTATTGGGATAATAGTCAGAAGAAAGGACAGGGGCTGGCCACAAGTCTTCACTTTCCTGCTAACAACCCAGCCAAGAGAGAGGGGTACCAGGGATGGGATTCAAACTGACCTCTGGCTTGTTTTTATGAAAAGGTGCTTGTCTAGGAAGACACTTGACCTCTGGATGTAAGGAGGGATAGGTGGATGGGTAAAGGATCAGGTTCTGTGCAATTAGAGGGAGGTGGCTGTGACAGAACCCTCCAGCTCCAGGAGCAGTGGTCACAAGTGATCTTCTCTAGAGTCTAGAGATGATACCCAGGGCAGCTCTCTCAAGTGACCACCAGAAGCCAGGCATGTGTCCTTCTATTCTCACCACCCAATGAGAACTAGGCATGATTCAGGATGCTACTGTCTGCTGTATCACAGGAGCAAAAATGTCTTTGTCCTAGACCTTGGGACTTATATCTATGTGTGCATGCATCTGTACATGCGTGGCATGTCTGTGTACATATATATTTGCAATGTTTATGTATGTGTGCATGTGTAAATGTGTGAAGCATGTATCTGTGCATAAGTATTAGTGAGTCTCTATGCCTGTGTCTGCAGTGTGTTTGTATGCATATGTACTGTCTGTGTATACAGTTGTGTAGTATACATATAAATATGTTTGTATCTGTGTGTAAGTGTATACATGCTAGTGTATATCCATGCATGTAGCATGTTTCAGTATACACTGGTGTAAATGTTCAAGTTATATATGTATGCCATGTACATACAAGTATGTGCAGCGTGTGTATGATCTATGATGGAGCATCCACAGGTAGGTGGGTGGGCACAGAGGCACATTTCAATCTGGGGTCTGGAACTAGGTGATTGTCACTATCAAGCTGCCTATCTGCTCTCAATCCTTGCTGAGGATCCCCCCCCCCTTTTTTTCTCTTTGTGTCTCTGTGTGTGTCCCTGTCTGTCTCTCTCTCTGCTCCTCAGCTCTCTAGACTCTGGAAGACAGAGTATCCATGGGACCACTAATGTCAATAGTAGTCCAATAATGCCATAGTACAAGCTCCAGGCCTCACGGACACCTCATATTAACAGTGTCTGCCGTGGGCATTCTGGGCTCTGGCAGTGTAAGTGTGACTTCAGTCCGAGGTTGGCCATGTGAGAAGTCAGGCATGGCCACAGACCATGAACTGGGAGGCTCGGGTGAGCTCCCTGGCTGACAGTAGTATTCTGGTCCTCTCTGTATCACGGACTGATGCTGGGGGACAAGGAAACTGGCTGCATGATTACACTGGGAGGGATTAATATAAACGTACACATGGCAACTCACAAACCCTGCCCAGCTGACTTCAGTCTGGCCCCTTCTGCTGCAGTAAAACACAACCCTGAACAGAACAAATCTGTGAATTTCAGTGAGTCCATGGAGTGAATGATTAAACTGGAAGAGGCTCCAGGGACTTTGAGCCTGCAGCTGCTATCAAGTGCAAGGGCTTTGGGGATTCCCAAACTTGGCATCAGAATTGCAGGTGCTCTTGGAGACCTGAACTTGGCATCAGAAAACCAGGTGCTCTTGAGGATTTTTCAAGCCACAGTTGATGTCAGGAATAAGGTTCTAGGGGACCCATAAGTGCAAGTGGTGTCAGTGGTGAGGTTGGTTGGAGACTCTGCCCTTTACGGCTCCTCTCGTCACAGCTGAGTCATGTGTGTGCATAATAATCCTCAAGCCCAGCATTGTCTGAAGCTCCCTCCATCCTCAAAGCTCTACTTCCTCATGTGACTGTGTGCCTGTTGTGACATGTGGACCAGAGCTGTTCCTCAGTGCCATGGCTATTGCTTACCCAGGCCCTCATGTCTGTCTCTCACTCATGCAGAAGTTTTTAGGCCTATCATTTCAGAGGGCTGTCATGCTTTTTGCCATTGCCCCAAGCCTCTAGTACTCTGGGTAGCCACAACACTATATGACTTTAGGCTTATTTATTTGTTCATCACCTGTTCCCCACCCACCGTCATCATCCTCTTGACCAGGGGCACCTGTCTTCCTGCCTCTTGGGCCTCGGGTACCACTGGACAGACCCCACCTTCTCAAGAGGTCCTTCCCTGTTGCAGAGCCAGCATCCCACAGTAAAGTTGGTAACCCTCGTTCCCGGTACCTTTATACCAGCTGACGACAGGCTTAGGTGTGCCGGTCACCCGGCATGCCAGTTTGACTGTTTCACCCAGCTCAGCAGTGCAGTCAGCCAATTCCTCTTCAAAATCAGGGGGACCTGGGGACACATAGGAGGGCCATCATGTTATGTGGAAAACAGGTCAGGCCCATAGTCTTAATTATATATGCCCTTGTAGGTTACCCCACTGAATACTAGCATTCTGTGTTCAACAGTGTGGCTGCTACCATCTGGTAACCCAACCTAGAATCAAAGGTGAGTAAGGCCAATTGGATGCACAGCAGGAAGGAGTGGGAACCTTGGTTTAAAAAAAGATGAAGAGTTTGGATAGATTACTCAGTGGGTAAAAGCATTTGCTATGCGAGCATAAGGACCTGAGTTTAAGTCCCCATCATCCACATGGTGTCATAGCCTCTTGTGCCTGTATCCCTAGCGTTGTAGGGGAAGAAAAAGGCAGATATCTGGAGCTCATAGGCAACCCAGTCTCCCCCCAAAAAGTAATCTCCAGGTTCAGTGAGAAACCCTGACTCAAAGAAACAATGCAGAGAGTGGTTGAGCAGAACATCTGATGTCCTCCTCTGGATCCAGAACATATACACAGGCCCACATACCAACACACATGCATACAAGCATGTGTGCACACAAGTATAATCACCAAAAGTTAATTTTTTTTTTCAAGACAGGAATTCTCTGTGTAACAGTCCTGACTGTCCTGGAACTCACTCTGTAGACCAGGCTGACCATGAACTCATAGAGCTCCACCTGCCTCTGCCTCCCAAATGCTGGGATTAAAGGTGTGTGCCACCACCACCCAGCCTAATTGATTTTAAAAAAAAAATATGGTTTGAATGACTCTGTTCTGGCTGAGGAAGCTGGTCCAGGGTACAAGATTCCCCCACATCTTGCAGAATCCATATGGATGCCCTGAGCTTGGGGGTCTCTGTGTGGGAACTTCCTGTCATGTCCCCAAGCGTCCTCTTCCTGGTCAGGGGTAATCTGATACTGCACTTGAATTTCCCTGTGAGGGTGCAGCTATTATACTCCTTCCAGAGCTGACAGAAAAGAGAGTGGAGCCCTCTGCTCCCCAAAGCACCCCCAACAGGCAGTAGGCAAGGGCCAAGGCAGTGCCACCCACCTACCTCAGACTCAGGGTCCCAATAGCCTGGGAGCAGCATAGCTGGACAAATAGGGTAAAGGATCATGCCCCCATCCTATCTTGACTACCATGACCCACAAAAGGACACTCACGCCATACAGGCTGGGCCAGGCGCTGCTGGATGCCACAGATCTCCTTCACCCATGAGTTTTTGATGATGACTGTCCGTGCCTGGAGCAGGTACTTGCGTACAGAGTCCTCCCGCTCATGCCACACCTCAAAGGCACGGTCATCCCCCTCTACCTGGTCATTCAGGTCGATGCTACTCAGCTGTGGGGAGAGGATGTTACCACCCTCAGATGATGTGGGATCCAGGAGGGACACACTTAGGTTACCCTGGGACAGTGGGTACTGTTCCACCAGCCTCCTCTCTGAAGTCTGAGAGACGAACAGTCCTCCACCCACTGCCTCTCAGTCACTTGCCCCACAGAACCCTTGGCAGAGCCCCTGCACACACAGACCTTCATCATGTTCCGGAACACATAGCTGAAGGTGTCAGTTCGAGAGTCTCTCCGGGGCTTGCAGATCACCAGATGGTTTCGGAAGAGGAAGACATGCCGGTTGTGGCCCTTCCAAGGCATCCGGGCCCCTGGTGCCCCCTCCCACACTATGAAGTGGCCCTGGAGGTGTGAATGGGCTCTGGTTAACCAAGCCTCCCCTGTGGATGCAGCCCCCACTGACAGCCATGTATCCAGCTCCCTACCAAGGTCAAGCAGCCACCTCCAAAAGCTTCCTACAGTGCCCCACCTCCAGTACCCCACAGCCCCACCTGGCGGATAGGCTCTCCCAGAGCCTCCAGAGTTCCTGGGTAGTTCTCCATGAGTGACACGTGCAGCTTATTCTCAGCACGCTGAGGCAGGGCGGACACCACTGCATAGGCCTGCTCCAGCAGCGCGCAGTTCTGCCGGTTTCGGGCCTTGTTGCGGATTAGCTCCTGGGGTGAGGGCCAAGAGTCATAGATCCAGGATGCTCTGAACCCAGGAATCCCCCCTCCCCCAACAGGCGCAGCCTGCACAGATGAGGCTGGAGCATGTCACCTTCAGCAAGGCCTGGTATTTCTGCACCCGCTCCACTGGCTGCTCCAGGTAGTGCTGGAGTGGAGGTGGGGGTGGCTGCGTGGGGTCCTTGGCTGACAATGTCTTTTCTGCGTATTTCTGTAGGAACCACAAAGGTGGATTTGTGTGTGAATGCATGATCCCTGAGCTAGAGTCACCTTGAACTGGAGGCTAGGCTCCAGGGGTGTCATAGGTACAGACCTGAACCACCTGAGCATGGCTGTGTCTCCTGAAAGCTGACACACACAGCCCTGCACAAGGGACACTAGGTTACCATCTCACTGGTGGTGGCACAGGTCTTGGGCAGCTTAAAAAACAGCCGAGGAGTACAGAGCCTATTGAATTTCCCACTCGGCCAGGGCCCAGGCAGGTGATGTGTGTGCAGTGATGTGGGATGAGGAAGATGAACTTGGGCTGGCCATCTGGACCAGTGCAGCTACACCACAGAGGGCATTTGAACAAGAACTAGAATCTAGGAGCAAGCAGGGTGTGTGGGCTTGTGATAGGCAGGAAGCACCTTGTAGAACTCCTGGACTGGGGTACTGACAACCACTGACTCAGCTTGCACGCGGCCCACCAGGAACTCAAGGTACTTCTCAAAGGCCTCCCGGTTCTTGATGAAGCACATGGCCACATCATCATCAGTGTCACAGGACTGCAGTTCCTTCAGGAAGCTGCCACAAAGGGAACATTGTCAGCACCTTCCTCCACCAATCAGCTCCAGACCTTCTTTAGAAGAAGGCCAGGATCTAATCAGGACTTGAGCCCTGTAATAGAATGCATGTTGAGTTATGTGTACAAGAAGTGTGTGGCTGTGTGCCCATCCGCCTGCCTATGCACAGGTATGACATATATTGTGTGTGCACACATATAAGGCATTTATATGTGGGTTCATATATGTGTAAGTTTTCTAAAAGAATGCTTGCATATATACATAAGCATGCACAGATGTCAACACATACATGTGCAGGTGTATGTGCAATGTTGTATGAACATTTGTGGTGTGCACACATCTTGGTTACAGGTGCATACATATATATGTTCATGTATACTTGCATGTCTTGGGTGGCAGTGAACATGTATAGAAACCCGCATGCTAGCATGTATGTTGTGAGGTGTATATACATGTACAGAATGGGAAATGTTACATATATCCATGAGCAGGGATGTAAGCATAAATGTGCATGTGTGTGCAAATATGCACATACACATCAAGCACATGGGCATGCACAGTGTGGCAGCTATGCATATACATATGTATACACATGCATGTGTATACCTTCACATGAGAATCTACATGTATATGGCTGTGCACACAATACTCAGAGGTAGGCACTGCGGGCTTTACCCTGCATAAGCCAGATACACAGTAAGGGAAGGTCTGCCTTGTGACACACTAGCACAGGTTCTCCCAGCACAGTTCCTACCCACCCATCACGAGGCCTGGTTGCAAGTGTTGCCTATGTGCTCATATACCCATGTGCATGCATACAGAACCACCCTCCCACCTGCTGTGGAAATGGCTGATGTCCTGCACATTACGAAAGATGACTGTCTTCTGGCTGGCCACAGCTGTAGGCACACGGGGAGATCGGTCCAGGTGTTTCATGTGGTGGCTCTCCAAGAACTGCAGCTCACCCACAAAAGCCTGCTCTGAACTCAGCAACTCCTGGATGACAGAGCTGGCAGGAGGAGAAGCCATTAGAAGGCACTCAGGGGCTCCAGTGGCCACAGGCGCCTGCCCTTTTCAAGGCCCTGGGAACAGCAGCATCATCATCATCACAGGGGATGTTTGCTGTCTTATATCCCTGATTCCTTCAACTGCTAAGTTCGGACACTCCTTGCTACTGGAATCCCACTGTCACCTTTCAGAGAGGAGATGAGGGGTACCTGGGATGAACCACTCCACCACATGACTTCCCCACCCTGCCCCGCCCCAATAATGGAAGTAACCAGGCATAGCCCATGAGAGGACAGCTGCAGGAATCAATGTCAAACTGGTGCCCATCCTGTTCTCTACCTCCACCCACCCCTGATACAGAGTAGGCATTCACAGGTCCCCATAAAAGCAAAAGAGGGTAGGCAACAGGTCTCCATGAGCAGTGGGCCAGCCAGGGAAAAGCTCCACCAGAAACTCACCTCAGCCTCATTCTATACTCATCCTCAGACACAGCCTCCCCAGGGAACTCGGGGGCCTCGGTGGGCCCCCACTCAGGAGACAGCTGGTGAGAGACAGGTGTCTGTCAGAGGTGGGCTGGGCCCTGGCTCTGCCCCTGTGGAGGCTCGGGGCTCCTAGCTTCCAAAAGCAAACAGCTGTGCCAGCGTCCTCTGGGCTGGTGACATGAAGACCCTCTACTTAGTCCCCCAGCCAAGTACCTTGAGCCTCTTGTCCAGGTAGGCAGGTGACACCCAGCCCTGCCTGGAAGGGCTGGATTTGGTGGGCTTGGTGCGTACAAGCCAGCGCAGGGGATGGGCTGAGTCAAGGACCTCCACATACTGGCCTTCTCTCAGAATGATAGCGTCCTGCTCAGCCCCCAGGGGCAGATAGTCGGCTGTTACCACATAGATGTCAAAGATCTGATTGGGCAGGGAGAGGAAGTGAGTTGGGGGAGGGAACAGAGCTGCCCTGTCAGGGCCTCTGGCAGCCCCCAGAGAAGATGAGAAGGCTCCCAAGCCCAGCAGAACAGGCTGAATTAGGAGAACTGAGAAGATATCAGCCAAGCCTGTCAAGTCGCAGAACACAGGACAGGAGTCATGGGGACATTTAGTGTAGATACTGGCTCCCAGTCCCACACAAATGGCAGGAGTGTGGATATTCTTCCTCCGCTTGTCCCAAAAGAAGGCACTACACCCTCAGGGCCTCTAATTGGGGCTGCCTATACTACTTGTTCACATCTCGTCACTTGTCCACCTGCTTGTTCCCTGGGACCTAACAGGGTGCCCGCTACACCAGAGGGAGAAGGGGATGGGAGAAGGAAAGAAGGAAGGGCAGGGTGAAAAAGAGCAAGAAGGGCTCAGAAGGAGCAATCTCCAGAGATCCCTGGGGAATGGGCGGAGTCCCTCGCCAGTACCTGCCTCCAGTGTGTCTTGGGAGCATAAGGCAGATGCTGCTGCCATGAAGACCTGTGGTGAACTCTTCCCAAGATCTTCCTGGGAGTCTGCCCCTGTACCTCCCATACCTATATCTTCTCTCTGAGAGCCCCCTCCTCAGAATGTTCCCCAAGGGTCCAGACCCACCCACCTCACCACGGGAGTCCCCATCCTCTGACTCTGAAGAGGATTCTTGAACGCTGGAGGAAGGGCGAGACCGGCCATGCCGAGGAGAGGCAGATGGTGTCTTGGACTCCTCATCACTGTCACCTCCAGGTACCTGGAGCTTGGCTGGATGGGCACAAGGTTGTGATGCCCCCAATAGCTGGATGGTTTCTAGATCATGGAGGCAGGAGGGCTCCGCCCCTGCACAAGAGCACTTGGCCCCACCACCCCCTTGGGACATGCACTAGCACCTCACCCTGTGAGATCTTGGCTGATACCATCTCAGTGATCTGTGAGGTGAGTTTCTGCAGGAACTCTTCTGTGCCCACCTCAGCGAGGGACAGGTGACCGTGGGCTTCTTCAGCCACCAGGGAGTCCCCTGCAGTAGCAAAAGTGACCCTCAATCAACCATCCTCCCCCAGGGGTCTCCTGAGTACTCCCTACACTCCAGGATCATTTTCAGCCCCAAGGGATTAGGACCAGGCTTCCTAATGGTGCTAGGGTATGATGAGGAGACCAGCCTCTAGGACGGGGATATGAAGTCATAGAAGGCTTGCTGTGGTCTGAGCCAAGATGTAGTGGATGAGAACAAGAGGAAACAAGTCCGGACAGAGAGGACACAGTAGATGCAGCTGAGGAACACTAGCTAAGGATCAGCGGGGTACCCACTGCGTAGTCAAGGGATAGCAGCCAATTGGGAATGGACAACACAGCCAGGATCCGGATAGTTACTGGGGGCAGCAGGCACAGTTAAACTGCGCAGGTAGCTTATGGACAGCAGGTGGCCAGCATGACAACAGGTGGGAAGGAAGGAGGGCAAAGCTGCAGAGGGTTCAGACCTCAGTTGTCAGGCTGTATAGGACCTGGAGCATGGCTCATGCCACATCTGCTCTTGTTGCCTGGCTTGCTGGCCTCCACAGCCCACTGGATGTGAGCTCTGCATCTAGGTTAGGCTTCCCTTGGGATCCCATAGGCTCCCAGATCTACAGAAGTCATACATGGCTCTGACTCTAACCAAAGCTCAGCCCACAGGAGTGTGGAAACCCCTAACCCATTGGCAGGAGGCTTCCTTTTCACCTGGCTCGGGGTGGAGGGTGCTCAATGAGTCCATCCCACCTGTACCTTTCCTTTGCCCAGCAAGACCAGCAAAACCTGTAGATTCCAACATCTGGGCTGAGACACCTTGACTTGTCCTGTGGAGACAGGGGCATCCTGAGAGGCCTGAGGTAGGAGCAAACACCACCTTCCACCTTCCACCCTTGGGCAGGAGCTCCTGACAGGAAGAGGGTCTGGAGGCAATAGTCTAGGGCACCAGTCATCTTTTCCACATCAGAAGCATCCTGGGAAACCCTCCTTCTATATTGGGGAAATGGAGGCATAGGAGGGAAACAAACAGGCCCAAGTGCACAGCCTGTGCAAGCCAGAACTGGTCTATCTGCAAGCTAGGGTGGTCTCCACCAGCAGCACGGTTGTCCTGTTTTTTGTTCCCAGACCTGTTGTGTGATCTTGGCCCTGGGCCCTTTGGATAGCATCTACTCACCCTTGCAAGAAGGAAGAAATGAGGGCCTCCTTCACTCTCTCCTGCTCATCCTCTTTGGCCACTGTCAGGAGAGTGGAGAATGTCAGCATGAACTCCTGGGCCCTGAAGCTTTGGGTTCAGATGTACTCAGGACATCTGAGCTGCCCTGGGACCCTGGACTCTTCTCTCTGAGCCCTGAGCAGGGACTGTTCTGAAATGGTACTATCCTACTCCTGACCATGGTCACCTCAATGGTAACTGAGAGCACGAGTTTATCTTCAGAGTGCCAGCCCACAGGGGATTGAGCAAGGCTCTGGAGCAGATAGATCTGCTCACCCTTGAGACACCCACCCCCTGCCACGTACAGAGCAGGGTGAGTGCTGGACCTGAGAGACTGTGAAGCCCCACACCAAACTCCCCTGCACCCGTGAGGCCTGACATGCTCAGGGGGTGTCCTGCTACTGCGGGAGGATGAGAAATACAAATGTTCAAGGTCAGTATGCCCCACCCTTCAAGAAGCCCCTGGGTCTGTGCACTGTCCAGCTCTGGTGCCCCTCCCATTCACATGTACCTCTCTACCCCCGATCCTTCACTCACGGCCTGAGACATGCAGGCTGGCAGAGCAGAGCGCCTGACCAGCAGCATTGGTGGTGATGCATGTGTAGGTGCCCTGGTGCTGACGGCCCACGTCCAGCAGGACCAGGCTATGCTGCTTGGCAGAGCTGGCCATGGTGTAGCCAGGGGTATCGGGGCCAATCCACAGCACTCCCTTCTCTGCCTCCTCCTTGAGCCAATGCACAGTGGGGGCTGGGTGTCCTGAGGGACAGAGGGCAGTGAGTCCATCGCTGACAGAGACAGAACCCCACCAGGAACTGGGCCCTCCCCTAGGGGCAGAACATTGAGTTCAGCTGTCAGTCTCTCTGCGAGAGTTACCGCACCTTCTACCTTCACTGAAAAGGTGATGCTGGAGCCCTTCTTCACTTTCTTGGGGGTGAATTTCTCCAGGATCCGGGGTGGCACCAGCCGCTCATGCACATCTGGAATGACACAGCCAACCCATAGGGACCCCCTGACATAAAAAAATTCCACCCCAGTGTCCTATTCCCAGAGGATCCCCTGAAACATATGCCCACTGGCCATCCACGGTAGCCAGTGCCGGGTGCATCCATTCTGGCTTCCTGCCCATGGTCTACCACCCTGCCATGCCCATCTGGGGCTAGCTCACCTGATACTGGCTTCTCTTCTGGTTCGCTGGGACCTGAAAACACAGAGAGTCAGACACTCAGCATTCATAGGTGCTCTGATCTCTAGCCTCATACACAGTGCTGCGCTGTCCAGGTAGCCCCACTCCCAAGGCAAAGATACACAAACCTCTTGAAACCTCAGCCAGAGAGCCGCAGATCTCATGACTCAGCATGAGGATGGCCACAGGCCACACAGACCAGATAGATGACCTACTATTTCCCAGTTTTATAACCCCCAGCCTCCCCAGACCTGTGGCCTTGATCTGCAACCAAATGCATGGGCATGTGTGCAACCCAGAGCTTAGGGAGCCACATGTCCCAAGCTCTGGCAAAAGAGGCCACAGGGAGCACTGGGTCCCTCGAGCAAGAATGGTTTGGTTCAGGTTTGGAATTCACCAGGTTCAGGAAGAAGGTGTCTCAAGGCCACCATGGCCACTTGTTCCCTGCAGGGCTGACTTCTGGCCACCCGAGTCTCTGTTCACTGCAGCAACGACTGCAGAGCCTTAGGCCCCAAGTCTGATAGGGCTGTGGGTCAGCTCTGTCCAGTCCCTCAGGGCACCCACCTCGGACTAGCAGCCGGGCTGATGAGTAGGCAGCACCCACGGCATTGCTTATATAGGCTGCATACTGGCCGCTGTCCTCCAAGGTGACTGAGACAATCTCCAAGGTATGCAGGGTCTTTTTGTCAGTCATACGGATGTGGGCAGATGTAGTCAGGGGCTGGCCATCTTTGAACCAGTACAGTTTGGGGGCTGGATAGCCTGAAGACACAAAAGCAGGTGTTCAGCCCAAGGCTATCTCCCAGTGATGATAGCAATCCCAGAGCAGAGATCCTCCCTCAGAGACCAAAGGGTGCTGGCCTCCTTATCCAGAAAGGACACACACATAGCCACCCAAACACTGCTGGCTGGGGGCCCCTCCCTACTGTAGTTGTTAGGACTGGGTCTCTTTTCAGTGAGGCAATGCCACTTCCTCACCTTTCACCTTGAGCTGGAATTTGGCCAGGCGGGTGCCAGGGGTCACTTGGAGGTCTTTAAGCTCCTCTAACACCTGGGGAAGCTGTCCCTCATCTGACTCGGTTCCCTCTTGTTCCCGGCTGTCAGGAAGGACAAACAAAGGAGCAGCCATAAAGCAAGAAGCAAGAAGGTTCAGGGCAGGAGGGCCATTGGAATGGCATCAGACACGGAGGGATCCGGAACCGAGGGACAGAGGAAACAGAACCACCAGGCCTGGGAAGGCCCCAAGATTTGGCTTGTCAATCCAAGCACTCTAACCCCCCCCTTTCCAGGCAGCAGGGTATGGCTGCCTCCTCAGAGACCCTGGGAGAATCAGTCACTGGACCTTTCCATCTCTGAGGGACCCCACCTGGACAGGTAACCCTGGGCACTGAAGTATGATGAAGTCTCAGTAGCATCTGCTGCGGTGTCATAGTCTGTGCTGGTCACTGGAGAAGAAAGGATGACTCAGGGACAAGGCCTAAAACACATGTGACCAGGACCACCTTGGCCCTACGAGGCTCTAGCCGTGCAACCTTGAGGGGAGCTACCTGAACTCAGCATGGGGAAGGGCAACAGCTTCATGTACTCTCCCTGCACCAGCCCAGGGCTAGGCTGACACTTCCAGGCTATAACTAACTGCAGGCCTCTTTGGCCCACAGTTTGCAGTCTTCATGAATTACAACAGCACAGGCAGGACCTTCCAGCTTCATCTTACAATACCAAGAGGGGTTAAAGCGATGCCGGCCTAAAAACTAACAGCTGAGGATTTTCTGGCCAGGACTAGAGCTGTTATGCTGTTACACATTCAATGTTTGTGTCCCACAGATACACATGTTAAAACACTAATCTTGGGCTGGCACAGATGGCTCAGCATGTAAAGGTGCTGGCCACCAAGCCTAGTGACCTGAGTTCAATCCTTGGAATCCTCATGGTGGAAGGATCTGACTCTCACAAATTGTCCTCTAATACCATACACGTGGACGTGTGCACAAGGGTGGGTGCGCGTGTACACACACACATATACAATGCAAAACTAATCAGTGTGGTGTTGGTATTGGGAGGAAAAGTCTTTGGGAGGCGGCCAGACCACACCCAGGCCACCCTGGGGACACCCAGCTCAGTCCAGCACTCACGCTCCACACGAAGCTCAGCCTTGGTGGAGGAAACTCCCATGCTGTTCTCTGCCAGGCAGCGGTAGACACCCATATCTGCTGGTACCACCGCCGTGATAATGAGCTGGTGACCACCCTGTTGGTCCTCGTTGATCATGTAGTGGTCATCCTCCTCCAGCAGCTTCCCGTCCTTGAACCAGCGCACACTGGGCACAGGCTGGCCTGTTACCACGCAGTTGAAGCTCATGGGGTATCCATCCTGCACTTCTTGGTTCTGCAGCTCGGTCAGGAACACTGGGGCTAGTACAGGCAGGTAGAGGATACAGAGAATTAACCCTGGGATGCCCATCAGACCCGGATACCACAGGCAGGTCGTCACCAGAGGGTGGCGTGGCACAGCAGCCTTCCCTCTAAGGGATTTCCAAACTCCACAACTAGACACCATGAGCGTCTCTCCTTCCCTCGTTCTCTAAGAATTCCCTCTTTTAGTTCCCAGTGAGGCAGAGGAGTGCAGAACCGGAAAGGGCAGACAGAAAAGGATGCACAGGCTGGAAGTTTAAAGCCTAAGTACCCCAAACTGGGGAGAAGTCTCAAGACACAGCACTGAGGGCCATTCATGATAAACCAGGAGAGGGTCAAGTGTACAGTGAGGTCGTCTTACTTTCAGTAGCTGACACTGAAACTACTACCATAAGGAATGGACCTCAACATGCACTGCTCACGAAAGATGAAACTGAGGTTCACAATCAACTGTTTAACCTCAAAGACGGGGCTCTGCCTTGTCCTCACCCCACAGGCTGCATGGAGGACAACCAGCCAGAGGTCCCCTCTGGTTCTGTCTCAGCCGCCTCTATCCTCTCCTCCCTCTACCCTACTTCAGGCCAAGCTCCCCTACCCTCACCCAAGGCCGCTGTAGCCCCTGGACTCACCAGCATCTGAAGTCTGCAGGCCAGATGTCTTTGATAGTGGCACTGCAGGGGTGGCAGGGGGCGCCACCTTGCCAATGCGCATCTCCACTCCCCGGGGTCCTTGCTCCCCTAGGCTGATCTCCACCCCAATGCCCATGGTGGCAAACATGTCACGGAAGCAGGTGACTGCCCGGTGGGCCTCTTCAAGAGCCTCAAAGCGGATGCACACAAAGTTTTCATCCTCTCGGTATGTCTGCCAGTCTGCAGGCTCCTCTGGCTCGGCAGGGCCTTCATCAGCACTGAGGAAGAGTTCCTCCTCTGAAAGCTCAGCTGGGCTCTTGGTACGGAAGAGCCGGTGCAGGCGCCGCGCTGCCCGCCTGAAGGCGTCATCCAGCTCACCTCCTGAGGAGCTCTCAGCTTCACTCTCTGTTCCACTGACCACCACACAGGCACTGTGGCTCACACGGCCGAACTTGGTGCTCACCTGACAGGTGTAACGGCCAGTGTCAGTGGGGCCCAGGCCAGTGACCAGCAAAGAACAGGTACCATCCTTGAGCTGGTCTATGTGGTAGTGCCGCCCGTCCGTCAACTCTATGCCATCCTTCAGCCAGCAGGCCCGAATATCGGCCTTGCTGGCCACCACACACTCCAGCCGCAGCACATCCCCAGTCTGTGCCTCTGTGTCCCCAAACGTCCGGGAAAACACAGGCCCTTCTTGCTGCTTTATCTCCTTCCGCACTTTATAGCCCTTAAAGGCAGCCTGGATCTTCACAGCTGCCTTGTCCAGGGATGGATCCTTCAAGTCGGCTGCACTCAAGTCTCCCGGCAATGGACACACAGGCACTGCTTGTTCCTGTTGCTTCTGTGGCTTCACAGAGGTGGCCATCTGGGCCCCATGCTGTGGACATAGGATGTGAAGTCAGAGTAAGGCTGGGAAATTAAGATCAGTAACACTCCAGACATACTGCCACTCCAGCACTCCATCTGCCTCCAGCTTAGTGGCTGCCCAGGTGCTTGCTGGAGCCCTGCTACTTTTGTTCCCTAAAGCAAATGCTTGTCCTAAAATTACAACATGCAATGAATGACCCAGATGGGCACCAACAGCATTTTGGGAAACACCAGAAAGGCCAGGCCAATCTCTTCAGGATAAGGTTGTGACTATTTAGTAGATAAGTGGGGAGGTGTATGGAAAATGCAAGAAAAAAATAAGCAGGCAGGTGGCTGTGCTGTTGAATGGGTAGTAGAAGGGTGGATGGATGGAGGGATCATTGGGTAAGTGGATGAGTACGTAAGTCAGCAGAAAAATAAATGGACAGGAGAGAAAATGCAGGAATAATAAGCAAATTAATGGTGAATGGGGCATAGTGAATAACGGGAGTGAAGGGAGGAGCAAGGAGATGCTGGATGAGTGGGAAATGGATAGATGGATGACTGGGTAAACGGATGGGGAGATAAATGGATAAACTGGAAAATAAGTACAGGAGGTATGGATAACAGATTAGTGGACAGGTGGGTGAAGATATGCTGATGGATAAGTGGCCAAACAGTTCAACAGGTGCATGAGTGACAGATGGTGGGCTGATAAGTGGATGAATTACAAATAATGACCAAATAGGCAGATGGATGGACAGATGTATAGAAGGATGGTTGGATGGGTGGGTAGATGGATATGCAGATGGAATGATGATAAGAGGATAATGAATAGATGGACAGATGGATCGATGCAAGGATAGGTGGAGAAGGAAAGGTAGATGTTAGGATGGTAAGATTATGCACATAAGGAAGATATTGAGATGGATGAATGAATGGATAAGTAATGGGATTAAGGCACAGAAATGAAGATCTGAGACATGCCCCCAGCCCTCCCTTGCAGACCAACTAGGAGGCTCACCTTGCTGGCCAGGGGTGAGATCCCAGGACCCCCAGCCTTCTTGAGGTAGGTAACCAGGGAAGGGGTACCAGCCCGGGACTCATCATCAGAGCTGGTGTGTGAGAGGTCAGCCTCTCCTGTGCGTGCTAGTTCGTCAGCTGTAGAATAGCCCTCAGAGAGGTCAGGGGCTGTCTCTTCTGCCTCCTGCCGCAGATGCTGCATACGGCCGTCTTCCTCAGGAAGCTCACTGATGGAATCCAGTGTAGGCTCCCGACTCATGCGGCGCTTGCGGGCAAGGGCCTCCCAAAGCAGATGCAGGTCACCCTCCTGGGCTGCCTCAGGAGGCAGGCTGGGCTGTGTGGAGACCTCATCCCCAGAGCCTGAGGTCATGATCACTGAGGAGGGCAACAGTGGGTCAGTGGGTATGGTCAGACGAAGCTGCAACTCCACCCCTGTCCTTGCTGCTGGATGGGGTATGATCTGGCTGTGGTCTCCTGGACCTCTGCTCTCCATCTTGTACCCTGAACCTTTATCTGTTCCGAGATGCTCCAAGCCTCAGCTTTCCACCCTCATTTTCACTCCCCCTCAGTCTACTTCCTGCAAGGAGCACACAGTAACTCAACCAGAACAAAAAACAGCCCTGCAAAATAAAGTCAGGTGTATTTCCACCTGTTCGGCCCTGCTGCTGATACAGGAGCCCAGGCTCACAGGGACATTGCATTGTACAGAGAGGATGTGCTTACATTGAGGCAGGCTCAGAATGCAAGAGGAGGGGCTGCCAGTGCAGCATGTGGTTCAGAATACAGTGGGTGGGGCAAGTAGCCAGATCATAGAGAGGCTCTGGGCAGGAGGGTTGAGTTAGGGGATGGGCTCAGCACAGTTGGGAGGTCTGGAGCGTGGGACAAGGGACATGAGTGGGTAGGACCTCAGACACAGGGAAACAGGAGTCGGCCAAAGAGTTTGGGGTGCTGAGTGCAGAAGGAGCCTCTCAGGGATGGTGCCCAGAGTGGGATGGGCCACAGTGCAGATAGTATTCAGTGTGGGGGTGCCTTGGAGGCAGAGTGGACTGGGAGGAGGACTTGATCAGAATAAAGTAGCTTCAGAAAAGATCTCAGAACTCCAGTGGGCAGGGGTCCCAGGACTTACGAAATCCACCACCAATCCTACTCGGGAACAGGAGGCCACCCTATGGCACAGTTCAGTCACATGAGACCTGCCTCACCTGGCCAAGCCTTGGTTTCTCTGCACATCACATGGAGTCTTGGGAATGACTCAGCCTTGTGTCCAGAGCACATCAACCCTTCCCCACTCCCACAGCATTGACTCCAGAGCCCAAACTCACCATTAAAGGCGGTAGCCCCTGAGAAGGGCAGGCCCCGGGTGGGACAACAGCGGTACTCCCCTTGGTCTTCCGTCCTAAAGCCTTTGATCACCAGCATCTGACGCTGTCCCTGAGAGAGGATCTCAAAGTGTCCACTGGGCTGGATGCGCTCTGTTCCTTTGTGCCAGACGACCTCACCAGCCTCAGCTGCCACTTCCAGCTCCAGACACACATCCTCACCGACTACTGCCTGCCGTGTCTCCGGGGATGGGGTTGGAGGTGGGACTTTGGCTGGGGTTGGGGTTGGGGCTTTGGCTGGGACTGGGGCTTTGGCTGGGGCTGGGGCTGGGGCTGGGGCTGGGGCTGGGGCTGGGGCTGGGGCTGGTACAGGTTCTGCTGGCTCTGCGGAAAAACAGTACCCACAGAGGATAAGTCACATCAGCCATAATGGATCCCAGGGTCACTGCCCAGCCCTAAAGATCTCCCTCCCTCCAGCTTACCCAGCAGGGCATTCTCATCAACTGAGAGCAGTAACTCACCTAGCTTGACCATCTGGGGAAGATGTACAGGCTCCCCGGCACCTGCTGGACCCACAGCTGCCACTCGGAAGCGGTAGGTCTCCCCAGGGACCAGGCCATCCACCACACACTCTGGCCCAGGTACCAGCTCATGGCATAACTGCCACTGGCCTGTGGATGCCTCCTTCATCTCCACGCGATAGCCACATAGACCACCGCCACCATCACTCATGGGAGCCACCCAGGATAGGGTCACCGAATGGCCACTACGACCCACCACCTCAGCATCTTCAGGGGGGTCGGGAAGGGCTGCATGGAAGAGAGCACATTAGCACATACACTGGCTCCTGAAGTCCTTCCACAAGTCACTGAGGTTCAGTATTAGACATGGCATACACTTGTGTCCTGCTGGACTCTGAACCCAGGGGCCCAGATTGCTTTAAGGAGCAAGGGATGTTGCTGAAGCCTCCATGGGGTTGTATTTGTGCATCTTGGCACCCACCACTAAGGGCAGGCATTGGGGTTGGAGGACCTCATTCCTCTTGACCCTTCCCCCTAGAGCTGGGCTTAGTTATGCACTAGGTAAAGGGAAGAGGGCAGAGTACTCTCACAAAGGGACTCTAGCCTCGGGGAGTTCTCCTGGACCTACAGCAGGAGCTACTGGAGTCATTATCCTCTGGGTCTTTGGGTCTAATGGAGCTGCACAGAAGCCAGCTCGGAACAGTCACCCATCTGAGTCTAAGTGGAGGGGGGGTCAGGTGTGCCTCAGACCCACACTCTAGTGGAGGAACCACTGCCACCTACTCACCCAGCACACAGAGGCGTGCAGAGGCCACAGCATCACGTGCTGCAAATGTGACCTCTCCCGTGTGTTGGGGCTGGGCATTACTCAGCATCAGGGCATGATGACTGCCATCTGCGGTGACTGTCCACTCAGCATCATCAGGCTGGATGGCAGCCCCGTTGATGTACCAAGTAGCCTCGCCCACAGGCACCACCTCACTTAGTGTGCACGTGAAGGAGGCCTGCATACCAGCTCTCACAGATGCATCTTGTGGAGGCTCTAGGACCTCCAAGCGCCAGCCTGTGGGGAGCAGAATAGATGAGCATCAGCAGGGGCAGGGGCTCCAGAAGCGAGATGCAAGGCCCCTGGCCCTTATAAAGCCTCCCTCAAACTAGCTTCTGGTTGGAGGTGTCTCAGCCTGATTCACCTAATTCTCCTGACTCAGGAAGGCCTCATGTTGGGGAGTCTAGAAGGCTCACCTGCAGAACCCTCACCAGTGGCCCCACTCCAACTGCTCTGACAGCCACTAGGGCCTCAGGTGGACGAGTTTTCAGAGATTTCAGGGAGGGTATCTTGGAAACACGTTCCTTCTTGCCTCCCATTTCCTGTCCCACCCCACCCTCAGCCCAGTGCCCCTAAGTCCCTATAAACCGAGGAGGTACAGCCACCCATGGGAAGAGTCTAGAGATCTGATACCAACTCTCCCACCAGGTAGAGCCTTTGTTGGAAGGGGTCTTAGAGATGCCACTCTTCTCTATGGTGTCCCCACCCCTGAAGGGTGGCAGCTCCCATTTTTCAATAGACTCTCACCCTGGAAGTGACCCTCCCACATGTGGCTGCCATCCTAGACACCAGTCCTTCCGTCCTACTGAGTTCAACTGAGCTATCAGCACAGTTTAGGAGGTGGAAGGAACTCCACCCTATATGATCCCCTTCACCACCACCTCTGCTCAGAGCTCAGCCTCCTGTAGAAAAGCCCCATCCCATCTACCCCAACCATGCCCTCCCTTAGCATGGCACCTCTCACGGTGAGGAATGCAGATGTGACCACATCCCCTGCCAGAAAGGTCACTCGGCAGCTGTCCTGTGGCTTCAGGTTTTTGAGCAACAGCAAGTGCCGCAGCCCATTCTCAAAGTAGACCACCTCCATGTTTTCTGAGGTGTGCACAGGCTCATCGTCTAACAGCCAGGTGTGGGCAGCCACCTCTGGCTGGGACAGCTGGCACTCGAACAGAGCTTCACCGCCCTCCAGTGCATCCACATTCTCCAGGCCACGCACCACTGTGTTCTTGGCTGTGAAGAAAGCAGGGCTCAGGGTTTTGTACCTCCTGTACAAAACCTACTGTCTCTTGTATGACCCCTCCCCCCAAATTATAAAGGGCCAAACAGAGCAGGACCCCAGCAGCCACTGCGGAGGGTGGCAGTCAGGGTCCACTGGAGGAAGTATGGTTGCCCAGCCCTACCCATCCCGTCACCCTCTCCAGAAGCTTCACATTGGCATTGGTCTCACTGATGAGGGGCACCCTGTGTCTCACAGATGAGAAGCTTCATAGATATTCACAGGCCAGAACCTCTCAAGCCCAGATTTAAGCCCACTGGAGATACAGAGCTGTTCCTTTCCCACGGTGGTGCCTACAGCCTCAAGATGTGGGCCACACCCTTTCCTCAAGTTCCCCAACCAGCACTGCTAGACCTGTCCATACCCCTCCCTTCTCCCGTCTTTCCAGTCTAACCAGCCACTGTTTCTCACAGAAGCCACGAGCTCACATGACTGTGTCCTCACCAAGCTATAGCTCTGTGTCACCACCCATATAGGTGTTCTCACTGTATAGGTCACACCTGCGTTGCAAGGCTAGCGGCCATTGCCTGCCTTTCTATCATGATTATGCTAGGCCTGCCTGCCAGGTGGCCTCACCTTGCACTTGGAGAAGTGCCACAACTCGAGTGCCTGCGGCCTCACAAGAATAGATGCCGCTGTCACAGGGCAGGGCTGGCCTGAGGGTCAGCCTGGCTACGGTCCAGTCCTGCTCTATGATGACACGGTTCCCATCTGCGCACACCTCCCGCTCGTTCATCTTCCACATGGCCTGCACGGGCCTCGAGTACTGGCAGAGGAGCTCAGCTGAGCCACCCTCCTCCACCACCAGGTCCTGCATGGCACTCACCACCTCCACTGTGGGATCTGTCGGCCAACATGCCAGACATGCATCAGGCCCTGGGACAGTGCCACCACGGCCCACCCGCCTTATGCTGTCCATGTTAGTTGCTTCAGCGGCTGCAAGCATGGTGCTTTGGTGGGCAATGGCTTAGCAACAGGTGCCTGGCAAGTGGCCAGGAAGGGAACCCATCATAGCTGCCCAAGAGCCCTACAAACCCATGGCAGATGACAATGTCAAGATGTCTGTCCATGGTGTTTGCCCCCCCCCAGCCCAAAGTGTACACACAGATCCCATCTTAGACACACCTGAACCCAAAATCCTGCAAGTCTGCGGCTACAACCCATCTTGCCCCTCTCCAAGAGTGTAGGGTTGCTTGCTGACCTTGGGGTCCCATCCCATCCCCATCTGTTGAAATCCTACACAATCAATAACTGTTCATCCTGGATCTGGCTCTATTAGGTCTTACAGGTCTTAGGCAAAGACACTGGATGAAAGATTAGGAAGGAGCTCTCTGGAGTCCTGGGCAATCTGCTGCCCTCCCTGTCCAGCCAATTCTTCCCCAGAAGGGTGCCCACAGGAAGAAAAGTAGGTGGGCACAGGAGCACACCAGAACTGGATGTAGTGGCTTCTTCATCAGGAGCCCAGGAAGCCCCCCTTCAAAAGGCTTGCCTTTGGCTGGGATACCTACCCAGTAGGGTAGTAAACAAGGGTCAATGTGTGCAGGTCCCACGCAGCAAATGTGCAGGAGGACAGCCTCCAACTAAACAGTTCACAGAGACTAAACCTCCCACTCAGGAAATGAGTGGAAGCCCTCCATCTGCCCTGGGTTCACAATAGATGTGGAGCAATGCCTTGTCTATGGCCCTTAGGGTCAGTACCTGACACTCCTCAATCCCCAGGACCCTGCAGGAAGCATGTGAGGACAGCAAGGGCAGAAGCACCAGCATGGGGAGGTCCCCATTGGCCAATACCTTTGACCAATAACTTGGCTGTGGAGACCAGGGGCCCTGTGCGGAAGGTGATGGTGCCTGAGTCGGCCACCCCCAGGCCCGAGAGCATGAGGGAGTGAACAGTCCCCTCACGCACAATGATGGTACTCCCAGGGCTGTTGTGAAGCAAGGTGCCATCCAGCCACCAGCGGGCCTCCGGCCCACCTGCACGAGATACCTCACAGGAGAACGTAGCCACCTCCCCCGCGAAGACATCCACATTCTGCAAGCCACGTACCAGGCATAGAGCTGCCTCTGTGCAAGAGGGCGAGAAGGAAGTCTGGGCTGGGGCTCCCTGGGGTCTAAGGGGAGGGGGCCACATTCAGGGGCACTGGTGTGGGGAATGTGATCCAATAGCCAAATTGGTCTTTGTCCCAGTTCCTGTCGCAGAACTTCCTGAGTGTCACAAGTGCTCTCACACACAGCAAACACATTTTGATCACATCAGAGGCTATGCTAATGAGGTGCCAGCATTAGGAAGGGGCTGGTCACCAGGAAGACTAAATGACAAGAGGGTTCAAATGTCTCAAATGTCCTGCCCAACCCACCAGCCTCAGGGACAGCAGTAAGGCTGAAGATAAATGTAGACAAGTCTGAATCACTTCTAGGTCTTGGATACCAAGGGGATAGAGAGTGATGTGTGGAGGAGGGGAGGGGTACCTGTGGACTAGTATGCTAGACCCTGTTTCTCATGGTGTCCTGTGTGACAAGCCAGTGACAGCAACTGTTTGATGAATTTCAGCTGACCTAGCAAACTGGTCAAACCCAGGTGGGCAGTGGGTACTCCACTCACACCCACTTAGTAAGGTTAGGTTTGCAACTGGCTTTGCTGGTGGGGGTGTCATGGGGCTGAATCTATAACCAATGGGTCTGTGCTAGCTTTGGGGAACGTCAGAATTGAATTCAGCTATACTACATCCAGTTGGTGTCTGTTGGAGGATTGTTTTGTATGTGGGAAACCCACTATTCTAGTCAGGTGCCCTGTGTTGTACGCAGTGTAGAGGAGAACGGCAGTAAGAAAATGTTCCCTACAAATGGATCCCAAGTGAATTTCTAGAACAATCTTGAGATCGATTGGCATGGGCCACCTGGAATCTTCTAGGATCAGGCACTACCCAGACCAGAGGCTCAGAAATCTACCTCAGATAGTTAGCACACCCTAATCAAAGAGAAAAACACAGAGGCCACCCACACTGGCCCATGAGAGGCATGTGAGCCACTGAGCATGCCACACACCTTCAGAGCACTCCTAGCTCCATCCATAGGAGGCCAACCTATCTGGTATCTTTTTCAGAAGGGACAATGGATAAACTCCGCATTCAGGGCTCTTCTTGACAATAGGTGCCTTCTCTAACCTAGTATGGGATTGCTCCAAGAGTGTGGGGCCCAGTCCCAGGAGGTAGCTTTCCATTCCTGAGGGTATAGAAGCAGACAGGGGCAGCATGTCCTCCGAGATTCTGTCACCCTTAGGACACCATGACCTTAGTTTTGGGGTGCACTGCTCCTCCACCACACAGCCAGCTCCAAGCGCAAGAGCCTCAAAGATGCAGACATGCTTCACCTGTTTCCCTGAATCCCACCCATCTTCTGAGTGGATGCTCGGAGGAACCACAGCAGATGGATAGCTCAAGCACTCCAGGGCATTAATGTTTTCACAGCTGATTTTCCAATGCTCCAGAACAGACAGGAAAAGACCTGTGGTCTCTTCCACACTTGCTAACTGGGACTAGTTAAGGGGGATGCCACCATCACCCTATGTTCCCCTCTGAGCTTCCTGGGGGCAGCTGACAAAGTCCAGATACATCTGTTGCATTTGCTTCTGTACCACAGGATGAGACTGAGAAGGGTCAGTCAGAGACCATTTGTGAAGATTTTGGTACCCAGCAGGACACAGCAGCCCCAGGCTCAGTCCAGAGTGCTCCTTTAGAAATCTTTCCATGCCATTCCCCATGGACACTCCTCCTCTAACACCAGTTCCCAAGCCTGTCCCTAACAAAGCTACCTGGACAGCCATTCCCCACAAAGCCACACCACGAGCTAGCTCTCTCAGAATGGGACCATCTAGACTAAAGCAGGACTGAAACACAGCCTGCAGCTCCATATTGTCCCCTAGTAAACACAGACCCTTTCTGCCCTGCCCCAACTCAAAGCAAACATGAAATTCTTCATTAATCAACTTTTAAGTTGTGCACTGGCACTTGGCAGCCTTTCTCAGCCCCATAGGCCATAGAATTGACCATGACTGTCCATCTCTGAAGTTGCAGAACATGGGATTCAGATCATGTTCTATTCTCCACATCTAGCTCCCCTCAGAAGACTGAGGGCTCCATAATGGCAACGCTACACATAACCCATCCTGAAATCATAGACGTGAAGGGTAGAAGATCAGAGGCCATATCCAGTGGGTGAATAAGGTTGTATGGTAAATGGGTATTTGAGTAGATAGGAAGATGAATGGATGAATGGTGGGTGTGTGGAGGGATGAATGATTGGATGATAAATAGGTAATGACTGTTCAGATGGTAGATGGGTGAATGGATAGACAAATCATGAGTAGCTAGATAAATGGGTAGCATGATGTGGAAGATGAATGGATGACTGATGAAGAATAGGCTTAGGTGGGTGACAAATGGTGGCTATAAATGGATGGATGCATTCGTGGCAGATGGGTAGAGGACAAATCAGTAAGTGGGCAGATAATGGATGGGATCACTTTGAGAACCAGGACTAGACAGCATGGGAAGGTTGCTCAAAGCCAAGCTCTATAGGATGACTTATTCTTGGGACAAGGTATACTCTAAATTGAAGTTTCCTAAAGTCCTGCCTGCATGCTGGAGTCACATTTACCATGGCCAAATTCATACATGTGTCAGAGGCCACATCTCTGAGCTTTTTGAGTAAGTAAATGTACATCATCATGGACATATATGCATGTGCCAGGACCTAAACCACAGAATTGGCTCTGTCTCCACTCAGGACCCAAACCCACGCTAGTCAGATCATCTAGCTCTTCCAGGAGGCAGCATCAATTGTGGCCTGAGATACCACACACTGGAAAACTGACATCCACAGTGTAAAAATCACAGCTCAAAGTGTGGGTCTCCTGATTCCCCTCGTGCAGTGTTAGGAAACAAAAGACATCCACTGGCATAGGCTGGGTGCAGCATAGGGATGCCCACCTGTGACCTTCAGCTGGGCTTCTGAGGAGCATGAGCCCACTTGAAGAGTGATGGTTCCAGTATCCTCCAGGGTCACCTGAGGTAGGAGAAAGATGCTTGCTCTTCATCCTGACCAAAAGAGACTGACCCATCTTCCCAGCACCCCCAAGATAGGGACTTGTCACCTCCCCAGCCCAATGCCCTGGAGTAGGATCTTCCCTGATGGGTGCAGAACATTCTGTGTGTAGGCAAAGGCAGGTCCCAGAACCCCACCTTATGCAGAGTGAGCAGGTAAAGTGTGCCCTGCTCCACGGTGATGTCGTTCATCTCATTGGACTGCAAGGGAACCCCTCCCAAAGCCCAACGGGCCTCCTGGCCCGAGGCCCTGGACAGCCGGCACTGGAAGTGGGCATCCTGGCCCTCGCTGAGCTGCACATCCTGCAGGGGCTCCAGAATGTTCACCTCAGGGACTAGAAACAGGAAGCATGGGCATCAGCTTTTGCATCTGGAATGCTCCCTTGAGTGGTTGAGCTCTCATATCCCATAGTCCCATGATACCTTACCCAATCCCTGAGAATAAACCCATGGGAGCATGCTACCAATCCCCTTCTGTATATCTATACATATAACACACCCTGGGCTCTGGCCCACAGAGACTCTAGAGGTGATCGAGGGTTTGGACTGGTACAATCTGAAGAACGTTCTGAGGGATAGTGGGTAGGTCCTAAGCACCAAGACAACACAAGCTTCCCAGAATCCCACTGTACCTGCCTACCAGCCAGATGCAGCCATAGAATTAACAACAAACAAGTTCTCCTCACTACCAGAACCTCACCGCCTCCCCCCCCCCCACCAGGAGTATCTTACTATCTATGTTCCCCAAATGTCCAGAGCCTGAGCATTCTCATTCCGGGTGAGGGTAGACCAGGCCATCGAGAGCCAGATACCTCGGACTGTGAGCTGAGCAGAAGATGAAAGGCTGCCCACGTGGAAGGAGACAGTGCCAGCATCCTCCAGTGTCACACCCTTCAGTTGGAGCATGTGGGTGCGGCCGTCTCCAAGAACAGCCACCTCTGTCACTTCATTGCTCTGCAGTGGCAGACCTTGGAGACGCCACTGCACATCTGTGGCTCCTGCCTGTGACACCTCACAAGTAAACTCCACATCCTCATCAGCATGCACCTCCATGTCAACCAGTCCCCGCACAATGGTCACCTCAGGCTCTGGAGGAGGGGGACAGAGGAGAGAGGCTCTTTATCAGCCTGAGCCAAATTCCTTGAAAGCCATCCCTGACACTCCAGGGCTCTCCTGTCGCCTGCTGGGCTCACAGGCATGGAAGGTGAGCTGGGACACTTGCTTCCCCACAAGTCAAGAGAGAAAGTGATCATACAATGGTGAGTGCTGTGTTTGGCCCATTGCTGTTGCCAGCCCTATCCTGGCCAGGTTCCCGTGAAGCAAAGCCTCCTGTAGGGATAAGTCAGGCCAGCAAATGCTGTATTACCTGCTGGTAGGGAAGGGGGGACAGGGCTGTCTTTGGGGGCTGAGGTCTGTCCTGGCTGCTATGACCCTTTGGGTGGAGAATCAGAACTGGAAGTAGTGTAGGAACGAGGGGGAGAAAACTGTGAAGCAAAAGTACTCAGGACAGCCCTAGGGGTGGGTGTGGCAGGAAGGGCTCAAACTTTCCTCCTGGAGTCTAGCTACTCACCTTTGACTCTGAGAGAGGCCAAGGTTTTCTGACCACCCACCACACAGGCATATTCGCCGGTGTCCTTGGCCTCCAGCCCGTGGATCAGCAGCTCACACGTGGTCCCTTCACACCGCATCTCATACTTGGGGCTGGCATGCAGCTGCACACCCTCCTTGAGCCACTGCACCAGAGCCCCTGGCTCAGCCTCGCTCAGTTGACAACACAGCCGGGCCTCGCCACCTGCTTCCTGCTCTGTGCTCTGCAGGCCAGTCTTGAACTTGGGCTTGGGGGCTGAGGGCCATGAAAAAACACTTAGAGCCACAGGTTCCATCTCCCCGGCTCTGACTGAACAAGGTCCCCTGCTCTTCAAGGAGCAGGAGGGGGCTGGGCACATACCAGCTATGGGCAGCTCACCTCGGACTGAGAGCCTGGCAGTGCTCTGGGTGTGGCCTGCATCGCAGATGTACTCTCCTGCATCCTCCTGCTCCACCTCACGGACCAACAGCGCGGCAGTTGCGCCCTCCTGCACCATCTGATACTTGGCACAGGGGAAAAGCTGCAGGGAGCCCTTGCGCCAGTCCACACTCACAGCCACCCGGCTCAGCTCACAGTGCAGGCGTGCAGTGGTCCCCTCATCCACTTCCTGGGCCTGCAGCTCCCTGAGGAACCGCACAGGAGCAGCTGCAAGGTTGGGGGACAGCATGAGAGCTGGGTTGTTAAGGGTGTTGCAGTCAGGGGACCACCCATAGTGGGTCCATGGTCAGGATCCACAGGACAGCGCTGCAGGGAGAAACTGGGGACCTGCATACATCAGTGAACAGGGTTACTGCACCTGCCTATGGGGATACTGAAGAAATAACCCTGAGGGGCTACAGAGAGCAGGAACAGCTAAGGCCACAGAGACACTGCAGTGAAACCGTAACACGTGACAGGAAGAACTATGGGGCAGGTATGGAGAGTGACAGAGGACACAAGAAGATGTGAGTCACCTGGCAGGATGGTGGAGACGCTACCTTGGAGGGAGAGCATATGACAGGGGATCTCTGCATGAGCATGAGGCTCAGGAGAACCTCAGGGGCCCAGTTCCTGGTGAGGGGGGCAGACCTCAGGGCCACCAATTTGAGCGAGTTCTCATGGTTGGGACCCATGAAACAGGGCTGCAACTGTGAGGGTCAGCATTAAAACAGCCAGCCCCCAACACTGGAGCTGACCAAGCCCAGACCTACCTGTAACCATGAGTGTGGCGCTTGTGCTCTCAGAGCCACAGGTACAGCTGTACTCGCCCGCGTCCTCACGGCGCACGTCTCTGAGCAGCAGCTCGGCCACACACCCCTGCTGCAGTGACTCTCGCCGTGCATCAGCCTGCAGCTCCAGGCCACCCTTGCTCCAGACCACAGCAGCATTGGGGATTGACAGCTCACACTGCAGGCTGGCCATGGAACCTTCTTCTACTTGCAGGTTCTGCAGTGGTTTCTGGAATACCGCCTGTGGGGCTGTGAGAGGATAAGAGGCTACAGACTCAACTCAAGATGCACCCCTGAGTACCCTAAGGCAGCCTAAGATGGGGTGAGGACAAGCTCCTCTACAGTTCCAGGGCAGTCCTGGGGTTGATGTAGGGTGAGGACATGAGTCTAGGTGGGCTTCTGGGTAAGGGAGCTGGTGGGGAGGTAACAAAGAACTCAACATCTGATTCTGGATGCTCGCCTCCCACTTAGACTGCCCAGTCCCCTGCAGGATTATATCCAAAGGACCCAAAGGAGGTGCTCATGTCAGACCACCCAGAATAGAATTAAGTCATGTCCCTACAGACCAGAACCCAGGAAAGGGCTTTGTCCTCCAAGATCCCAGTCTCAGACCAGACCTTGGAGTATAGCCTAGCTCTTCCCAGGTCCTGGAACGGTCCCTCTGATACTAGGGTACAGTGAGTCCTATAGATCCCAGGAAACAGCCAGACCTCTCAAGATCAGGATGGGTTCTATCATCCATGTTCCAGAGACTTCAAGATACAGCAGTCATTAGGTTTCACAGAGCCACACTAGGAACATGTCCCCATTCTGCAGGGTATAGGACCCACTGGAGGACCAACATGTCCTCTCTGAACATTCAATTGACCGCAGCCAAAGATAATGTTTAGCTAAGCACACACAGAAACTGAAATGCAGATAGCAACGGAGAGGATATCTGGGAACACAGAACCACATGTTCTGTCCCAACATGATGACCGGCAGTGTGAGGACATAACAGGTAAGTAAGTTATAGACACCAAGACCCTGGAGAGTGGTATGGCTGAGATCAGACAGGAAAAATATAGCATTACAGAACGGATGAAAGAGGCGATCCTGGGGAGAGGTAGAGTGGGACAGGGTAGATAAAGAGCAAAACAGAAGTCCAAAATCATGTGGCCACCGGAAGCATTTACCCGTGATGCTCAGTGTGGCCGAAGTCTTCTCCTGCCCACACACGCACGAGTACTCTCCGTTATCTCCCACAGCCAGGTCACGGATCTGCAGCTCGCACGAGGCCCCATCCTGCTTCAGGCTGTATCTGTCCCCATTTCTCAGGATCTCAGACCCCTTCCTCCACTCCACAGGGGCCTTCTTGCTTAGCTCACACCGCATTGTGGCTGTTGTACCTTCCGTGGCCTCTTGATTTCTCAAGCCTTCTATGAATCTGGCTGGCAGGGCTGGGAAGGACCAAGAAGTCACTGAGAACATGAAACTGGAGAACCTTGTACACAGAACACACAATCCACATAGAATTAAAAGCACCACAGAACCCAGGTGGAAAGAAGGGATAGATGGTGAGCGGGAACATCTCCACGAGGAACTGTGAGATGAATGTGAACATGAAAGCATCTCTTCAGCAAGCAGAATGACTGCAGGTACAGGACGGATGGCCACCAGGTCACCACAGTAGCTGTGTCACATGTGCAGTCAGACATAGAAATAGAACAACATGGAAACACCAGGCCTCATCGGGTTCAGGTGGCCACACACGATCTTTACCCTTGACACTCAGTGTGGCTGAGGTCTTCTCCTGCCCACACACGCATGAGTACTCCCCAGCATCTTCCACAGTCAGGCCACGGATCTGCAGCTCACACGTGGCCCCATCCTGCCTCAGGCTGTATCTGTCCCCATCTCTCAGGATGTCAGACCCCTTCCTCCACTCCACAGGGGCGGCCTTGCTCATCTGGCACCTTAGTGTGACCATGGTGCCTTCCGTGGCCTCTTGGCTTCTCAAGTCTTCTATGAATCTGGTGGGAAGAGCTGAAAGGGCCAAGCATTGACTGAGAACATGGGACTCTGAAGGACATGCTGCACAGAACATGGGGTACACAAGAAGACACACATTCTGGCAAAGGGTTTGACAGGAACAGAGACCTGGGAATAGATGGGGAGGTAAAGAGAGGGTTTGTGAAGTGGACATGAACATGAGAATATTTCCCAAATAATAGGAACTAGTCATGGAGATGTCCAGATGACCCTAGTTTCAGGACAGACAGCCGCAAGGTCACCACAGACACTGTGCTACATATGGAGGACAGACATAGCATCAAGCACATAGAGACACCAAGCCTCAGGCTCAGGTGGCTAAATATGATCTTTACCCTTGACACTCAGAGTGGCTGAGGTCCTTTCCTGCCCACACACGCACGAATATTCCCCGGCATCTTCCACAGTGAGGCCACGGATCCACAGCTCACACACAGCCTGGCTCTGTCTCAGACTGTATCTGTCTCCATCTCTGAGGATCTTTGTTCCCTTCTTCCACTCCACTTGGGTTTCTTTACTCAGCTGGCACCTCAGAGTCACCATGGTCCCTTCTGTGGCCTCTTCATTCTTCAGACCCTCTGTGAACTTGGGGGGTAGAGCTAGGAGGTCAGAAAGACACAGGCACTATCTATCAGAGCTAGTGGGAAGACAGGACATGATCACACAGAGAAGACACAGAACTCAACCAAAGGGCACGTGGGAGTGTGCAAGAACTTGAGGTGGTATTCCTCAGGCTGGACTGTGCACAGCTCCACTTTGCCCCATCTGCAGCTTCCTCGAGCCTTAGACTTCATATGGCATGCAGAGTCAAGGATAGTCAGAATAACATAGAGAACCTCAGATTTCCTAGAAATCTTTGGGGCCCAGGACATGACAGTGAGGACAAGAGACACAGGTCGGTCCAACAACATAAACCAGACACAGCACAGGGAGGGGGAAGCTGCTGCAGATGCTCTTGTCTTCTGGGTAACACAACCAGGAGGCAGGAATGGATCCCACGCAGTGATGGACACATGATGCTTGGGCAGCACCATACAGATCTACTTAGCCAATTGTGGTCTTTACCCTTGATGGTCAGCATGGCTGTGGTCTTTTCCTCCCCACACACACATGAGTACTCTCCAGCATCTGACATGGTTAGGCCATGGATCTGCAGCTCACACATTGCTCCCTTTTGCTGCAGCCTGTATCTGTCTCCATCTTCAAGGGTCTCTGTTCCCTTCTTCCACTCCACAGAGGCCTTTTTGCTGAGCTGACACTGCAGAGTGGCTGTGTACCCTTCCATGACTTCCCTGGACGTCAGCTCTTCAATGAACCGTGTGGGCAGGGCTAGGAAGGATTGGTGGACAGAAGTCATCAGACTCTAGATCTGAGTATCCAGGAAGGAAACAGAAACAGAAGGACTGAAGATCATGGGAAGAGACAGATCAAGGTGTGCCGGCTGAGGTTCTTGTGCTGTGCCTACTGAGATGCAGGTTGATTGGAAGGTGGGTACCATTCCAGATGCATCTTCCCAATGGCACCTTGCTCTTCCTGTGATCTCTCATCAGAGTGACATGCCAGGCATTTGAGATCAACACATTTTGTGACTGACCTCCATGGCAGGCATCTCCCAATTGTGATGCCTTCCAGCCTCACAGATGGGACACACAGTCACACAGAGACATTATCCAGTACTCTCCGTGTTTGGTCTCACCCTTAGAGCTAATATAAGGCCCTATCCCCCCCCCCCAATCCTGACACTACTAGAACCACACTCTGTCACCTCTCTGGCTCATGTCCCAGTCCCCCAACAGAGTGCAGCTGGGAGCTCCTAGGCATGCCTTTAAACCTTGGATCTGCCCTGCTGTCCTCCCCACTGAGTGATCAGTGCTCACCCTGGTTATACTTGCAATTGGTTGTGCCCCTCCAAATGTACATTAAATTTCTAATTGGTACAACTTCAGAAAACAAGTGTATTTGGAGACTGGCCTTTGAAGAGGTAGAAAATGCTAAATGAGGTCATACAGGTAAGTGCTTAATCCAGTAGGAATAGTGTTCTTACAAGACATCTAGACACAAACAAGAGGTTTGTGTGAAGACTTAGGAAAGACAGCTTCCTGGGAGCCAGCGAGAGGCCTTGGGCAGAGCCAACCCTGCTGACACAGCTCACAGGCCTCTATCCTTCTGAATAGGAAGGAAACTAATTTCCTTCCTGATCTACTGTTATTTTTGATGGTCACCCAAATAACACAGATCTGAGGATGCTATTGTAACAAATACCTATGAATCTGGAGCTGTCTGGTAACAGGTAATGACTAGAGGCTGGGTGTCTTTTGAAGTATATATCAGAGCAAATCAAGATAGCAGGGAATGTTCTATGGAAATAAGGATATTAATGCTGCATCTGGTCAGGCTGTATGGATTCAGGCATTATGCTGGCCTGCCCCTGTCACCTGGCAGAATGCAGTCAGACAGCACCCTGGTCAGCCCAGGTACAAAGGACCCCTTTAAAAGAAAGAGCTCTGCTCACTTATGCTCTGTTTTCACTCTCTTTCCTGCTACTCCCCTGGGGCAAGCAGGACGTTTCCTGTCTCCCTCTTCTTTTCTGTCCTCTTTCTGTCTCTCTGTCTCTGTTTCTCTTTACCTCTCCCCCTCCTTTCTAATAAAACTTCTCACTAAGCTGTCTGGCATGTTTGTCCCCCACCTAGGTCACCCTCACCTGCTGAGGAATCTGCCAAGTTTCCTCATGCTTTATTCCTAACACAGGTCTCAGACAGAAATGGGGAATAAAACTAAAAAGAAGGAAGAGGACTCTTTTGACCACATCAGTGCACTTGGCCCGATTCCATTCTAGTGTCTTGCATAATTTGTAAACAGTAAAATTAGAGGTTGAACTAAGGAGGTTGATAGGCAAAGTGTTGAAGGCATAGTCTGGATTCTTCTTTTTACTTATACAAAGAGTGAGAGAATAGAGAGATAAATTGAAGAACTACTAAGTAAAATGGAAAAGGAATTGAAGATGCAGAGAATTTACAGCCTTCCCAGGCTGCCACAAAATAATGAGTATATATGTTCTGAGGAGAACTTCAGGGTGTAGTTAATTGTGTCATCTCCACAGAAGCCACAGCTAGACAGGAAAGGTTGTGGAGGACCCTTTGTGACTTCACAGGAAAGTGAGGACATTGAGATGTCACACCAGTTGAAATACCACTTAGACCAGAAGGGACAGAGACCCAAGGGAAGGAAGAAGGTGGCCAAGCCTGATGAAACGATAGAGCCACCCAGCTGCCACATGTGTGACCTTTCAAGCAGATGATCATGACTGGGTGGGGTGTCTCATGCCTGTAATCTCAGCACTTCAGAAGCAGAGGCAGGAGATGTCTCATAAGTTCCAGGCCAGACTGCTCTACACTAATTGTTCTGGACTAGTCAGGGCTGCATGGCAAGACCCTGTCTCAAAAAGCAAACAAGTTTTAAAAAGAGAGTGACTGTGAGAGTGGATCAAGAGCAATGGGGATGCTACTGGCACCATGGGTCCAAGACCATAGGCCTGGGGAGAAGGCACTCTCCTCCTTGGTTATAAGTTATCTCCACTCAGGGCTATGAGAGCAGGAGGTTGAGTCAAAGAGAAGTCTCCTGCCTTGAAATCCAGTAGAATTACCCTGCTGTTTCAGGTTGGTGGGACCCATATCCCATCCCTTCATTCCAAATTCCTTCTATTGGTAAGAACATCTATCATATGCCTGTGCCACCAATGTTCTAGACCAATGGTTCTCAACCTTTCTCATGCTGCAACCTTTTAATACAGTTCCTCATGTTGTGGTGACCCCCAAACATAAAATTATTTTCATTGCTACGTCATAACTGGATTTTTGCTACTGTTATGAATCCTAATGTAAATATCTGACATGTGACCCCTGTGAAAGGGTCATTTGACCCTCAAGTTGAGAACTATTCTAGAAGCATGCATGGTTCTACCTGGTTCTGGAGCTTCATAGGTAGGAGGTAAATGTGCCTCAATGTGAATGAAATCTAAATCTTCACACTTAGAAGGGACATTTAGATATCAGGCTGTGTGGACTGGAAGAATGAATTTTACATGTGAAAAGAACATAGATTTGAGGAAGCCAGAAGGTAGAATGTTATAGGCTATGGTGGTTCAAATGACATATTCCCCATAGTCTCAGACATTTGAAAACTCTTTTCCTAGTTGGTGTCAATGTTTGAGTAGATTTAACAGTCTGGCCTTGCTGGAGTTTGTCACTGTGAGAGTTTTTGAGAGTCATCAAATTTCTAGTTCACTCTTTTTACTTCAAGTTTGTGGTTCAAGATTTGAGCCCCACATTCCTGCTCCTGCTGCCATGCCTACTGCTTGTTACCATGTCTCCCTCCTATAATGGACTCTTATCCCTCTGGAACCATAAGTCCAGATAAACTCCTTATGTTGCTTTGGTCGTGGCATTTTATCACAACAATAGAAAAGCAACTAATATATTAGCTAAACCGTGCCACCTCCCAACCCATACATTGAAGTTCCAACTTGCCAATGCCTCAGGGAGTCACTCTACTTCCAAGAGGGGTACTTTAGTAAATAATTAAGTCAAAATGAGGTTAGGCTAGGCTTATATCCAAAGTGGCTAGTGTGCATCTAAGAAGAGATTAGGATGAAGACACAAGGAATGACCATGTGACAACTCAGAGAAGTCAGACATCTTTAAGAGGAAAAAAAACACTGCCAATACGTCAGTGGAGGATTTCTAGTCTCCAAAATTATGAGCAGACTAAACAGGAACCCTTCAGAACCTGGCATTATCTCAAAGCAACATTTAAACTCTCCCTGAGATCAGCAGTGTTTTCTGGATACCTCCAGACAGACCACATATTGCTGTGCATGTCCATCAAGAAATGGACATCTGTCAACTCTGTGCCTGGAATTAAAGGACCCAGAATCTCTGAAGGCCTTAGCAAGATGCAAATCTCCCATTGAACACTAATGAAATATGTCTGAACCTTTCTTAAAACTGTACACTGTTCTTCCCTAACTCTCTATCTTAGAACAGGCTCTAGATGGATCACATAGACACGTGACTGTGCATCACATGGTGAGATTGAGAGGCGTAGGGAAGAGCACAGCTTACATGGGAGACACAGGAGAGAGCAGATCAATCAGGTGGCTACACAAAGACATTACCATCTACAGTCAGCATGGCTGAGGTCTTCTCCTGCCCACACACGCATGAGTACTCCCCAGCATCTTCCACAGCCAGGCCACGGATCTGCAGCTCACACGTGGCCCCATCCTGCCTCAGGCTGTATCTGTCCCCATCTCTCAGGATGTCAGACCCCTTCCTCCACTCCACAGGGGCGGCCTTGCTCATCTGGCACCTTAGTGTGACCATGGTGCCTTCCATGGCCTTTTGGCTTCTTAAGTCTTCTATGAATCTGGTGGGCAAGGCTGGGAAGGACCAAGCACTCACTGAGAACATGAAATTGGGGAACACTGAACACAGGACACACAACTCACAAAGAATGACACACTATCAAAGAAACACAATATAAACATGTGAAGGAAGGTGCAGGCGGTGACAGGGGCAAAATTGTGGGGAACAGAGAGGGCAGTGGCATGGATGTGAACACAAGAACATCTGGGCACACAGACGCATAGGCAGAGACCCCAAGATGAGTGAAGGTGCAGAATCAATTGTGACAGGGTCGCTATGGGAAACCACACGTGGAGACAGAGACATCAATGAGACAACATAGAGACATCCAGCCTCAGATCAGTTTACCCTTGACACTCAGTGTGGCTGAGGTCTTCTCCTGCCCACACACGCATGAGTACTCCCCAGCATCTTCCACAGCCAGGCCACGGATCTGCAGCTCACATGTGGCCCCATCCTGCCTCAGGCTGTATCTGTCCCCATCTCTCAGGATGTCAGACCCCTTCCTCCACTCCACAGGGGCGGCCTTGCTCATCTGGCATCTTAGTGTGACCATGGTGCCTTCCGTGGCCTCTTGGCTTCTCAAGTCTTCTATGAATCTGGTGGGCAGGGCTGAAAGGGCCAAGCATTGACTGAGAACATGGGACTCTGAAGGACATGCTGCACAGAACATGGGGTACACAAGAAGACATACATTCTGGCAAAGGGTTTGGCAGGAACCGTGAATCAGGGAACAGGCTGGGAGGAACACAAGAACCTGGAGAGGTGTTGAGGGGGGTTAGACATGAACATGACAATATTTCCTGGACCTGGGAAAGGGAAGGTAGAGATACCCAGATGACCCCAGTTATACGACAGATGGCCACAAGTTCACTACAGGCTGTGTCACATATAAAGAACAGACATCGCGTGGAGATAACATAGAGACACCAAGCCTTGGTTCAGGTGGCCACACACGATCTTTACCCTTGACACTCAGTGTGGCTGAGGTCTTCTCCTGCCCACACACGCATGAGTACTCCCCAGCATCTTCCACAGCCAGGCCATGGATCTGTAGTTCACATGTGGCCCCATCCTGCTTCAGGATGTATCTGTCTCCATTTTTGAGGGTCTTTTCTCCCTTCCTCCACTCCACTGGGGTAGCTTTGCTCATCTGGCACCTCAGTATGGCCATGGCCCCTTCTGTGGCCTCTTCATTCCTCAGATATTCTGTGAACTTGATGGGCATGGCTAGGAATGTCAGAAAGGCACAAGGATTTTTACACTCAGAGCACACAAAAGGGAGAAGACATGAATACTGCAGAGAAGACACAAACCCCACTGAGGGTGGACCATGTACTGCTATGCTGAGAACAGGCTATGAAGTTTATGTTCTACAGTGTGTCCTCTTAGTATCAGGACCATGGATGGTTCTGTCTGCAGATCTGGCATGATGGTAAGAGGGGGCCGGAAACACACAGGAGTACCACATTCTCTGTAGCACTCTAGCACATATTACTCAGCCTGGATGGCAACAGCATGTGGAATCTACCAGAAAAGTAGTACTTAATTCATGGTGGCACAAGGTGGAGGGAAGCCAGCTATAGATGTATTTTCTCCTGTTTCATACAGCTTCCCAAAAAGTTGGGACTCCGTCCAGTTATGAAAGGAGGTGCCACACAGACAAAGAGACAGAATATGGTTTGAGCCAGATAAGCAGCATGTCCACAGACACCAAGACGCAGACCCAACTGGCCACACATCTTTACCACTAATAATCAGTGTGGCTGAGGTCTTCTCCTGCCCACACACACATGAGTACTTCCTGGTATCCACCACGGCCAGGCCATGGATCTGCAGTTCACTCACAGCTCCATCCTGTTTCGGGCTGTATATGTCCCCAGCTCCCAGAGTCTCAGACCCTTTCCTCCACTCTACAGGGGCAGCCTTGCTCATTTCACATCTTAATGTTGCTGTTGCCCCTTCTGTAGCTTCTTGGCTTCTCAAGCCATCTATAAATTTGGCAGGAAGGCCTGGGAAGGGCCAAAATATCACTGAAAACAAGAAACTCTCCGAAGGTCTCTGCGTGGACATGGAACCCACAAAGAACCACACACATTGCTCAAGAGTCACAGTGTGAATGATGGAACTCGTATACAGATGGGGAAGGGAGCAGAGAGCTGGGAAGGGATGGCAGCGGGAGGAAGATCTGCTTGAGTAAATGAAAAATATTCAAAGGCATCAGTGAGAGGACAGATGGCTTCCACAGGAGCTGTGTCACACATGGAGACAGAAGGAAGTGATGGGAACGACACAGAGACAAAGCCACACACAAAGCCACACATCTTTACCCCTGACAGTCAGCGTAGCTGAAGTCTTCTCTTGCCCACACACACATGAGTATTCTCCGGCATCGGCCATGGTCAGGCCATGGATCTGTAACCTACACACAGCTCCATCCTGCCTCAGGCCATATCTGTCTCCATCCTGCAAGGTCTTTGTTCCTTTCTTCCATGTCACAGAAGCTGCCTTGCTCAGTTCACACCTCAGTGTAGCCATGGTTTCCTCTGTGGCTTCTTCGTCCTTCAGACCTTCTATGAACTTAGCTGGAAGAGCTAGGGAGGCCAGAAAGACACAGACACTCTCTAAGAACATGGAAGACCATAGACATGGATATACAGGGAGGACAGGCTACATTCTGGGCATGACAAGTGCAGCTGAGGGTGGGGTTTCCCTTGGTCTAGACGCTGTGCCTCATGGCCACGGCCCACTCTATGACTTCCTCAGGCCTATCTTGCAGAACATTGGAGACGGGACATGACACTCAACAGTGAAGTGCATTTTGGAGATTGTAAGGAATAAACTTGCAGAGATGAGTGAGAAATAGCACAGATGGGCAGCATGTAGACTAGTCAGCCTGACCCTGGTGACTCAGCAAAGACACAGAGGACCTCAAGAGGAGGAGGCCCGGACAGCAGAAGCATTTACAATGGAGGTATCCTGGCCCCAAGTCTTCTGTGTCCACCCTGTCCCACACATAAACTCCATAATCAATGGCTTGGCTTGGCTGCTAGGTCACAGAATGCCATAGATATGAACATCTCCAATGGATTCTGGGAGAGCACACAGGGTGCCTGAAGCCACCCCCCCCCAAAGTCATAGCAATTCCCACTTCTCAGAACAGACTGGGGAGGAGGAACAGCTTGGCTGGATGAGAAGTCACAAGTCTCTTTCTGGAACTGTCTGCCTGGAGTGGGTGGTCACAAGGCTTTGGCCCCATCCTCACAGTGCAGGCAAACTCTCTAATGTGAGAGAGCAGAGGTACAGATCCACAACTGAGCAAATGGAGGCAGAGTCACCGGTCCTTGGCTACCATGTGGGAAGTGATCACAGAGAAGAGGAGGGACAAACAGGCTCATTTGCCAAAGCTGGAGGCTTCCTCTGGCTATCAGGCCATGAATGAGAACTCTTGAATACCAGCTCTGTGTGCTTGGAGGTCTTAAAAGGCAGTGGCTCAGAGCACCCTTGGATGGTCCAGTGGTCACTTTTGAAAGCTCAGCACTTTAGAAAGGCCCAGGTAAAGTATCCATCATTCCTAGTCCTTGCTGAGACAAACCCAGTCCTGAAGAAGCTGGCTGCCAGGATCTTCTACACCTCAGCCGTCAACAGCATATCCTGGGGATGGAAATAGGGAAAATGTGTTCCCATGACCTCTTTCTAACTCTGCAGCCATGGGACAGGCCTTGGGTGCATCCTTCTGTCATTTCTTGGAATGTCCAAATGCATGATGGCACCAGGCCTCTGTGTTTTGACACCAATTCATCCACATGGCAGCTGGTTTTCACCCAAGTGTCTCCAATGCTTGTGAAGATGCTAGGAGACACCTGCCACAGCCTGGACAAAGATGCCCAGGCCTTACCACACCTTCTCTTCAGTGCCTTCAGTAGCCAGTTCTTCACGTGAGAGCAGAGCCCACCAGGCCCAGGACTTCCCACTTGAAGGGATTTCATTCCATCTTCACTCTCTAAGATGTCTGGGGTCCTCCAACAGTGTCTGTGCATCCCATCTGCCTCCCTGCAGGGAGGGGCTCAGGGCCCTCCAGGGACCTCTGACAGAGAGCTGATTCATCACTAGATCACTAGTCACACCTAGACAGGAATTCCAGTTCCCTGAACACAACTGTGACTAAGGAGCGAAGTCCAGCAGACCGGCCATTCTAAGAAAGTTTGTTGCTGCCCATGTATACATGAGGACTCCCAGGATCCATCATGGGAGCGAGGCTCCACGGCTTCACGGCTCCACATATCATATCTGCCTCAACTGTGAATGACTCTGTCTCTGATGCCCTAATGTCTTAATGTTCAGGGAGGTACCTGATCTGTTCACACTACAGTGTGACCTTACTCCCTGTAATGCCCTCCCAAGGCCTCTAACTATCTGTGAAGTACTGTTCACAACTGCGGTGGGAGGGTGAGATACACAGACACAAAGAAGACCATTACACTCTGTAGCCATGGACAAAAGTGGGCCATAGACACTACACGTACAACATAGAACACAGAGTGGCCAGAGGCAGGATCATCAAGGCCTTCTCTAGTGGGAAGACCTAGAATGAACAGAGAAAGCCCAGGAAAGACAGTGTCAAGCTCACCCCCACAGACTTGTCGTCATTTCTCCTCACCACCATGGGACAAGCCCTCACCTCCACCTGATTCCCTGTGGATCAGATACCCACCTCTGCCTGATACTCACGGAGTACACCTTCACCTCCATCTGACTTCTACTTGTTGGACCCTTACCTCCACCCTGGCTCCCATGAGGTGGGTCTCCTGAGGGGTGGGCTCATGACCTCACCTGACACTTACATGGTGAATCCTCACCTTCACATTCAGGCACATGCCAAGGCTGTCCTTCCTTCCTGTATTCCTACTGTGTGGGCCATGCCTCCATTGCCTGCCTCCCCATTTTCCTGCTGTGCCCCCAAGACCTAGAATTGCATCTTTATAGTAGCTTTCACACACACACACACACACATACACACACACACACACACACACACACACACCCCACAGTCTCACTCATTCCAACCAAGACACTCCTGAGGTTGGGAAAGACCTGATTCTCCATTGTTTTATGGTATCTAAAGTGGGTCCCATGCAACAAGTTGGAGGAATACCAGCTAACAGAATAAAGATGAATCAGAAAAGCAGGAGCCGTGGATAGGAGAAGATGCTCAGGCATAGAGCCACCCATGCACAGGGGCACCAGCACACAGGAACACACATCTTTACCCCTGATGGTCAGATTGGCTGAGGTCTTCTCCTGCCCACATATGCACAGGTACTCCCCAGCGTCTGATGTAGCCAGGCTGTGGATCTGAAGCTCGCACACAGCCCCATCCTGTTTCAGGGTGTATCTGTCCCCATCTCTCAGAGTCTCTGCTCCCTTCCTCCACTCCACAGGGGTGGCCTTGCTCAGCTCACACCGCAGTGTGGTCGTGTCGCCTTCCGTGGCCTCCTTGCTTCTGAGCCTCCCGATGAAGTGGGCAGGCAGAGCTATGAGAGTAAGACAGATTGGAAAGTGACATCTGCTATAGAGTGTTGTGGGACAGAACACAGCATAGGACACGATGGGGAAGTCAGACTACAGCAGACAGAGCAACAGGAAAGAACGCAGCAGGACTCAAGAGTGGGAAGCCAGCTATGGATGCTAGTATTGCCTGGTTCATACAATGGCTCAAGGACTAGGGTGGGAGGCACAGTGTGATGAACAGAAGGTGCACAAACACGAGGGAAAAGCATTGGAGGAGCTGGACAGATAGCACCAGGTCAACTCATGGGTAAAACACTGATCCACATGACCATGTGTGGTCCTTACCCTTGACAGTCAGGGTAGCTGAAGTCTTCTCCTGTCCACACACACACAAGTACTCCCCTGCATCTGCCACAACCAGGCTACAAATCTGCAGTTCACAAACAGCCCCATCCTGCTTCAGGCTGTATTTGTCACCATTTCTCAGGGTCTCTGTTCCCTTCCTCCATTCCACGGGGGCCTCTTTGGTCAGCTCACACCGCAGTGTGGCCATGGTCCCTTCTGTGGCCTCCTTGTTTCTCAATTTTCCTATGAACTGGGCAGACAGGGCTGCAGCAGGTACAAATACAAAGTGCCTTGTTATCCCCCTGCCCTGGGGTGAGTTTCCCATTGGACCCTGGGCACGGCATGGACAGGCACACTCACTTTTCACTGTGAGCGTGGCTAAGGTTGTCTGGTCCCCAAAGGAGCATGAATATTGCCCACTGTCCAGGGGCTGCAGGTCTCGGATGACCAACTCCAGCACAGCACCCTCTTGGCGCAGACTGTACTTGCTGCTGGACTTCAGGATGTCTTCTCCACGACGCCACTCCACAGGTGCAGCCACGGATGACAGCACACAGCGTAGAGTGGCAGCCCTGCCCTCTGGCACCTCCACATCCTTCAGGGACTCCCTGAACCGCACTGGCCGAGCTAGGAACAGGCAGATTCAGTTCAGCCTCCTAGAGGAGGACCCCCACCTGAGCTCCAGAAGAGAAGCAGCTACAGGGTGTGGGACAACTCAAATATTGGATGCCAGTGGCAAGGACCCAAAGACCCCTGGGAAAGATGGGCCTGAAGGTATGTAAGTGGAAAGGTGGGCTTGGACCGGATTAAAGGCAAAGTATTATAGTCAGAACTGTGTCCCCCAAAAATTTAGACGCTGAAGCTCTAACTCGGGGTCTCAGAGTGTGATTGATTGGCAGTGTGGACTTCAAAGACATAGAATAAGGTTGTTGGAGTGAGCTCTTATCTCATCGGATTGGTATCCTTAACTAGGACACCAGCAGAGAAGAATAAGCAAGCACCTGGGAGTCACAAAGAAAATGGCATCTGAAAGCCAAGGGGACAGATCCTGGGAGGCCAGTCAACCTTGATCTCCTACTTCTATTCTCCACAGCGGGTAGACAATAAACTCCTATTGTACAAGCTGCCTGCCTGTACTGCTAGCTTAGGGCAGTCCAGGCAAGCCACGGGCAGGAAGAGGGACTCCAGAGGGTTCCCCCAAAGCCCAGTCAGGAATGGACCACAAGCAGGAGTCAGGAGACCAAGAAAGGGTGGGAGTCTACTGGGGCAGGGACCCTGAGACACAAGGAAGCCAAGTGCCCTATACAGCAGGCAGAGGGAAAGAACATATTTCCATTACCCCAAACATAGTCACCTGGCACCCTCACTCACCATGGATCCTGACGATGGAGCTGCTGGAAGTCCCGCCAACCTCACATTTGTATCGCCCACCGTCTTGCAGGGTGGTACCAGTGATGACCAGCTGGGCCCGACAGCCTTCACAGCTCAACTGGCATCGTGCAGATGGCCTCAGTGTCTTCCCATCTTTGGTCCAGCGTACAGAGCTATCCAAAGTGGTGGTTTCACAGACGAGAGTTAGGTCCTCCCCTTCTGTGACTGTAACATCGGTGAGTGGCTGAGAGAAGATGCTCGGCTTCTCTGGAGGACAGAGAAAAAGTAAAGGTACTTGGGACTGTGGTACCTCTGTAAGAGGACTAACACAATGGATCATGCAATGCCTGAATTGGTGAGGTCTGTTGGCCTCAGGCAGGAACCAGACAGAAAGGCAGGCTCTGTGTAGTCCCCATTCTGAAGGAAAACAACACATATCACATCACCCCCAAATTCTGAATCCAGAAATTAATTCTTAAAGAACCCAACTCAGTCTTCTGAACCAACTCCTAGAGATAAGAGACCCCCATGCCACTGGTTACCTTCCTAGGATGAGAGACCCCCATACCATTGACATCTAATCTTGCCTCTCCATGAGCCCTAGAACCACACTGTGCACCAGGCAGAGCTCAGAAAGATCTGGCATCTGCCCCTCTTCAAGGCTCTTCTAGGCCATGTAGTGTCCCCTTAGACACAAAACCCACCAGTCACCCGCAGGGCTGCTGAGGTCCGCTGATCACCCGCCTCAAAGTAGACAGTGCCTGAGTCCTTGAGTGCCAGTTGCCGCAGGGTGAGCACATGGTAGCCTCCAGGCTGGACAGTGATCTCGTTCAGCTCATTGCTGTGCAAGGGTGTCTTATCCAGGAACCAGTGCACAGGGCTGTAGTCAGCAGGGGAGATACGGCAGCAGAACTTGGCAGAGGAGCCTTCCTGAACGGCAGTGTCCTCTAGGTCCTCGGTAATGCGCACTTTCTGGCCTGCTAGGCAAAAGTCACATCAGAGCTCCTGCAGCCTAGGGCCAGGCTTGTCTAGCTACAAAGAGAAACAACTCACCCAAGACTCCAGGTGGGGCCATAAGCAAGTAGCCTACTTACCCCTTGCCAATGAAACTCAAAAGCAGATCCGAGCCATATATTTCCTCTGTAGGTCTGCCCCTGAGGCCCAAACCTACAACCACCTCTGACATCCTTTTGCTAAGATGGTGGAGGGTCCACAGCCTGCTGAAGCTCATGCACTCTCTCCTGCCCTTCATACTGAGCTTGGCTTGCCAACAGATAGATTGCCCGCTCCCCAAACCACTTACACCAGCAATGCTCACCATAGTATAGCACAATTCATACTGTAGTCAACTCACACTGACAGATGAATGGTGGATGCAAAAATGGCGACAGTTACCCCCCCTCTGCTGCAGACTCAACTGACTCCAGCCTTCCTGTTCCCTCACCATCTAGTCCCTTCCATTCTCCTCTCTGGTTCTGTGAGACAAAGTTTTTAGCATCCACAAACATGATGAATTGTGGTATGTGCCTCCCTGTGCCTGGCTTATCTCACTTACACTTCAAAGACCTTGAGGGAAAGCTTAAAGTCTCACAACATACAGAAATGATGACGACTCAACTATAGAAATGTGCTGCCAACACACACCCAGTTATCACACTGTATCTCACAGATAGATACAAAAGGAATTAATTGAATAGATTAAAATAATACAGAGAATCATGCCTACATTAAAATTTAAATTGAGGGCTGGAAGGGTACCTTCATGTTTAAAGACATGCACTGCTCTTCCACAAGACCCAAATTCAATTTCTAGCACCTACATCAGATGGCTCACAGCTACCTATAACTCTAGCTTCAGAGAATATAAGGCTTCCAGCCTCCTCAGGTACCTACACTCACATGACTATACTAGCATCTGGACACACACATACACACACACCTGTTACAGAATATGTAAATCCCTAGAAATATTTTGTCGTTGTTGAATTAAAAATGGTAAAGTTGCTGGGTGGTGGTGGTACACATCTTTAATCCCAGCATTTAGGAGGTAGAAGCCAGAGGAGCTCATGAGTTTGAGTCCAGCCTGGTCTACGGAGTGAATTCCAGGACAGCCAGGGCTACACAGAGAAACCCTGTCTCGGGAGGAGGAGGAGGATGGTAGATAGACATGGATCCTGCATACACACAGCTGCACCCACAAACACCTTTGGGGTAGGACTCCACTCAAAAGCTTTAATACTGGATGGCACAGAGAGAGAGGGCTCTGGTCAGTAGGCTGTCACACAAAGAATGGCTCGCCTCTACACATAGGCATCTGCATGGTTTACACTTAAGGTCTACATTTTACAGATTTTCTTTTTTGAGACAGTTTCATGTACCCCAGGATAGTCCTGAACTTGCTCTGATCTTGAACTTCTGCTCCTCCTATCTCTACCTCCCATAGTCTTGATGGAAAGTTTGTCTGGAACCCCACAGATACCAAAATCTGAGGGCACTCAAGTTCCATATTAAAAAAAAATGTTGAAGTATTTGTACTCTGCATACCTCTGCTGGTACAATTTTAATAACTGTTTTTTACTAGCCAATACAATGGAAGCACTTAGTGTAGTATTACACTGTATTGTTTAGGAAACAATGACAAGAAAGAAAGCCTTTGTTCATCACAGCCATATTTTCCTTCCCGTTTGTGTGCATGCATGTTTGCATGTGTGGAAGCACATGTCATGCATGTGCACAAACATGTAGAGGCTCCAGGTTGATGTCAGGAATCTTCCTAATAGCTCTTCCATCTAATTCAATGAGACAGGGTCTCACAATCAAGCCCAGAGCTCACTTATATGGTCAGTCTTGATAACCATATTGCTCTGAGATCTACCTCTCCACTTTCCCAAGCAACTGCACTTCCATGGACTCTAGGAGATCCAAACTCGAGTCCTTGTGTTTGCTGGCACAGCAAGTGCCTTGACAACAGGGACATCTCTCTAGCCACACTACTTCTTTTTCCACGTGTTTTTGATTAATGAATGAGAGGTTACATTTGAAGATGCAGAGATTGAAAATATAGTAAAATACGTAAACTTCGTTACATCTAGTTTTTGATGCTGAGGCTTCTTACATACATGAGTAACATTATTCCCTGAAGACAGACTTCAGAACACACAGAAAGCACCCACTATATAAATGAAGGCAGTCCGTTAGCTCCTTCACAAAAGGTCACACTAGGAAAGCCTGAGGTGCCCAGGGGATCTGTTCTACCCTTAGACATTGAGAAATTGAGGCTAGGCTGATCTAGAACAAGCAGAGTCCTGATGACTGACCACTTCTGAGCCTCCAGAGTCTACTTCAGATAAAGCAGACCAGAGCACCCACTAAGGAGCCAAGAGCAGCATGCAAATGAAGGCTGCCTCACCATGGACAAGGAGTCGGGCCTGAGTCCGGGCTTGGCCAATGTCACAGGTATAGGTGTCACTGTCTGTCCTCTCCAGGGCATTGATGGTGAGCTTCAGGGTCAAGCCATCCTGGCTGGGGGCATGCTTCCCTGAGGCACGTAGCTCCAGGAGGCCCTTGCGCCATGTCACAACAGATGCTGGGTGTTCTGTCTTGCACGAGAACACAGCTACACCCTTCTCTTCCACCTGCAGGTCAGTCAGCTCCTCGGTGAATCGGTTTGCCTTTTCTGGGTAAAGGACAAAACAGGCAGGGATGGGACATAAAGCTGCTCTCACCAATTAGGTTCTATCCCCACAACCTGAGCGCACAGGCTGACCTGAGTGGGTACCTCCACTGAGGTCCTGGGGGTGGTCCCAGCCATGTTCAGGGAAGACTGATAGGGTCATGTGCTTACCTTCCACAAGAATCTTGGCAGTGCTTTTGGAAGCTTCTGTCTCACAGGTGTACTCTCCAGAATCCTTGAGTGAGGCCTTTCGGACAACCAGCACAGCCCGTGTGCCTTCGCTGAGCAGGTCGTACTTCTGACTCTTTCGGATGGCCTTCCCATCTTTGAGCCAGCGCACAGAGGTGCCGGCCCTAGACAGCTCACAGCTTAGCATCACATGTTCTCCAAGCGTAGTCCGCTGGTCCTCCAAGGGCTTTGTGATCTCCACTGGCCTCTCTGAAATAAGTGGAGATGGCTTCTGTGAGGCACGCCCTTAGTTAGCTACAGAACCAGCATGGCCTTGGTCACCACTGCAACAATCCCTTAGAAATGGCCTCAGCCATGGCCAAGATGAGGACAGACAGGCATTTAAGAACATGCATTCTCTAGAGATCAAAACCACAGAGCCTATAGCCCTTGACTCCTGGGGCCCAAGACATTGAAGTGATGGAAGCCCTCACTGCAATGGTGAGACCTAGAAGGTATGGATATAAGGGCACCTCATTCAGGGCTCTTACGAGGGTATGGCCACAACTTGACTGGTCCCTGGGCAGATCCACCCATGAGCACCAAGTGTGTGAAGCAGAAACACAAGCATCAAGACATCAGAGGCTACTTCTTCTCAGCCTCCCTGGCCTCAGCTTAAGTCTCAGACTGGCTGAGTAAGCTTCCTGCACTGAGAGCAGTCAGTCCATGGGTGAGAGACCGGAATTCTCAGCTTGCTCTAGAAATTCAGATGCCCAGGCAGGAATATGACTCCCTTCAATAAGGAAATTTTCCCCAGGACCCCAACAGATATATTGGTTTCCCATCATGATGGATAGGTAGTCCCTAGAAGCAGTTCAACGGTGCCCCAGTTCAAAGTGTCAGGCCCCTGTCCCCAGACACAACACCCACCTCTGATGATGAGCGAGGCCTTGGATGTGAGCCCCATCACCGAGAAGACCACCTCCCCTGCATCACTGAGCGCAGCATCTTTGACTGTCAGAATGTATTTGCGGCCCTGGCGAGTGGCCAGGAAGTGGCCAGAGCTACCCACTGTCTTCCCGCCAACCGTCCACACTGCTGGGTCACTGTCACTCTCATGGGACAAGACACACTCAAAGCTGCAGCTCTCTCCTTCCAGTACCTCCACTGTTTTTAACCTCTTGGTGATGCCCACGTGCAGCCCTGTGGGACATAAAAAACAAGTCACCCACCAGTCAGCCCATAGATGTCAACCTCAGGGAACAACAGTAGTATCTCATGCCAGGCAACGGGAAAGGTCGGGTTATACTACATGTCCCAGTTTCCCACTGTCCCCAGCTCCACACAGGATGACAAAGAGTGGTATCACCAAATTGGCACCAAAATCCTAGCTTCAAGCTGGCATGGCCTAGTGTTTACATGATTGACAGCTATGAGCTTCAATCAAGGGAGGAGGAGGCTCTTTCACACCTCTAACCATCTTGTGACACCAGGAGAGGAGGGACAGGGAGCCCATAAGTGACCCCTTCCAGAGACAGCAAGTGTAATCCTATGGAAGTCTCACTGTGCTCCCTTCTCATAAGGCTGTCACAGAGCCCTAGAGGGATCATGAGTGAACAGGCTGCCAACCCGTCTCCTCCAAGCCAGGATGCCAGACCTGAGCCAGGACAGTGGATGGCTGGCCAAGCTGAGTGAGGTTAAGGGGAATCTACCTCTTTAAAGTAACAGTGCTAAGTGGAGCAGCAACTATAAGCCTAGGAACTTTGTGGGGCTCTGTGAAGAACAGGAGCATAGATGGCATGTAGGCCTTTGTACCTGCAGGACTGGACATCCACCCTTGGCCTGTGAGCCCTTTACAGGTTGTCTCCTGGTCACACCTCTAGTGTCCCACACATGCCTGGCCGATTTCCTCTCAATCCCAATACATGGTACAGATCAAATGTCAGGGATCTGAATGGATCCATACCAGCCCCACACTGGGAGGCTCTGTAGATTAAAGTCCCTTAGCCCATTTGCCTGCCCCCCGGACCTCAAAGGGCTACGTTAAATCCCCTGTGCTACAGACAGCTTCTCTGGTGCCTCCTGAATACACAGAACAGCCTTTCGTCTTAAAGAACAGCCTGGAGCCTCTGGATGGAAGAAGGCCTAGTACCGTTATGGTGATTTGGAAAATGGCCCCTGCAGAGGGAATGGCACTGTTAGGTGTGGCCTTGTTGGAGGAAATGTGTCACTGTGGAAGTGGGCTTTGAGGTCTCATATACTCAAGCCATGCTTAGTACATAGTTGCTTCTACTGCCTGCAGATCAAGAATTGGCAGAACTCCCAGCCAATTCTCTGGCACCATGTGTGCCTACTGCATGCCACCATGTCCCCACCATGAAGATAATGGACTCAACCTCCGAAACTGCAAGCCAGCCCCAATTAAATGTTTTTCTTTTTAAGAGTTGTCATGGAGGGAGGACCTAGTCCCTACCCCAAATGACTAGACAGATTTGATGATTCCTCCTGGAAGACCTCACCCTCCCTGGGGAGTGGGGCAGGGAATGGGACGGGAGGGGGCGGAGGGACATGGGAGGGTAGAAGGGAGAGGGAACTGGGATCAATATGTAAAATAAGAAAAAAATAATAAATTAAAAAAAGTTATCGTGGTCATGGTGTCTCTTCACACCAATAGAAACCCTGAGACAGCCATCCTGCACGAGAGCCCTGGCCACTCACCATGCACACTGACCCTGGACCGGGTCTCCTCGCTGCCCACATGGCAGGTGTACAATCCAGCATCCTCACGGCTCAGGTCATGTACCGTAAGGCCCCGGGTGCCTGCCTTATGTACAAAGTCATACTTGTCACTGGGACCCAGCTCCACACCATCTTTGCGCCAAACCACACGTGCGGCGGGGTCTGAGACCTCGCATTGCAGTGTCAGTGTGCCACACTCTTCTGCAGATACGTCATCCAGCACTTTCAGGAACACCACCGGCTTTGCTGGAGAGATGGCATGGGCTAGTGAGGGGAGCCTGTGACCACCGGGGGGGAGGCCACCCCACAGACCCCACAGGACTTCTCACCTCTGACCACTAGCTGGGCGGAAACCGACACCTTGGGGGAGGTGGCGCGAACAGTGCCTGCATCAGCCTGCCGGACACTCTTCAGCACCAGTGTGTGGACACAGCCCTCATGGCTGATCTCGTGGAAGCTGTCATTGTACAGGGGTACCCCATTGAGCGACCATTCGATGTCCTCGTCCTTATGGGATAGCTCACATGAGAAGCAGACCCGGCCTTCCTCCGTGGCTTCAGCATCCTGCAGTGGCTGAGTCACTGTTACCTCCCGAGCTGCAAGGTACACACCAGCACCTCAGCACTGTGCCGACAGCCACCCCGGCCCTGAGGTGGGGGCCACTGCCCTCCCCTCCTTCCCAGCTCTCTACCTTCTACGGTAACCTCGGCACTGCTGTGGGCACTACCGGCCTGGCACCGATAGACCCCGGCATCAGCTGGAGTGAGACGGAGTATGCGCAGCTCTGCCATCTGGCCCTCCAGCACCATCTTGAACTTTTCTGATGGGGTCAGAGGTGTGTCCTCCTTGTACCACTGCACAGCCTTGGGGGCCGGCCTGAAGTCACACGACAGGACTACCGACTGCAGCTCACGCCCTGCTTTGGGTTCCAGCGGCCGCGTCAATACCACAGGGATGTCTAGAGAGAACAATGCAAAGGCAGGGCTGGGAGCCACAAGAAACCAGACCACCCTGCCTACCCTAGGCACCAAGCCACTTGCATCCACAGCCCATAAAATGTGCCTGGCCCTCTCCTTTGGGGGTTGCTGCACATGCTCCTCACTGCCCGTATACACCTCTGTCCCAGCCAACATACATTGCCCCGTGATGCCCTGGCCCAAAGCCCTGCCATGCCTGCCTGCCTATATCCTACTTGTCAAGTCTCTGACCACATCCATATCCCCAAAGCCAGCTCCCACTAAGCCCACCCGTGTACTGCCCAGTGCCCATGCTCTGCTCCACACTCTGTCAAACCACAGCCTTGAGCCCAAGCATGACTGCTTTGGCATGTGTCACCTATGCCTGGCCACTGATGCCTGGCCACTGTTCCTATGTCCTGCCCCAAGCCATGTCCATCCATGGCCCTGAACTATGGCCACCCACATCTCTGAGCTGTGTCCATCTTCAGCTTTGCCCCACACGGTACACTAACCTGAGACAACCAGCTGGGCGGAGGAGCGAGACTTGCCGATGGTGAAGTGCACAGGCCCGGTCATAGTGGAGCAGGTCTTGTGTAGTGTCAGCCGGTGCACAGTGCCATCTTGCTCCAGGCCCACGTTTGCTCCTGCCTGGAGCACAGTCTTACCAAGGAGCCACTTGGGTGGCCTCACGGAGGGGATGGAGGTCTCACATTCAAACCAGGCTGGGGCGGGCTCCATAACTGTCATGTCCTGCAGGCCTCGCACAATAGTGATGGATTGCTCTGTGGATGAGGAGCTGGTCACCAGTGAGACCCTACAAGAGGGAACAGTCTCCCCACCCTAGAAGCGTCTGTTCCTTCTTATCTCTCGCTACCATGTAGCTAAGCATCCTTCCCCAGCTGTCTGAGTATCCCCACTCAGACCCCTTTCAGAGGCCATGTCCTCCAGAATCTCCAGAACAAGCCACAGAAACCACAAATCCCCACCACCACCACCGGAGACCCAAGAGGACTGCCCACCCCTTTATCCCATACCTTCCACAAAGAACTGGGCACTGGTCTTGACATCACCAGCATCACAGGTATAAGTATCTTCATCCTCAGGCTGCACATCATTGATGACTAGCTTGCGGTAAAGGCCATCGCTGACCACCTCATACTTGGGCCCAGGCTGCAGCTCAACTCGGCCCTTGAACCACCGCACCTGGGCACTGGCCCGGGACACCTGGCACTCAAGCACACCACGGTGTTTTTCCATGGCAATTTTATCCCGCAGCGGGCGCAAGAGGGTCACGGGCAGCTCTGTGGGCACAGTCAGGTGGGGTCAGGATGGTGACCTGGATGGAAGCTTTGTCTTGACAACCTCCTAGGTGCCAAGAGAACTCTGCCCTAAACCAGCTGCCCATGCCTTCCACCAGGCCAGCATGTGGCCCAGTCAAGTGTCCCACCCAGGGCTAATCTAGAATCAGCTGGGTACAATTGACCACCAATAAAGTGGAGCCTGGAGTCTTCGAATCTCTTCTTCCCACTGAGGAGACTATACTCTCTTCATGAATCAGTGCTGCCCTGTAGTGGTGGTGGCACGTCCCAACACATCCCAGCCCTGTGGTAAGCCAGGTGTGTGCAAGGCCCAGCTCACCATGTCCAGTCCCTGTCCTCCCCTCAACCCCCCTCACCTTTTACTCGGAGGTGGGCTCTTGATTCTGCATTTTCAGCTACAAATTTGATCTCCCCTGCATCTTCCGCCAGTACCCTCCGGAAGATAAGTGTGTATGTCCTCCCTGGAGACAAAGGACACTCAGTCCTGCTGAGAGAGAGGAGAGCAGCCTGGGGGACCCACCCATGCTGCTCCGCAGCCCTCCTGCCCTCTTACCTTCCTGCCGGATGCGCACATTGTCACTGGGCCGTAGCTTGCTGGATTCTCGGAACCACAGGCCAGGAACCTCATCATGGGACACCTCACAGGAGAAGGTGGCACCCTCCTTCTCCATCACCTCCACATCCTCCAGTGGCTTCGTAATCTGAACACTGCGGCCTGGGGGAAGGGAGAGAGGGCTGTTGTGGAGGTTTGAACAAGAATATCCCCCATAGGCCCATATATTTGAATGCTTAGAGAGTGGCATTAGGAGGTGTGGCCTTGTTGGAGGAAGTGTGTCCCTGGGGGTTTCAAATGCTCATCCCAGGCCCTGTGTCTCTCTTTTCCTGCTGCCTTTGGATCTGGATGTAGAACTCTCAAGCTGCTTCTCTAACACCATGTCGGCCTATGTCCCGCCACGCTTCCCACCATAATGACAACAAACTAAACCTCTGAACTATAAGCCAGTCCTAATTAAATGTTTTCCTTCATAAAAAAAAAAAAAAGAGTTGTCGTGGTCATGGTGTCTCTTCATGGCAAGAGAACACTGACGAAGACAGCTGGCATGCCCAGAAGCATAGGGCACTCCCAGCACATCCACTCCCGGCATGCAGCCGGGCTGGGGGAAGCAGAGGTACAAGAGCACACTGCTCATAGCTGCCAACTTTCCCTGCCCTCTCTGCACAGAACTCACCCTGAACCTTCAGGGAGGCTGAGGTCTGAGCATCAGAAGCATCACACACATAGACACCCTGGTCCCCAATCTCACACCGGTAAATAACGAGACTCCTGCAGGCTCCCTGGGCCACTATGTTCATGGTCTTGCCTGCACGCAGCTCCACACCATCCTGTGGGGCAGAGAGGACTGGTCAAGCACTAGAGTGGCTCAGGAGAAGGGGTTCGCCTCCTGGATGCCCACAGGAAAAAGCAGGGAGGAGAGAGAAATACCTTCAGCCAGCGCACATCCACTGGCCGTGACAACTCACACTCCAGTGTCACCTTCTCTTTCTGGATAGCCACCACGTCCTGTAGTAGTCGGGTGAAGCTCACCGGCAGCTCTGACGTGGGAGATAGGAAGGAAGACATGGAGCTAGGAGAACTTTCTGATAAGGTGGGCTAATAGTAGTCACGGGGCAGGGGCAGTTTCCACCTGGTCCCATTTGCCTCCCTGGACCACTTAGGGAAATGAAATAGGTGTGCTCTGGAGTGGTGAGCTTCACCTACTCACCAGTGACTATGAGCTGTGCAGACGTGTGTACGCCCTCAGCCCTGAAGGCCACCAACCCGCTGTCCTGTGGCCTCAGTGCTGAGAGTGTGAGGATGTGGACAGGGCCTTGTACAGCCAGGCGGCATGTGGGCCCAGGCTGAAGTCTCAGGCCATCTCGCGTCCAGCTGCCCTCCACATCAGCATGGGACAACTCCACATCCATGGAGGCCGTGCCCTGTTCCTTAGCTTCCACAGCCTGCAAACCTCGAACCAGTCGGACCTGCCGCACTGTCAGACAGACTCCAGTGAGCTAGAAAACTGAGACCCTCCAACCGGCCAGGACTCAGACACAGATGTGGGTTCATCCTACCTCCCTGGAGGCTACAGAGCAGAGTATGGGCCCAGGCGTTCACCCCCCAGTCACCACCTCCACCCAGTTCTACCTCAAGCCCAGCTGACCCCAGGCCTGACCCTCCAAATCCTCCTCTGTGTCTTCCTTCCTTGGATCCTCTTACCAGAACCAGGGTCACTGCCTATCTCCCCAAAAGGAAACCCACCCCTCCTCACAGCCAACACAAAGCCACATTCCCCCACTTCTGGAGGAGTCCCCCTCTTCCTCCAAGGTCTTACTTTCTACATTGAGCTTGGCCTGGGTCTTATCATCTGGTGTCTCACAGCCAAAGAAGCCACGGTCAGCAAAGCCCACACTACGCAGCACCAGACGGTGCCGAGCTCCCTCAGCATGGATCTCCACATTCTCGCCAGGCACCAGGACGGCAGCATTCCGTGTCCACTTCACCTCAGGCCAGGGCCGCGTCAGCTCCACTTCCAGCACCACAGAGCTCTTCTCCTCCACTGTCTGGGGCTCAAGCTTCTTCTTGAAGAGGGCTGGTGCCTCTGAGACAGAAGAGTGGAGGTCATCTTGACCATTTGGGGCCTAATCGGGCCCTTGAGCCATCCTGAGTCCAGGCCAGAGAGTCCTCTTCCAAGCAGGGCAGGCCCAAACTGCACACCTTGCATAGGGGCATTGTATGAGGGAAGCTAAGACTGTTTCTTCTTCAGTCCCATTCCCCTTCACAAGCCCTGCTGCCCTGCTCCAATCAATGGTGCCAACTCCTAACTATGGCCACATGCCATCAACAGCCAGCCTCAGCATCCACGACCCCTCAGCCATTGCCCCATTGTCTGCCCTTTAACAAGGCCCCAGGACACTTGCTCATGATAAGACACATGCAGAGGACAAAGGCCGCCATGTGAGCCGAGCTATCCCATTATTCCCCCTCTTCTGGGAGGCCCACCCATCTTCATTACTCCTCCACTCAAGAGCCTGCCATACCTGTCATTTCTTCAAATAAAGCCCTGGCTCTTGAAGCACACCCATCCCTCCTGCTTTTGAGATTTTGAGTACAGCCTCCATCTTGCTTTGCCACTGCAGACTCAACCAGAGACCACTTTCTCCAGAAAAGGACCTCTACTGCTCCCACCAAATCACCTCATCCACAGCTGATAAGGATCCGTGTCCCCCAGGGCCAACCAGATCAGCCCAACACAAGTGAGCAATATGCCTCGAGGAAGGAAAGGCACCTGTTGCATCTTGAGAGTCCTGCCAGCTCCAAGCTTACCTCGGACCCGGAGAGTGGCAGAAGATGAGGCACCCTCAGCCTCCACTGTGATGTGGCCTGCATCCTCCAGGGTCAAGCCCAAGATGGTCAAGCTACAGGTGGCCCCGCTCTGTGCCATGATAAACTTCTCGCTGGGTAGTAGCTGGATGCCATCCTTGTACCACACAACTGCTGCATCACTGGGGGACACGACACACTGAAAGGTGGCCTCTTGGCCCTCCTCTACGACCACGGCACTCAGTCCAGATGTAAACTTGACCACTCGGGGAACTGCAGAAGGGAAAGTCTTCTTAAGTGGACACATGAGAGGCTCTGCAGAGACGCACCCGAGATAGACACACGGAAGGACCTCTCCCCCGGGAAGCCACCTTAGCTCACCCACGGGTACCTTTGACAGTGAGCCGTGCGCTGGTTCGGTCATCACGGCTCTCACACACATACTCCTCTGCATCATCCTCTCGAAGGCCAGACACGGTCAGTGTGCGCCTGGGCCCTTCAGATGTTATCCGGAAGCGTTTGCCCTCCCGCAGCTGTGTGCTCCCACAGAGCCACACCACCTCAGCCTGCTCTGGGGTCAGCTCACAGACCAGCTTCACAGTGCCACCCAGTTCCCCTTCAATGGGCTCCAGGGGTTTGGAGAACTTGGTGGCCACCTCTGAGGATAGAAGAAGGTGTCATCCAGTGCTCTGTGCTGATGGCCATGTGTCCTGAGCCCCACTCTGGGGCTGCTGTGAGATACTGTCTACTAGTCTTTGGGGCAGACACAGGGACCTTAGAGGAGATCCAGACCCCTGGCCCCTAAACACCACTTACCTTCCACCTGCACCGGAAAGTCCTGACCTTGCTTGCCAACACGGCAGCTGTAGATGGCGCTGTCCAGCACCTGTGCACCTCTCACAGTCAGGGTGTGGGTATCACCAAGGCTAGTGGCCTCATACCGCTTACTGCGGCGAATCTCCACACCATCTTTGAGCCAAGTCACAGCAGCCACAGAGGGTGCAGCCAGAGTGGCAGTCAGGACAATGTTCTCGTGTTCCTTGACCACTAGAGGCTCCCTGCGGCTGGGTTTCTCTGGAATGTGGGACTCGGGCTCTGGTTCTGAGGAGAAGTACATAGGCACAAAAGTAAGGACCACCACACATGACTAGCTGCTGCTCCTCTGTTCAGTCAGCAATGACATTAGGTCTCCTAAAGGTCATCATCACCAGCACTGTCCCAACCAAGAACCCAGGAGTCCTGCACTCCAGGGAGACTTCAGCCCACAGGCCAGAATGGTATGAAAAAGTAGGCAGCCAGCACCCCAGAGTATGACCGGCCTGACCTGGGATGAGATTAGAAGTCCATAGAGGCTGCCTGGGAAGATAGCCTGGCAGCCAATACACTATAGGTAAAAGTCAGGGTGGGTGTGGAAGGAGACCAGGATGGTTTAGCAGAGCCTCATCCAGAAGTTACGAATGAAGGACCACATGCTTGAGATGTACAGGTGTGTCAAAGGCCACAGCTAAGGACAAGTACAGCTAGTTGGGCACAGTAGTAGCCAGTTCTGAACAACACCATGGCAACAGACTACAGCTGAACTACCAGGAGGACTCCAAGGCCAATATAGGGCCATGTGCTTGCAACAGGAAGAGCAGGTTCCTGAACCTCTGGCCTGGACACTGACAGCCCACAGGGACTCAGAACTGCAGGATGGTCCACTCAAGCCCCATCCAAACAAGGGCCCTTCCTCTAGAACTTCAGGTTTATCAGGTCTTACACCTAAAGAAGTCACCCCAAAAGAACTGGTGTTGAGGAAGGAGGCAGAGGTCAACAGGGGAATGGACTGGAACAGGAGATAACAGAAATACGTGAGAAAGGGGATCTGTCCTCGGAGTAGAGGACAAGGGGCAGTAGAGAAATAAAAGGAACAAAGAGAGGGCTGTGAGAACCAGATAAGATGCAGTGGTCAGCTGCATCTCTGTCCTGAACACAATGACACCCACCTGTGACATCCAGACGGAAGGAGACCTTCTGTCCCCCGGCCTCACAGCTGTACTCCCCAGCATCCGCCTTGCCCGCCTGCTGCAACACCAGCCTCCTCTCACAGCCAGAGGCCTCCACTCGAACCTTCGAGCTGGAGCTCAGCTTCTTCCCATCCTTGAACCAGGTCACCTCAGTCTGGGCCTGGGCCACCTCGCAGCTCAGTGTGGCACTGGCCCCTGCCTCTGCCTTCACCTCGCTGCATGCCTGCTGCTCCTTGGCAAACACCACCTTGGTGTCTAGGGACAAATGGGGACACACAGGATCAGAGACTCTGTCTAGGTCAGAAAAGCCACACAAGTGAAAGAAAGATTGGATATGGTGGCCATAGGATAGAGCACCCTCCAGGCTCTGCGGTTGATGTGATGGGTTAAGAAGTCTCAGCACCTCTGGGCACAAAACCATAGTTCATACACACATCCCACCCCGCTATAGGAGGGTTCTCTCACAGGTTTTGTTGCCTCACCAGGTGGAGGACCATTCCCGGTTCTGGCCACTAGTTCTTGGCCTTCCATGATGTAACATTTACTCTATGGCTAATACTGCCTCTGCCCTATCTATTCATAGTCTCAGGCACTCTCTATGGGTTCACATACTAAGGCTGTGTCTGCAGCGTTCACAGTATCTCCCCATCTGCCATGTGTTAGATGTAAGATACACTAATGTAAGGTTTCATTGGAGATAGAAGTGTTGGTTTTCATTTGTGTTGAGTGGATTTATATCTTAATATTATATTATGTCTTAATTAAATAATATTATCACAAGATCTTAAATAATCCATAGTGTCTGCTCAGAGCTGTTTTCCTCGTCAATCGAGTCTGATGCAGCCAGGCTTCATGCCTGCTGCTCCTTAGTAAAACCAGCAAGATGGACCCATGGAGCATCAGGAAGACTCTGGGCAAGAACGAAAACATAAGAAAGATAACCACCCCCCAACCTGGAAGCATCTCTCCAGATACTAAAGAAGAAAAGGACCTTCCGTGGACACCCTTCCCATTCAGTGTCCTGCTCAACACTGGATTAAACATGGGGATGGGAAGAGTGGAGAGAGCATCGGGTCAGCCATGGTCAGTCATGACGTACCATGGGCTAAAATACAGAGGAGTGAAGGGAAGAAGACACACAGGGTCAGTCATGGACATGAGCCAGTCATCACCTCCACACAAGCCTTAGTGTCACAACACCCACCTGTGACATCCAGACGGAAGGAGACCTTCTGTCCTCCAGCCTCACAGCTGTACTCCCCAGCATCCGCCTTGCCCGCCTGCTGCAACACCAGCCTCCTCTCACAGCCAGAGGCCTCCACTCGAACCTTCGAGCTGGAGCTCAGCTTCTTCCCATCCTTGAACCAGGTCACCTCAGCCTGGGCCTGGGCCACCTCACAGCTCAGTGTGGCACTGGCCCCTGCCTCTGATTTCACCTCACTGTGTGCCTGCTGCTCCTTGGCAAACACCACCTTGGGCTCTGGGAACAAACAGATGCATAGAGTCAGAGACGTTGTCTAGGTCAAGAAGACCACTTCGGAAAAGAGCTTGACTGGGTCAGCTGGAGATCAGAACTTCCTCTTGGCTCCATACTGAGTATTATGCCCAGGAGAGAAACTCCAATGCCTCTCAGTACAAAAGCAGATCATCCACACGGGACACTTAGACTGGAGGAGGGCATGTGACATGTTACAGAGTGTCTGATGCAAGTGTCCTTGAGGGAAGGACCACAGGGAGACTTCTACCCCTCCATGACAACAGAACACCACCTATAGCATTGTTCAGGGACCATCTTCACCACGTCTGAGGGTCCCTGAGGCCCCGTGCCCTTGCCTGCTATGAGCAAAATCAGCTGTTATGTCAGGAAGGAGCTGAGCTGTCTATGGTTAGACCTTGTCCTGATGCCTCACCAGGAAGGGGCCAACCTGATTTTGGCTATTAGTGCTTGGTTCCCCTTAGTGTAACATTTATTAAGTGATTAATAGTGTTGTCAGCCTTTTCATAGCCCTTCTATGCATACTTTCTTAGCATATTTTCCCATGCTAAGGCTCTGACTATTATGAACTAGTGTCTTCCGGTCAGCCATGGGCTTTTGTTTTCCCTCTCAAGTAGTATCTTCTGATGACATAAACGCATATCATAGGTTACATGGACACAGTGTTTCCACAGAATGAAAAGTAATGTTATTCATGCTGAATGCATTTAAGTTCTGTTCAAGTATTATTATCACAGTATTATATAACCTGTAGTGTCCACCGAGAGCTGGTTCAATAGAGTCTGCTGCCAATGGGTACCAGTGTTTATCTGGAGTGAGGAACACATCCATCATTACTGTACTTTATGTACTGATATGTACGGCTGTGTGTGGTCACATCACCATTTTCCTAACAGCACTTTCTTTTCCATGCCTCCAACCAAAGCCATGGTCAAAACACACTAAAAGGAAGGTGGGGGGCCTGGCTATTCCCAAGTTTGTTTTCAAGTTCCCTAATCCATTTCTGGTCTGTTGCCCATACCTACACTGACATTCAGCTGTCTCCAGCACAACAGCATCAAAATAACCTTAGACAGATGAAGCAGTCTGTCTTCATGACTCCTTTGACTCTAGTTGGACCTTGGAATCATTTTTGTTTTGTTTTGTTTTGTTTTGTTTTTTCGAGACAAGGTTTCTCTATGGCTTTGGAGGCTGTCCTGGAACTAGCTCTTGTAGACCAGGCTGCTCTTGAACTCATAAAGATCACCTGCCTCTGCCTTCCAAATTCTGGGATTAAAGGTTTGCGCCACCACCGCCCAGCGGGCCTTGGAATCATCTTGTCAATTTTCACAACACCAAAAGATCCTCACTGTGATAGTCATCAAGAATAAATATCTCTCTTGGGCTGGAGAAAGGGTTCAGCAGGTAAGAGCACTGGCTGCTCTTCCAGAGGATCCACATTCAATTTGTAGCACCCATAGGGCAGCTCCAGTTCCAGAGAATCTGATGCCCTCTTCTGGCTTCAGTGAGCTGTGCACATATGTAGACCACAAGCTATTCATGCAGGCAAAATACTCACATACACATAAAATTAAAATAAATAAGTAAATTTCTAAATAAACATATCTGGTTTATCACACCACTAATCCTCTCTTTTCTCCCTAAATGAAGTTTCCCCAGAGGCCTAAACATGCCTAGTCATGGAACAAAAACCATGACATGTGTTCCCCAAGTTCTTCTGAGCTATCCTTCTCCCCATGTAACCCTATCATCTGTAGCATCTACCTTTACAATAAATGTGTTTCTTTAATTTGTGCTCTTTCTTGGGGTTTCATGTTGGATAGCTGATGGGGGATGTCCTTCTGTGTGCCGTGACTATATATTTCTCTTATTGGACGATGAATAAAGCTGTTTCAGCCAATGGACAGGAAGCGTGTAGCCAGGCACGAAGACAGGTGGGATGACCAGACTAGGAGAATGCTGGGGAGAGGAACACAGAGAGGAGCCACCAGAGAGATGCAATGTAGCTACTACGAAAGTAGGACATCCAGGAATTCTCCAGTAAGATAAGTCCATGTAGAAATACGTAGATTAATAGTTATGGGTTAATAATTAAGAAAAAGCTAGATAGCAAGATGTCTATAAGCCATCAACCAAACAGTTTATAATTAATATAAGCCTCTGTGTGTTTATTTGGAACTAAACGGCTATGGAACCAGATGAGACAGAAACTCCAGTCTTCTAACTCCATCTGTACAGGCCTCCAGATCTCTATGGTTAGCTAGTGGCAAGCTCCATTCTCTGACCTTCAGACAGGATTTAGTTGCACAAGCAAGATATCATCACAAATATGCATTGTTACATTAAGACCCTTTGAAATCATCAGTGAAGAGAAAGCTTGCATGGCTGTAGCCCTTCACTATTACTACTGCTCCAAGGAACACCCTTCTGGAGATGTGTGCCTCTCTGAGGAGCACCCTTCTGGAGATGTGTGCCTCTCTGAGGAGCACCCTTCTGGAGATGTGTACCTCTCTGAGGAGCACCCTTCTGGAGATGTGTGCCTCTCTGAGGAGCACCCTTCTGGAGATGTGTGCCTCTCTGAGGAGCACCCTTCTGGAGATGTGTGCCTCTCTGAGGAGCACCCTTCTGGAGATGTGTGCCTCTCTGAGGAGCACCCTTCTGGAGATGTGTGCCTCTCTGAGGAGCACCCTTCTGGAGATGTGTGCCTCTCTGAGGAGCACCCTTCTGGAGATGTGTGCCTCTCTGAGGAGCACCCTTCTAGAGATGTGTGCTGCTCTGAGGAGCACCCTTCTGGAGATTTAGGAATTCAGTCTTTACTCCTAGGCCAACAGGTATTTTTATGAGGCCAAGGCCTCAGGATTGCAGGGTCAAGGTTCTATCATAGAGCCACAACTCCACAAAGAGGGCATTTTACATGAGTACATGTTAAACTGTCTTTGATGTATGATCTAAAATGCTGTCAAATACTTTCTTTTGTATTTGTTAAATACACGAACAATATTTTTTTCTTTTTTAAAAAAAAATCTTACTGTCATATTAACTTTCACATTCTCGTGTTAAACCATCCTTGCATTCCTGGCTGACAACTGTCATCCCTGCATACTAAGCTCTTCACTATCACTCTATTCACTTTGCTACAAGTTTATATAGATGTTCTCTTCAGTGTGCATAAGAGAACGTGTATTCGTTTCAACTTTTAACTGCCATTTTAGTATTAACACTGTATTGTCAACATAAAGTACACTGGCAGTATATATTCCCTTTGTGTTCTCTAGAAGAATCACTGTGATCACAGAATTTGCAGAACTTGACTATTTCCCTATGACTTATTTTGAAGTAGGGTTTCATTTCTTTAAAAAGTTATGAGTATACTAGGTTAGATGACTCTGTGGATAAAGTGTTTGTCGCACATACATGAGCCCCAGGATCCACAACCAAACTGAATGCAGCAGTGTATATCTATAACCCGTGTTCCTACAGTAGGGTGGGAAGCAGACACAGGGGAATCACAGGAAGCTGTGGGTCAGTTAGCCTAGGAACACAGGGGTGAGCTACAAAAGATTCTGCCTCAGAGGCAACTTAACCTCCTCTGACCTCTGCACATGCACTATGGCACATGCATGCCCACATTCACACACATGAATATGTACACACATGTGTCATACATGCACATACCACTCAACACAACATATATTAGCTGGGTAATGGTGGTACATGGCTTTAATCCCAGCACCCAGGAGGCACAGGCAGGCAGATCTCCGAGTTCAAGGCCAGCCTGGTCTACAGCGAGAGTTCTAGGACAGCCAGCGCTATGCAGAGAAGCCCTGCCTGTGTGTGTGTGTGTGTGTGTGTGTGTGTGTGTGTGTGTGTGTGTGTGTGCATGTGTGTGTGCATGCACACATGAGAATATATATCATATTAAAATCATAAATATCAAATAAAAGGTTACAGAAATACTTAAATCCCTAGGACATTTTCTTTAAGCTTTATAGTAATTTTTCAGGAATTGGTGAAGAGTTTATTGAAACTCTTGAAACTTACCTACATACATTGATGTCATAGTCCTTTAAAATCATTTGTCAAAAAGATTCCCAATAGGTCTTCCATTTGGCCCTTTTGTACACTACAATAGCAAACTAACCTCAGAGGGTAGGGAACCACACCCAGTCTATAACACTTAAAGACTCTTTGAACTATAGAGCAGTGTTAGCTCATAGACCATGCGGTGTCAGGCAGGGAATGCCACATTACCCAACTGATAGGAAGATACTGTGGAAGGAATTGGCTTTCCCATTGGAGGTACTCCTGTGGTACTTCATCTCTCACAGTTTGTAGATGTGCCATAAGCATCACAGTCATTCTCAAATCTAAATGCATTCATTGAAATCATTAAAAGGAATTAAAAAGAATGTTTCGAGTAAGGGGGAAAAAGTTGCTTCAAAGAGAGACATCCACAGCTCAGAGACGTGTGTCACTGGCCCTTATCCATTAGCCTTGTATTCTTGGTTCCTCCATATATACACTGCCACAGAACACGCGTGCAGACAGTGCCACATGGGATAACATCCGTCCCATTCAAGGACAAGCTCAGCACAAGTGATGAGAGAGACATTAAGAGACAATGTATAACAGACAAAGCCCAGGGTCAGCCCTGGGCATGAGCTAGTCACTGAACCCCCACAAGGCCAACTTGGTGCCTTGATACCCACCTGTGACATCCAGATGGAAGGAGACCTTCTGTCCCCCGGCCTCACAGCTGTACTCCCCAGCATCCGCCTTGCCCGCCTGCTGCAACACCAGCCTCCTCTCACAGCCAGAGGCCTCCACTCGAACCTTCGAGCTGGAGCTCAGCTTCTTCCCATCCTTGAACCAGGTCACCTCAGTCTGGGCCTGGGCCACCTCGCAGCTCAGTGTGGCACTGGCCCCTGCCTCTGATTTCACCTCGCTGCGTGCCTGCTGCTCCTTAGCAAACACCACCTTGGGCTCTGGGGGCAGACAGGGATGCACAGGGTAAGAGACACTGTGGAGGTCAGAAAGGCCACATGGGGAGATCTGAATGAAGCAGTTGGAGAGCAGAACATGCTCCAGACATGTCACTCACTGTGCCCAGAAGCCTGAGTGCCTCTCAGCATAAAACCACAGTTCCCCCACACTGCCTACTGCTGAGGCAAAGGGATACCATGTCAAAGTCTATACGAGGCTCCTGAAGAAAAGGACAGCATGTCGGGGCACACATGCACTCACCCTAAGTGAGTATCATCTGCTGCTATGTTGGAGAAGTAGCCTGAACCATCAGGAAAGATGGAATAAAAATAACTTTTAACATCTAGGAGGTGAAATGTCCTTACATTCTTTCTTCATAAATCTGTTGGCTCAGACGCTCAGAAGACCATCTCTTGGACAGTCATCAGGACTAGGCCTCTCTGGATTTTCCATGCCTATCTCACTAACTAATGCCCTCTCCATTGTCTTCCTGAAGTAATGTGTGTCATTAAACATTGTGTGAGAAGCTTCACACTTAGGATATTATGATAACGCTTTTGTTGTTGCTTGGTTGCTTGCTTGGTTTGTTTTTGAGACAGCTGACTATTCTGGAACTCACTATGTAGACCAGGCTTGCCTTGAACTCATAGAGATCCACCTGCCTCTGCTTTCCAAGTGCTGGGATTAAAGGCATGCGCCACCAGGCCAGGCTATCATAATTCTTCTGTACATCATTTCCCACTCTTTTTGGCTAGTTTCAATATAGGAATGGTAATCACACCATCTATGACATCCACCTTTTCATATATTCTATTTCTCTAATTTGTGTTCCTCCTTAGGGCTTTATGTAAGCCGTGTGTGGTTCATTAAGCCCCTCTGTGATCTTCAATAAAAGAGAAATCACTCGTGGCTGCATGTCTGGTATGACACCTGGGCTCTCAATAGCACTCATTGTAAAATTTAGGAAGCCTCTTTTCATTACAAGTTCAAAAGATTCTTTTTTCCCGAAGCCAGGGCTTCAGGGAGGCTGTGAAAGTGATGTATCACGAAGCCACATACATACTCAACATAAGAATTTTAAATATATATATATGTAGATTTAGATTTCATATCTTCTAGATATGATGTAAAAAAAATGGAGACAGGGTTTCACCATGTAACCCTGCCTACCCTAGAACTTGATTTGGATTTTTCTATCAGGTTGGCCTCAAACTCACAGAGATCCACCTAACTCTGCCCCCCAAGCGCTGGGATTAAAGATGTGTGCCCTGGCTCCTTTTTTAAAAACTTTTAAACTATATATTTGTTTTATTTAATTGTGTGTGTGTGTGTGTGTGTGCGCGCGCGTGTGCACATGTGAGTGCCAGTGCTAATGGAGGTCACTGATCCCTTAGAGCTGGAATTACAGGAGACTGTGAACTGACTGATGTGGGTGCTAGGATATGAACTCAGGTCCTCCGCAAGAGCAAGTAGCACTCTGAACTACAGAGCCGTCTCTCCAGTTCTAATTCTCCCAGCATCATAGCTTTTAGTGTCTTCTACACTCTAATATTAAGCCAACCTTGCATTCCTAGACTTGTGTTATCCCAATATACTCAGCAGTTATCACATTGCCCCAATCTGCTTGTTAACATTATGTATACACTGGCTTGTACTTTTGGTTTCCAATAATGTCTGTCATTTTGGTCAATATTGTACCATCTGCAAAAATTAGTTAGAAAGTATATACAGACCCTTTTGAATTCTGGAGAAATGGTCATTACACAAATTATTTACAACCAAAATATTTTAACTTTACCTTAACTATTGTCTTACAATATTTACTTTTTTTAAAAAATTGAGTGTGTGTGCATGTGTATGTATGTGTGTGCAACTGTGTAAGTATAGTATTGTATGAATGTGTTTTGAGAGTTGTGTATGTACATGCATGTATGAGTGTGTGTGTGTGTGTGTGTGTGTGTGTGTGTGTGTGTGACTCACAGAGTCAGAGAAGTCAGAACTCTAGTGCTGGAGTTGCAGGCAGTTGTGATCTGATATTGGCATTGAGAATTAAACTCAGGTCTACCACAAGAATAGTGGTGTGCTGAACAATCTCTCCAGGCCCTCTTCCTATAACATTTTTTTGAAACTAATGCTATTTGAATTCCCTGTTTTATCATCTGTAAGTTTTGATAATAGTTCTAAGGAATTGAACAATTTAATGCAACTCTTCAAATTTACATGCATGAAGTCATGCCATAGTCCCTTCAAATCATTTGCCATTGGAAGTCCTTATTTGATCCTCACAACAAGGCATTTCATGAAAACAATCCCAAACTGCCATGCAGTGGTGCCTCAGAGAACTTCAAGCTGCCCTCTTCAAGCTAAACTTGTCTTTTACAGCCTTTGTTTTTTGAATTTGTGTGGGGCATGCAACCATGTAAGTCTGGAGGTCAGAAGGGCAGGTTTGTGGGAATCCCTTCTTGCCTTCTACTAGGTTGGCTGGGGGAATTAGCCTGGGGTTATGAGGTTTGGTGGCAAGTTCCTTAACCTGCTGAACCATCTCATTAGCTCCTTAGGTTGAATGTTTCTCACAAAGGAAAGTAATGTCAGCTCACAGAACTTTTGGTGGCCCCCGCAGGGACAGACAGATGCCTAGATTCCTAGGCAATTCTGTGGATATTGTGGAATATTTGGGGAGCTGTCATTTGTAGAGTGAGCTTCATAATCCTTGACATTTCTGAATGTATAAAACAAATTCTCAAAGAGGTGCAATGCATGTATATTGTTCTGGTTGAGGCAAAAGAAAAGCAAGATTTGCTCAGAGGGACATAACAGAGGACGGTGTGCTGTTGGCTCCCTGCACAGCTGCTCCCGTAAAACATGGAGGTTAACACTGTCACACTGGGATGCATGGAAGGCTCTGTGGCAAAGGCACCAACCCTTGGGTGACCTGAGGCCCAAGCTGGAGATTATTCTAAGCATGAACAGGAAGCAAAACTCTCCTAATTGCTTTCGGAGCCACTGAGAGTACCAAACGGGAGAGTGCTCTTGGGTGCATATGGGGGCACAGCCCAGAGCAGCCTGGACACAGATCCCAGGGAGGATGCCTGGCCTCATTTGGGTCACAAAATGGACCCAGAAAACATCAGGAAGCCTCCAGGCAGGCACAAAAACATGACAAAGATGCAACTCCCCAACCTAGGAACATCTCTCCAGATATACAGGCAGGAGAGGACTGTCTGGACACACTGCCATTGAGTGTCCTGCTCAACACCGCTCTAAGCATGAGGACGGGAAGAGGGGAGACATGAAGAGACAGTGTGTAACAGAAGGAGCCCAGGGTCAACACTGGGCTTTAGCCAGGTGAATCCCCTACAAGGCCAACTTAGTGTCTCAGCACTCACCTGTGACATCCAGACGGAAGGAGACCTTCTGTCCCCCGGCCTCACAGCTGTACTCCCCAGCATCTGCCTTGCCCGCCTGCTGCAACACCAGCCTCCTCTCACAGCCAGAGGCCTCCACTCGAACCTTCGAGCTGGAGCTCAGCTTCTTCCCATCCTTGAACCAGGTCACCTCAGTCTGGGCCTGGGCCACCTCGCAGCTCAGTGTGGCACTGGCCCCTGCCTCTAATTTCACCTCGCTGTGTGCCTGCTGCTCTTTGGCAAACACTACCTTGGGCTCTGGGAACAGACCAGGATGCACAGGATCAGAGATGGAATCAATAAGGAAGGCCACATGAGTGAAAGTACTAGGAGGTACAGCAGAAGGACAGTATATTGTCTAGGTTTTTCACTGACTAACCCAAGGAGAAGCCACAGTCCCTCTCAGTACAAAACCAAAATATATCCACACAGCTTGCTGCTGCCACACAGGCTGGTCCAGGAGAGCTGTTGTGTCCATTTCTAGGCTCATCCTGGGAAGGTCTGCGAGTCATGACGTTTGTCCACTGCCCCTCCCTGACAATGGAAGATCTCCCATAGTACTGTGTAAGGGTGTGTTCTCACAAGGTCTGAGAGTCCTTGAGGTTCCACACCATGTCTCACTTTAAACATCATCAGCTGTCTCATCTGAAGAGCAGCCTGGACCGCATGTGGCCCTTACTGCCTGGTCCTGATGGTGGCAAGCCTGTGATTGCTCTGGTCACATGAGCATATGCACTGCGGTATAACTCAAGGTTCTTGCTCACTGTTCACTGGATGGTGGCATGCTATAAATCTGGCAAAACATGGGAGGTGACCATCCTCATGTCTTTTCACAGTATCTTAACTCCTCTGATAAAGTTCCTTGTGAATCAGTGTGCTTAGTCTCCACACAGACCAACTTACCCAGCTTGTATTTTAATGAGAATACTTGTGTTTCTGGAACGTTCACCCTGCAGCCCTTACCTTAGCGCAATCCATGACATCACCTTCAGATTCCACACTGCCACCTTTTGCTGCTAACCTACCTACCCTTAGTTGGCTTGTGCAATCTGAGTTGCTATTCTAATTCTGCAGTATTTTCCATGTACAGTTAGGTGTTCATCATGCCATTTGTGAAGATGTTGTCCTCTCATACACTCTGCACAGATACAGAAAAACTAAGGGGGATGGCAGGTGGACAGTTGAGGCTGTGTTTATGCATAGCCTTCTATGGTGGTTTGAATGAGAATGGCCCCCATAGGCTCACATATTTAATATATGGTTCTCAGCTGGTGGACTGTTTGTTAAAGATCAGGAGGTGTGGCCTTGTTGGAGGAGGTGTGTAGTGACACTGGGGGTGTCTGAGGATTCAAAAGCCCATACCAGGGCAACTTTTAATCTCCCTACCTCCATCTTGCAGAAAACATATAAGCTCTCAGCTACTGCTTCAATGCCTGCCTGCCTGCCTGCCTGCCTGCCTGCCTGCTTGCCTTACTTTCCACCATGATGGTCATGAACTGACCCTCTGAAACTGTAAGCAAGACCCCAATTAAATGCTTTCTCTTATAAGTTACCACGGTGATGGTGTCTCTTCACAGCAACAGGAAAGTAACTAAGATACCCTCTGTCTGCATACATGTGTATTATTATCTATTAACCATTCTTGCAATGAGAATCTGTTATCTCATTGTATTAAACTGGATTAAATTTGGTCTAGATGTTTTTTTTTTTGTTGTTTTTGTTGCTCAACTCTAAGTTATCCTTAAGTGATCAGACTGTAAGTTACTCTTGTGACAAGTAGACAAGTGTTCTAATTCGGTCTGACAAGACAGGCACCATCTGAAAGCAATGAGGCTGTCTCTACCTTGCTTCCCTTTTTTCACTCCCTCTTTGGCTGTAAACATAACCTGCCCATGTTCTGGATGCTGTTCTAGAATCACGAATGTGTGTGTGTGTGTGTGTGTGTGTGTGTGTGTGTGTGTATGTATGTTGTGTTGCCTGCATGTATATCTGGGCCCTACATGTATGCAGTACCCAGAGCCAGAAGAGAACGCCATATACCCACAAGACTGGAGTTACAAGTGGTTGTGAGCTACCATATGGATGCTAGGAATTGAACTGGGTCCTATGGAAGTGCAGCACACGCTCCCAACCCCTGAGGCATCATCTCTCCAGCCTCTGCAGTTCTCTTATTAAGGACATTCAGTACCTCTGTGTTGCTCTTGTAACTAACACAGTGACTGTTCACCACTTCACCACCAGCGCTCCTCAAGGGTGTACTGGCTGTACCCAGCCTGAGAAACTCAGTCACTTTCAACCCATCCCACAAAAATGCTCAGATGGTGATGGCGACTAGACACCTGCAAAATCCATCTCATTTCTATCCCTTCATGTAGAGCTTGCTGACTCTCAAAAATGTTTAGTAATCCTGCCATGCTGTTTTCTATCTGTCTGTCTACCCATGGTATTAAATAAATCTTAATACCTCAAAGAGCAGTTTCTGTCTTGGTGTCCTCTATTGTATCTGACAGCTTTCATACACATTTATGAAGCACAATATGACATCATCTTGATATATGTTATAGCATGGAATGATTAATCAAGCTAGATAAAACAGCCATCACATTCCTGTTTGCTTTCTATTGCTGCGATAAACACCATAACCAAAAGCAACTTGTAGAGGAGAGGGTTATTTGGCTCACACTTACACTTCTAGGTCACAATTACCACTGAGGAAAATCAGGGTAGGAGCTGAAACAGGAACTGAAGCACAAATAATGGAGGGCTGTGCTTACTGGCTCATTTTCTAGCTCCACTGGCTAGCTTTTTTCATAGCCCAGGCCATCTGCATAGGGATGGTGCCACCCACAGTGGGCTGGATCCTCTCACATCAGTCATGCACCAATACAACTGCTCACAGATGTGGCCACGGGCCAATCTATTCTGGGCAACCCCTCTTCCCAAGAGACTCCTGGTTATCAAGTTAACAACTACAATTAACAAAGAAACATTTCCACAGACACATCATTTTTGTGGTAAAACATTTGGGCTGTTTTCAAGCACACAGTGCATTGTTATAACTATAGCCACTTGACTCCTTTCTCCCGTGCTTTGTTGGAGTGTGGTATATTTCTCTATGTTCAGGTTATGGAAGTTTGGTCCTTAGCATGGAGGTACTGAGGTCCTAAGGCCTCAAAGAGGTGAGACTGGCTCACTGGGTCCCAGGATCAAAATCATGCCATCGGGCTTGGTGGCAATAACCTCTGACCCAGGGCTGAGGAAACACCCAGGGCTTGGTGTTTAAGATCACTGGCTGGTCTTCCAGAGGTCCTGAGTTCAATTCCAGCAACCACATAGAGGCTCACAACCATCTATAGTGGGATCTGATTTCTTCTTCTGGCATAAAGTTGTACATGCAGATAGAGCACTCACACATAAAATAAATAAATCTTTTTTAAAAAGAACTTCTGACCCATCTCACTGGTTCCTTTTTTCATTTTTAAACAATAAATAATAAAATATATGATACAATGTAATGTTTCAATAAGCTGTCTACATTGTAATTAAAACACAGTAACTAATATGTCTACTGTACTAACTGCTTTTTGTGGTGAGAATATTTTAAATCTTCGAGCTGTTTGAAATACACTGCAGATTATTGTCAACTATCATCATCTTATTGTGCAATAAAGCACTGGAACTAATAATTAGTTCTAGGATGTTTGTTATGATTTATCCATAGGCCACTATACTAACACCCTTTTCTATACTAAATTGGTTTTTATGATTCTGTTTCAAAAAGACATTTGTACCATTGTGGATTTCTGTTTCCTTTTGTGTCACTTTTTATACAACTTTCGAGAAAACAGGCACTTTTTTTTTTTATTTCATATTCTCTGAAGATAAAATGTAGTAAAGATACAAGATGGCCTTTTTTTTCTTTTGGTTGTTTTTGTTTTATTTTGTTGATATGTCTATTCATAAGCCATTTCCTAATGATGGAATACTTAAAATATTATCTAGTGGCACCCAGAGGTAAGAGAAGACTCCTGAGTGAAAGAAGATGGATGCACGTATCAGATTTCTATCTGATGAGTGGGGAAGGTGCAGACAGACGAACTCCTAAGGAATTCTGTGACATCAACACTGACTGTGGACAGAGAACCCCCTAGAGGATCTCACTTTATCATGGGGGGGGACCCATAAGCTACTTCTTTCTCTTTTCCCTAAATGATGCTCCAAGAATACTGATGCTGACTTGCTTTCTAACTTGGCTTTAGAAAATAAGACTTCCCCTGAGGACAGCGTTCTGTTCTCTCAACAGCATCTCCACAAGCCTTCTGCTCTTTCCTTACCACACACAGACACTGTGATGCAATGCACACACAGAGATCTCTACACCTCAGAAATTAGGAAGGAGTAGCCAGGTGCCCAAAACTACCATAAGCCAGCTTTTGTTGCAAGAAAATCCAATCATGATTAGGAGATCAAAATTTCCCTAGTTTTACTTAAATTGGGTGGAAATGCTTCTTGTGAACACGAATGTTCCTGCTGAGTCAGGGCACGCAGGATCTGCAGACACTTGGCCATTCACAGAACCCAGATTATTACTCAGTCTCAGCAACTCATCCAAATGAGTGAGGTTAGTGCCCTCCAACAACTGACCTGTGACGTCCAGACGGAAGGAGACCTTCTGTCCCCCGGCCTCACAGCTGTACTCCCCAGCATCCGCCTTGCCCGCCTGCTGCAACACCAGCCTCCTCTCACAGCCAGAGGCCTCCACTCGAACCTTCGAGCTGGAGCTCAGCTTCTTCCCGTCCTTGAACCAGGTCACCTCAGTCTGGGCCTGGGCTACCTCGCAGCTCAGTGTGGCAGTGGCCTCTGCCTCTGCCTTCACCTCGCTGTGTGCCTGCTGCTTCTTGGCAAACACCACCTTAGGTTCTGGGAATAGACAATGGCACAAGAGGTCAGAGACACTGCTGAGGTCAGGAAGGCCATAGGGAAAGAATCTGGATGGGTAGCTGGATGGCCAACACCCTCCCTTCCCCCATGCTCTGCACTAGCTATGCTCAGCAGAAGCCCAAGTCCCTTGGGGGAAAAACCAGTTTATCCACACATCCTGACACAGATTCAGGGGCTGCTCCAGTGGGACCTCTGTAACAGTCTGAGCAAGCCTTCTCTGAGGAGGAACTGTGGCTCAGAACATGTGTGCACCTGATCAACAGTGACAGTGGAAAGTGTCCTCCAGGACTGGGCAGGACATGTCCTCACAGAGTCTCCCAAGCTCCATTCCCTTGCCTGCTCCAAGCATCCTCAGCTGCTGTATTCAGAGGACAGCCTAGACTATCTGTGGCCCCTATTGCCTGGTTCTGAGACTGGAGACCGCAAGCCCTTGGCCATTAGTGTTTGTTGCTACACACTGCTACTCCTGTGTGTTACCTAATTTCAAGGGCACTGTGGTGTTATATTCCTTTCAGGGTCTCTTTGTGTAATTCCCTGCTAATATGTTGGCATTTATATTTGTCATGACGGCCATCATCATACTTGACTTTTGTGGTATATTCTGATAGAGCAAGTTAGTTAGTTTCACTTCAGGCAAGGATAACCTTTTGTCTTATGACCTGCTCAAGAATCTGCTATTACCCAGAAAACATCAGATAACCTGTAACACCTGCTAAGATCCTGTTTACCTTCACATTGACGACTCTAACCCCTGGCAGTTGGCTGCCTGGCCATGAGGAGCATATCTATTGTGATTTTATTGCCCTCTGTTCTGTGCACCTCACAGGGTATCAGGGTTGGGTAAGAGGTAGAGGGTAGATTTGCTTATACACAGGCTGTTCTAAGCACACCATTAATTGTTTAGGCCTCATTATTGGTTCCTATCTTTGGACTCTATTTCTGGGTTGTTTTAGCTTTTGAAGAATCTTGGCGTCTGTATAGCAAGTGCCCCCAAGTTGATCTTTGACAGTCGTTTGCCACAATGTTTTCCCACTTGGACAGAGGCATCTTGTGCTGCATTTGAACCAAAAGTGATCACCTGCAGTTCTTTCAGAGTGTATCCATTTAGTTTATCTTCTTCACTTCTAATTTTCACAAAGTGTGTCAGCATACCTTGTAGGACTTGGAATTGATAGGGTGATTTGACATGAGGGTAAATCTAAAAATGTCACCTCTCAAGCAAACAGGGAAGTGCTTCTGCTACACATCCTGTGATCCAGAAGTCAATCTCAAATCTCCTTACAAAGTCTAATGATTTTGGCATAAGAGGGGAACACAAAACAATGCCTCCAAAAGGCCATAACTCCTCAATTACTGAATTCAAAGACGCCAAAATGACTGAAATGCTAAACCCATAACAAAGTCTACATGTAAGATAGTCAGTGACTTCAAGTAGTAACCAAAGAATCATATGGATAAGGCAAGGAAATCAGTTCTGGATGTAAATAAGGAAGTCAGTAATGCAATAGAGACAGCCAGCAACATGCATAAGAAACTGAGCAAGGACATGGAGATTGTGAAAAATATATATATAATAGACATGAAAAACTCAATAAAATTAAAACACACAGCAGTGCATTACAAATTGGTTAATCAAGCTTATGAAAGAACAGCTTTCATGGATGGAGGACACTGTGGCCAGACAGCAGCAAAATAAAACAAAACAAACAAAAAGTAAAAAAAAAAAAAGTGAGCATGATCACAACATCCAGGAACTCTGGGACATGGTCAAGAGCTCAAACCTAAAATCTATGGGATAGAAGAAGATGAGATACAAACTAAAGGCATAGAAAATCAATGAAGTTACAGTAAATTCCCAAAATTTAGAGAAAGAAATGGACACCAGAACACATGGGGTATTTACAACCCCAGATAAACATGGCCAGAGAATCTCCCCATAATACATAATGAATTTGCTAAAATTCAACAAGAAACAACATTTGTTTTAAAAGAAACACTATTAAGAGCTGCAAAAAAGACCCACAAATTGTCTCAACACATAAAGGTACTTGCTGGCAGCCTGATTCAGTCCCCAGAATGCACATGGTAGGAGAGAACTGACCCGTGCGCTTGTCTTCTGGCCTCTACATGTGTGCCCCCATGCACATGCACACACACAACTTAAAAATGTAGTAACTTTTTAAAAAAGCAAACCTATCAAAATATGCTCAGACATCTCAGTAGAAACCCCCAAACCCAGGAAAATAGGAATGATATATTCCATACTCTGAAAGAAAAAAATAAAAGCTACCAGCTAAGAGGACTATTCCAACAAAATTATCTTTTAAAAATCAACAGAAATAGAGACAGTTCAAGAGAAACAAACTAAAGTAACTTACAACCACCAAGCCAACCCTGCATAACATTCTAACAGGAATCCTACACTGGGGAGGATTTCACTAGAAGAGTGGATGAACAAAGGAAATTTTTAAACGTTCAGTTGTGGTCCATATTAATATAAAGAGGGGAGAGGGGGAAGAAAGAACCAGAAGCTGGTGCATTGGCTCAGAGGTTAAGAGCCCTGGCTGCTCTTGTTGAAGACACAGGTTCCCTTCATAGAACCCACATAGCAGTTCCAGGGGATCTGATCCCCTCTTCTGGCCTTTGTGAGCGCTGCACACATGCAATGTATATATGTCATGCAAATACTCATAAACACAAAATCAAAATAAATCATTTTTAATAATGAATAGTATTCCTAGAGTCAGGCAGTGGTGCCCGCCATTAATCTTAGACTGGTCTACACAACAAGTTCCAGGACAGCCAAGATTACACAGAGAAACCCTGTCTCCAAACATCCCCCCAACAAAGAATGAACAGTAATCCAACTAAACCAAAACAACCAGGAAAATGATCAATAAAATCAGGGAATTAGAAAACACCTCTCAATAATAATGCTAAACATAAACAATCTTAACTCTCCAACACAGTAGCCTATTGGGTTAAAAAATAAGATCCAGGGGCTAAAGAGATGGCTCAGTGGTTAAGAGCACTTGATGCTATCATAGGGGATAAAAGCTCAATTCCCAGCATCCACAAAGTGTCTCATAATCATCTGTAACTCCAGTTATGAGTCACACCAGGCACTTACATGGTGCACAAATATACATGCAAGCAAAATGCTCATACAAGTAAAAATAAAACAAATAAATCCAAAAATATTTTAAATATGTTAATAATTGTTTTAACGTTGAACTATTTGTAGTGTTCAAAACTACACACTTCACTGGTAAATACAGACTTGAGAATGAATAGATGGAACAAATGGAAGCAAGCAGGGCTAGATAGATTTACATCTCATCAAACAGATTTCAAGCCAAAGTTAGTCAGAAGGGACAAAGACGCTCAGTTACACCATAGTGAAGGGTGCAATCCATTACACCAAGAAAATGTGATAATTATGAAGCTATGTATGTAGACTGTACGAAAGGACTCACCTGTGACATCCAGACGGAAGGAGACCTTCTGTCCCCCGGCCTCACAGCTGTACTCCCCAGCATCCGCCTTGCCCGCCTGCTGCAACACCAGCCTCCTCTCACAGCCAGAGGCCTCCACTCGAACCTTCGAGCTGGAGCTCAGCTTCTTCCCATCCTTGAACCAGGTCACCTCAGTCTGGGCCTGGGCCACCTCGCAGCTCAGTGTGGCACTGGCCCCTGCCTCTGATTTCACCTCGCTTTGTGCCTGCTGCAACTTGGCAAACACCACCTTGGGCTCTGAAGATAGGCAAGAACATACATTTAGTGTCAGAAACACTGTCTAGATCAGGAAGGCCATGTGGGGAAAGACTTGCATGGGGCAGCTAAAAGGCAGGACATCACCCAGCCTCTGCACTCTGTGTCCAGTAAAAACCCAGGGCCCCTCAACACAACACCCCAGTTCATCCACATATCCTGTTGCTGCTGCAGGGGTTGATCAAGTGCAGACATTGTTACAGTCCTTCATGAAGAGGCTGAGGATCATAACACATTCACCTGCCCCACAGTAACAATGAAGAGTCTCCCCCAGGACTTGGTAGGACATGCTTCACAGAGCTGAGAATCCCCGAGGCTCCACAGCCTTTCCCACTCTGAGTATTATCAGCTGTGGCACCTATAGAAGAGAGAGCCTGGGCCATCTGTGGACCTCTGCTGTCTGTGTTACTAATGTCGTCGGCCATTGGTGTGTGTGTGCCTCTGTGTAGATGATGTTCAAGTAGACCCTACTCTCGATAGCACTGCTCCTTCTTCATATTTATTTCAGGAGTCTGTTTACATATGACAGCATGTGTCCTCTGTTCATTGTCTGACCTGTTGGTCAGACCTGTTGGTCTCAGTTACAGATGGTTAGATGTGACTTGACCCCACAAGTTTATATGTGGCAAACTGGATCCTCATGTGGTGGTGTTGAGGGGGAGAACCTTTTACATGGTAGAAACTACTGGAAGTTCTGGACTACAGGAACTTCACTCTCTGAGTTAACACTGACCTGGAGAAACAGGCCGAGTCTTACAGAACCAGATGCCCCACACACACAAGAGCAGAGTGTCAATGCCATGTGTGTTTGGCCCCTCCTGTTCCTAATCTGGCTCTTTTCTACCTCCCCACCATTTTGGGGAGCTAATTCCCTCACCTGGACACCAGTACCATGTGGCCACCAGAATCACAGTGGCTGGTCTGTAAGTTACATGGCCTCTGTTAGTTTGCAACAGTTGCACACGGTGGCCTCATCTAATCACACTGGTTTTCAATGTAATATGGCCAAATAGATCATTGTTTCTCCACTGTGGCTAGTGGGATTGTTTCCTGACAAATCTCCCCTTACCTGGCAACGTGAAGCAACACACATCAGGACTTGGGTTAACCTGGGACCCTGGTGTCTCTAACTGACCTGGAATTGACCTCTGTGATGTGAACTAGCAGACAACTCTTTTTATGTGACTTAATGTCTCAAAAGTCTCATGAAAAGTCCCTTCTCCATTCCTTGCTGGGTCTAAAAACCACGGGGCAGGGGATGAGGAATGGGTTTACACACAGGTGTATTTCAGAGCCCAGTGCTCTACAGTAAGGGCCCTGGATCTGTTTGCTATGCTGCATCATGAACCTAGATAAGACTAGAGAAAAATGCTAGCACTTTCTTTAAGAGTATAGGATGCACCCCACATCTGACAGAGGGCTCATCTCCAAATCAAGAAGCTAGTCACAAAAACACCAAATAATCCAATTAAAAAGTGGGGTACAGAACTAAATAGAGAATTCTCAATAGATGGATCTAAAATGGCTGAAAGACACTTAAGAAAGTGCTCAACATCCTTAGCCACCAGGGAAATGCAAATCAAAACAACTCTGAGATACCATCTTACTCCTGTCAGAATGGCTAAAATCAAAAACACCAATGACAGTTTATGCTGGAGAGGATGTGGAGAAAGCGGAACACTCCTCCACTGCTGGTGGGAGTGCAAACTTATACAGCCACTTTGGAAATCAGTATGGCGATACCTCAGGAAAATGGGAATCAGTCTACCACAAGATCCAGCAATTCCACTCTTAGGCATATGCCTAAAAGATGCACATCCATGCAACAAAGACATCTGTTTAACTATATTCATAGCAGCATTATTTATAATAGCAAGAACCTGGAAGCAACCTAGATGCCCCTCAAGTGAAGAATGGATAAAGAAAATGTGGTCATTTACATAGTGGAGTACTATTCAGCGGAAAAAAAGCAATGGAATCTTGAAAATCACAGGCAAATGGATGGAATGTGAAGAAACCATCCTGATTGAGGTAACCCAGTCACAAAAAGAGGAACATAATACTAACTCATATATGGATTTTAGACATAGAGCAAAAGATTACCATCCTATAATCCACACCTCCAGAGAAGCTAGGAAATAAGGAGGACCCTAAGAGAGACATACATGGTCCCTCATAGAAGGGAAAAGGGACAAGATCTCCTGAGAAATTTGGGGGAGAGGGGGAGAAAGAGTTAGGAAAACGAGAAGGGGGGAAAAGAACATGAGGGAGCAGGAAGACTGAGTCAGGGGAAGAATAGAGGAGAGCAAGAAAAGAGATACCATAATAGAGGGAGCCATTATAGTTTTAAAGAGAAATCTCACACTAGGAAAATTTCCAGAGACCTACAAGGATGACCCCACCTAACAATCTAAGCAATAGTAGAGAGGTTGCCTTGAATGCCCTTCCCTGATAATGAGATTGATGACTACCTTATATACCATCCTAGAGCCTTCATTCCAGTAATTAATGGAAACAGAGGCAGACACCCACAGCTAAACACTGTGCCAAACTCCTGGAATCCAGTTGCAGAGAGGGAGAAGTGATGAGCAAAGGGGTCAAGACCAGGCTACATAAACCCACAGAGGCAGCTGGCCTGAACAAGGAGGAGCTTATGGAGCCCAGACTGATAGCTGGGAAACCAGCATAGAACTGACCCAGACTCCCTGAACATGGGTCTCAGTTAGGAGGCCTGGGGAGTGTATGGGATCTCTGACAATGGAACCAGGATGTATCCCTAGTGCAGGAACAAACTTCGGGAGCCCATTCCCCATGAAGGGATATTCTTTTAGCCTAGAGACACCAGGGAGGGCCTAGGCCCCACCCCAAATGACTTGGCAGACTTTGATGATCCCTCATGGAAGGCCTCACCCTCCCTGGGGAGTGGATGGGGGATGGGATGTGGGAGTGTGTGGGGAGCATGGGAAGATAGGAGGAAGAGGAAACTGGGAAACTGAGATTGATATGTAAAATAAGAAAAAAAATATTAAATAAAAAAAAAGAGTATGGGATGCACTTGCCCTGCAAACCAGATTACCGAATTTGATCCCTGGAACCTGCAGAGAGGTGTAAGGAGAAGACAGATACCACAAAGTTGATCTCTGGTACATAGTGTGGCATGCCCACACATGCACACACAGGCAATAACAATAACAGTGATTAAAATACATTAAATGTGTAACTTTCCATATAGAGCTCTCAACCAGATCATAAAGTAAAGATGCTCCTACTACTGTGGAGAGACATCTGGACCACCACAGGCCACAGGCTACATGCATCCAGAGTCTACTAGACAGCATCTTGAGCCCTGGGCAGGTGCTCTGAAATGAACGGTTAAGCACAGCTATGTGGAAGTGAGGTAACAGACACTGCTAAGGCACCTCAGCCTTCCAGTTCTGAGGGCTGTGTCTCACTGGCTGACAACTAGGGATTCTGACAAAACTGGACAGATCAAATGCAAAACAAACAAGCAACAACAAAAACCTATACTGCCCTTCTGGGAAACATGGAGGACAAGATTCTGAAAATAGCCAATGAACTGTGCCTCAAGTCAACCTCCAGGCGACCTGTGTATCCCTGAAGTGTCCTATGGCCAAACACGTGTGTTTAACCAGAGCTGCCTCCCAGATGCAAGCATGCACAGTCCACTTAGGACAGTCTCCTATGTCAAGAATAGAATTCTATGGGTTAGAAAAAAGGAATAGTAACTGGGATTGACATGTAAAATAATAAATAAATAAATATTAAAAAGGAATAGACCAGCACATACTTTGGCGAATACTTAAACGTAGTTGCAGATTAAGTGGATTCAATGGCACAAAGTCACATGCAGCAACAAGGAATGTGTTCCTCTGCCATGCCTGCACCCGATTCTCCACCATGTCTCATCTCACTGCTTTGTTGCCTAATCGATACATTGGCTAATGCTGCTTCACTCTGACTGGTCCTGGATTCCCTTCTGCAGTGATGTCAAGGACCTGGCTGCATCTCAGCAGAGGTCCCCAGGGATCTGAGGACTGTTCAGGCTGCACTGCCCACATGAAGAGCACTCAAACTGCAGGACACCCTCTCTCTTCTCTCCTGCTTTCCCTGGGCTCAGCTAGAAGTAGGGGCTGACAGATGAAGCAGAAAGAGGAAATGGCAAGGGCTGAGAAGATGCTCGAAAGTTAAGAAAACATAAGCCTCATGCAGAGTACCAGAGTTTGGTTCCCAGCACCTAAACTGGGCCACTCACAGATACCTGCAGCTCCAGCTCCAGGGGATCCAATGCCCTCTTCTGGACTCATTAGTACCTGCATTCACATGCACATACCCACACACATACACAATTTAAAATAAAGTCAGGCTCTAAAGGGAATAGTACCGGAATCTGTCCAAGCCACAGCCAGCCTCTACCACCTCCACACAAGGCTAACTTCATGTGGCAACACCCACCTGTGACATCCAGACGGAAGGAAACCTTCTGTCCCCCGGCCTCACAGCTGTACTCCCCAGCATCCGCCTTGCCCGCCTGCTGCAACACCAGCCTCCTCTCACAGCCAGAGGCCTCCACTCGAACCTTCGAGCTGGAGCTCAGCTTCTTCCCATCCTTGAACCAGGTCACCTCAGTCTGGGCCTGGGCCACCTCGCAGCTCAGTGTGGCACTGGTCCCTGCCTCTGATTTCACCTCGCTGTGTGCCTGCTGCTCCTTGGCAAACACCACCTTAGGTTCTAGAGACAGACAAGGGCACATAGGGTCAAAGACACTGTCTCGGTCAGGAAGTTCACAGGGAAAAGAGCTCACTTGGGCAATGGAGGACAGAATATTCTCAGCTGTGGTGGGAAGACTATGATATTCATCACAGTATAAGGAGTGCCTGGGCTGTAGATTTCCTCTGTGCCACTTAGGGCAGACGGTTCTTTGATCCCTGCTCTTGCCCGCTCCTAGTCAGATCTCGATGTCAGTGCTATGCTGGCTGCATGAATGACCTACAGGTTCATTTCCTTCTTCGAGTCTCTAAAAGAGTGTCCATGATCATGGAATAACTGTTTCCAGCTCTAGCTAATGTTTTCTCAACAAAATTATTTGAAGACTTAGTTGCTATTCCACTTATTTAGAATACATAAGATCTACTGAATTTTTTTAATTAGTTTTCACACAGTTTACTAGTAATCAGCCAAACTGTCATAACTTTTCAGATTTATAACCATAAAATGACATATACTCTTAAAATGACATTCCTGCTGGACAATGGTGGTGCATGCCTTTAATCTCAATACTCAGGAGGCAGAAGGAGGTGGATCTCTGTGAGTTCGAAGCCAGCCTGGTCTACCAAGCAAGTTCCAGGACAGCTAGGGCTGTTACACGAAGAAATCTTGTCTAGATAAACTGGTGACGATGATGATGAAGATAACATTTCTACGAAGACTTGATAGCTTGTTTCTCAATATCTAAACACAGACATCAGTTCTGTGGCAGTCTGATGGAGCACTGCTGTGTGATGGTGCTAGAGGTCTGGGGTGCAGCCCACCCTCCAAATCCTCAAGGCCCCACCTGCACACAGGCAAATGGCTGTCTGTCTCAGACTTCTCCATCTGAGGAGCTGGAGCCAGCGCTCACATTGACAGAAATGTGGACTGACTTGGCAGGAGACACTCACTCCTCAACATTGCTGAGTTCAGAGCAGGAACTCAGGGATCCCTGATAACACCTATCCAAACTGAAAGCAAAGGATAAGACATATTTGCTTTAAACTATACTCTTTGTGTGACAGAGAAAGGGGATTAAGACAACACACAAGGTCTGGCCAGAGTCCCAGATTCCACACAAGAGCTATATGGTTCTGGAAACATGTGACTCTGGATTACCCCTATTGTAACGTCACTCAAGGCTTACAAAATGGACCCCTCTCCCATCTTTTGTATTCATCCCCAGCCTAGTTGCAGGGAAGGAGGAAGGGTGGGACATGTGAAAGATGAAGGCTAATATAAAGTGCAAATAATCTGTCAAAGTGATGACCCAGGCCCCTCTCCACTGTCTAATAGGACCAAATAGGTACCTGTGACGTCCAGACGGAAGGAGACCTTCTGTCCCCCGGCCTCACAGCTGTACTCCCCAGCATCCGCCTTGCCCGCCTGCTGCAACACCAGCCTCCTCTCACAGCCAGAGGCCTCCACTCGAACCTTCGAGCTGGAGCTCAGCTTCTTCCCATCCTTGAACCAGGTCACTTCAGTCTGGGCCTGGGCCATCTCGCAGCTCAGTGTGGCAGTGGCCCCCGCCTCTGATTTCACCTCGCTGTGTGTCTGCTGTTCCTTGGCAAACACGACCTTGGGTTCTGGAAACAGACAAAGATACACAGGGTCAGAGACACTGTTTAGGTCAGGAAAGCCACATGGGGGAGAACCCTGATGGTAGTGGTACCACTGGAGGGCAGAGCATCATCCATCCAGACTCCACACCCACTGTGCTCAGAAGTCCCCAAGCCTCTCAGCACAGAACCAGATCAGGCCCACACACCTTGCCTCTGCTGCAGGAGCTATTCTAGAGACTGTCCCTTCAAAGACTACTCCAGTGGCCCTGCAAGAAAGACCTGATGTTTTCTACTCGTGCATTTGCTTTCCAGTGGTTCATTGTTCCAGGCTGACCAATTATACCTGCATTGTCCGTCTGCAGATTTTAGGAGCTCTTTATTTATTTGAGCACTGGAGTCTTACCAGCTGCATGTAAGTTAATGTTCTCCCCATCTGTGCACTTCAACTCCTCACTTTTGTATGTGCTTCACGAAGCAACACACCTACTGGTTCTTTGTAGGCCACATAGTCACTGGCTTTGAAATCCTTCGTATGGTAGTCCCCTGGCACACTGAGCTATCAGTCATGTCGGCTTTCTGAGGCTGTCACCTGGTGCACTGTTGACTGCAGCATATGCTTTCAGGAAGACTTCCAGGGTTAACACATTTCCCAAGTGTGCACTACCCTTCGTACCATTTGGGGAGGTGGTCCTATCTCTATGCTTCACTCTAGTACCTCGGGAAAGGAGGGGCAGGGCCTATGACGGCCAAGAGCTGGTGCAGAGACATTTCCATCTTGCTCTACTCTTCTGCTGCCACATTTGGGTGCACCATCCTATTAACATTGCCTTATGATGGGGGTTGATCTCATGATGCAAATGCTCTTAGCTGTTCATCTTCAGGAGAACACAAAGCCTTCACAATCAGTCTGCCAATAGTTATCATTCTAAATAAATAAATAAATATGCTTGGATCCTGACTTACGAATGAAATTAAGTCTTCGGTGGTTTCTTCAGATGGTCATCACAGTCCTTTAGAAACATTTGACCGTTCCCTCCCTGGGCTTCAAATGTCATTTGTTGGGCATCATATTAGAAAACGATGCTCTGGAGTTCCATACTGTAAGATTTCATTTCCTAGGCCCTCACTGCAGTGTGTGGATGGAACGGCCTCTTCTCTCCCGAATGCTGGGTTTCTGTGCAAGGCAATCCTTCCCAAGGTTCTCACTACACTGTTTATCATGACGACTTTGCTTAACTGGTGACTGTCAATCCTGCTCCCGGGGTCCTACCCTGCCTTGTCTTGTTGGCATTTCAAAGGTAAATCCCTCACCTAAAGTGGGATGTTAGCTGATGTTTCCTGACGTTCTGTTTTTCACAATTAAGAGGGACCTGTTGATTTCTGTAAAGAATTCATGATGAATTTGATTGACGATTTTTCAGGATATGAGATGGTAATTGATTTTTTTTATGGGGAGGTGGCATGTGTGTGCCACGCCATGAGTGTGATCAGAGAGCAACATGCTGGAATTGGTTCTCTCTTCCCACTATATGGTTCCTGGGAATCAGATCCTCTGACTTGGCAGCAAGCTCCTTTATCCACTCAGCCATCTCACTAACCCCAAAGATAGTAAATGTGTGAAACACTTTTCTTCTACACTCACTGGGATCTCTGCACTTTTCCCTCCCAGTGACCTGACCTTGTGTGCCTTGTGTTGAGCCAACTCCTTCTGCTAGGCTTCCTTTTCCTCATAGTCTTCAAATACTGCAAGGCATTCAGTATCCCGACCTTGCTGTGTATGTAGCCTTTTAGTTTTGTGTATTTTCCCTATAAGGTTTGGTTTCCATGTTACATCATTTATATAAAATGACCCATTCTTCATTGTCCTATTTCCCAAGAGAGCTTCTATAAGTAAAGAACAATTTATTTCTAGAACTTCTGGAATGATGTTCCTGCTGGGCTGCATGCCTCGCCCCCTAAAAACAGTTATTGGACTACTGTGTCCATTTAGTTAAAGCTTACAGAGGTGTTTGAGTTTTCAGTTTCTTCTTTTGTCAGTTTTGACACGACTCTGGAGGAGTTAGTCAAAAAGTCACACCTTGCCAATTTTTTAAATCATAAAACTGATTGTCATATTCTCTTCAAATAATGTCTTACAAAGGAACAGCAGGCTTTTCTGACAGTTGTCCATGTTCATAATTGATTGCATAGTTGGCACTCTGTATCATGGATTCAACAACATCAAACAGACAATACAGAGGTGGGCTGTATGGTGGTGGTACACACCTTTAATCCCAGCACTCAGGAGGCAGAGGCAGGCAGATCTCTGTGAGTTAGAGACTATCCTGGTCTACAGAGCAAGTTCCAGAGTGGGCTCCAAAGCCACAGAGAAACCCTGTCTTGAGAAAACAAAACAGAAAACACAGAGGTGGGGCAGAACTGCATCTGAGAGAAACGTAGGCTTCTTCTTGCCATTATTCCCCAGATAAAACAGACTAGCAACTGGCAGCACTGACTCCGTACTGAGTGCAATCAACCAGGACTTGAGCTGAGGTGTACAGAGGGAAAAGGTTCCGATGGATCTGCAGTTAAGAGCACTGGCTGCTCTCGCGGAAGACTCAGCTTTGGTTCCAGAGGCCACATGGTGACTCACAACTACCAGCGCCAGGGGACCTGATGCTGTCTTCTGAACTCCATGGGCACCAGGTACACATGGTACATAAGCATACATGCAGGCAACACATTTGTATGCATGAAAAAAACAAATCTGGCTTGTTTGGGGGATGGGGAGTATTGTTTTGTTTTGTTTTTTAGTGTATAGATGGGCTGGAGAGGTGACTCGGCAGGTAAGAGTATTTGCTACTCTTTCAAAGGACCTGAGTTTGAGCAGCTCACAATCACCTGTACCTCCAGCTCCAGGGAATCTGAATCTGATGCCCTCTTTTGGTTTCTGCAGGTGCCTGCACTCACATGCACATACCCACACACGCGCGCGCACATACACACACACACAATTTTAAAAATAAAAAACATCTTAAAAGAAGAAAATGTACAGAGCGTGTGTGTTGGTTATATGTAAACATTTTATATAAAGGACTAGCACATCTGAGGATTTCGCATGTGCAGTGGGGTTCTGGAACTAACTCTTAAGGACACCAAGGACACAACACAAACCGTTAGGCCAAAAGCAACCTATAATGACTTAGCATTAAGTGTCTTAACAAAAGGAAAATACATGGATGTTTCAACCATCTCTATGCACCCAGCCACACCCAGTCACCAGGGATATATGGAGTTTTTTCATAGCACTCAACTCTCAGCAACATGGCATTTTCCACATGAACACTTCTCAACACAAGCTTTGTACATCAACTTCCATGGTGAGAATGTTCTGGTGAAACACAACAGGACCTGATTGAAAAGACCACCCTGCCCTGACAAGTGTATACCAAAGTACGGCAACAGTCTCTGCCCTGTACATATCACAAGAACTGTGCACCCATCCACCAGCAGGCATGTTCCTACAGACAGGTGTGTAGGAGACCAGCTTCCAAACGAGTGAAGGGGATCACAAGAAACCAAAAGCTGAGAATACCAAGAAGAGCTTGAGACAGTTACAGGTGTGACCAGCTGTCTGGCCTGTGGCTTGTGCTCACCCTAAGTCAGTGGGTGGTTCTGGCCATGAAGAACCACATGTGGCTCTAGAGGAGAAACTGGAAGCTTCCAGTGCCCCCCCCAATCCAAGGAAGATCACTCTCCCATGTGAAAGTCACATGGTCACCTTACAACCAAGAACCAACTGATCCCAGCAATAGCAAACAAAAGATGGTGGGGAGGCTCTTGGAACACACAGCTGAGTTCCACCATGTGCACACAAGGTGTGTAAGAAGGGCCTACGCCTGCCTGTTTTGCCTTGCTGAGCCCAGGGATATAAGATGGTAGGTGGGAAGGCAGAAGATGGTAATAGGCAAAGTTTACAGGAAGAAGCCAGTGATCAGCCACACATCTGATACAGTCACCAACTCTACACAAATCAAACTGGTTTCTCAACACTCACCTGTGACGTCCAGAAGGAAGGAGACCTTCTGTCCCCCGGCCTCACAGCTGTACTCCCCAGCATCTGCCTTGCCCGCCTGCTGCAACACCAGCCTCCTCTCACAGCCAGAGGCTTCCACTCGAACCTTCGAGCTGGAGCTCAGCTTCTTCCCGTCCTTGAACCAGGTCACCTCAGTCTGGGCCTGGGCCACCTCGCAGCTCAGTGTGGCACTGGCCCCTGCCTCTGATTTCACCTCGCTTTGTGCTTGCTGCAACTTGGCAAACACCACCTTGGGCTCTGGGGACAAATGGGGGCACAAACTCAGAGGCACTATCTAGATGAGCAAGGTCACAATGGGAAAGACCCTAGATGGGTCAGCTGGAGGGCAGAATATCACCCAAGCCCTGCACTCTCTGTGCTCGGGAGAAATCCCAGGGCCTCCAAACACAGGGAAAGTCATGCTCCCTTATCCATCCAGAATATACCCAAGACCTGCAGTAGGTGCCTCAGACGCAGGTAGCACCAAATACTGCATATGTTGCTCCTGGAGGACCCTGAGAAAGTTTAGCTAACACATTAGGCATAGTACGAAACTCATAAACCAGTTGTGATGGTACACAGCTACAATCTGAGCATTCAGGAGGCAGAGAAAGGCAGACCTCTGTGAGTTTGAGGCTAGCCTGGTCTACATAGCAAGTGCCAGGACTGCCAGGGCTATGTAGAAAAAAATCTGTCTTGATCCCTTCCCACCCCCCCCAAAAAAATCATAACGACTAGTGATAAAATAGAAAACTCAAAGAAACATAGTGTAACAAAAGCCCACAGTCTAGACCATTACCAAGTAAAATAAAGAGCAAAAAACAGAAGTGATATGGTGATACCATTGCAACCCATCTGATGAACGGATCATTTCTGGAATTTTCCATATATTTTAGAACCATGGATGGCAGTGCATAACTAAACCATGGGTAAAAAGAGTGACTGTCACAATTTGGCACACACCCCATCACTCATTTCTGGTGTCACTAGGCAGACTTTTCTGCCAGTTATTTGCCCAGTTTTCAATAGCACTGTCTGTCTCCTAGGCGCTCACTGTAGGACCTCTGTACATATGCTCACACTAGGGGACTGGCAATAACATCCACTCCAGGCACTTCCCTTATTGTGTTGCCTGTCTTCACCGTTTAGGGTAGGATCTGCTGAATTGCTGGGTTTCTAATTTTTTAACAGTATTATTGTTGTATGTAATATGGGCAGGAGGGCAGCACACACCACAGCTTTCAGATGGAGGCCAGAAGACAACTCATCTGAAGCTGCTAAACTATCTCACCAGACCTAACTCACAGTTTTCAATTTCAAAGTATTCGTGTGTGTTTTACGGTGGTCACTGTGTTTGCTCTCCTGTTCCTGGGCACTGGAGTAGAGCTGCGCCTAGCATGAACTGAGCTCCATTCCTAGAATTGGTGTGTGTGTGCATGCGTGCATGCGTGCGTGTGTGCATGTGTGTGCTCCAGAGTGTACATTTATTCTATTTGTACATATTTCAATCCATAAATTCTGATGTTCTCCGGTATAGTACAGTACTATTTAAGTACTTCATGATAATTACATGAGAAGATTTTGCATGTTTCCAACATAAACAACATGGAAGGAACTGGAAATGCTGACTACCCAGTTTGATCAATGCACATCATAGACATGTTATCAGATTCCATACTGCACCCCATTATCACTGTGTATGATCATTATATGTTGGTTTAAAATAATGAATTCGGTCCTTACGTGGAGTCACAGAAATACCTGCATGTACCTTGACGGTTCTGTGTTTCTCTTTCTACTATAAGTAGGTCTGGAATACAACTAGAGTTGGCAGTGGATGTGGTGATTACTGGTCCAGTGTTTCTTCAGTGTGGTAAATGGTAAATAGTTCATGAAACAATCATACTGTCTGCAGCCCTTCCATGAGTCCCAGAGAGGAGAGGAAAGATGTAAGTGGGGTTGAGGATGGGGAATCCACTGCTGTGAGAGTCCAACCTGAGCTCTGTCCTCTGGTCTGCTTGCCTGTCCCTGTACTGAGACACCCACATCTTCATTGCATGAGTACTGCATACTCTAACACGTAGTACAGCAAAGGCTCCCTGCTTTCCTTTGACTGTTCTGTTTGGATGGGAAATGCTCCCAAAGGCCCACGTCATTGGGGTTTTACTCCCCAAAAGGACTGTGGAACCCAAGCCACTTCCTCTCTCCCACACACATTCCAGTGTGAAGTGAGTAGATCAACCAAGAAGGATGGGACACATGCACAGATAGTTTTTCTAACAACAAAAAACACTGGGACCGTGAAGATCATCAGCCGGTCTCCCATCATCTGCAAACAAGCCACCTAGATACATGAACACAGACCTGTGACATCCAGACGGAAGGAGACCTTCTGTCCCCCGGCCTCACAGCTGTACTCCCCAGCATCCGCCTTGCCCGCCTGCTGCAACACCAGCCTCCTCTCACAGCCAGAGGCCTCCACTCGAACCTTCGAGCTGGAGCTCAGCTTCTTCCCGTCCTTGAACCAGGTCACCTCAGTCTGGGCCTGGGCCACCTCGCAGCTCAGTGTGGCACTGGCCCCTGCCTCTGATTTCACCTCGCTGTGTGTCTGCTGTTCCTTGGCAAACACCACCTTGGGCTCTGGAAACAGATAGGGATGCACAGGATCAATGACCCCAGATTAGACATAACCTTTCTTTGGGGCCTGGGATTCATCAGAGCCCAGTCATGGCCAAAGCAACACTGCCCATAATTGACAGATAGTCATGTGATCATAAACAAGATTCTGTGCCATGTGTGACCCAAGGTACATGTGCTGAAGCTTCATATGTGCAAATCCTGGGTCTGCAGAGTCTTGTCACTGCCCTAAGAACCTGCAGGCCCACTCTAATATTTGCTGGCAGGTGAGCTATTGTAGCCCTTAGGCCATCACAGCTCGCTTCCCTTAACAATCCTGACCTTTAAGGACAAAACTCTAAATCTTCCCTGCCTCTGGTCCCCCCAAAACTTCAGGCCATCCCTAGCTTTCCAGTGCTCCTACATGCAAGAGACCACAGACAGCAAGAGGAGGCACAGTTGGGAGGGATGGCCAGCTCAATCCCCACATCAGAAACTGATATCTTTCTGAACCACAGCTGAGAGGAAGTCCAAGATGGAGGAATGAGTAGAGCCAAGCAGGAGAGAGTGGCTACATGGTCCATGGCCTTTTCCTCAGACTCAAGCACAGGGTGGAGAGGGTTGGACACACATTCATGGGAATTATGACAGAGCCAACAAGGGCTCCTAGAATCCTGGGAGCCAGCAATAGGAATGGACAGAGAGAAGCATCTCCTGCTATCTGTAAGACTTGCTCTACAGCCATGGAACTCTCCCCCACATAGACCCTATCACACCTACGTTCACTATGCAAGGCCATCACCCCAGGTTGGTGTCGCCAGGAACACTCCCCAAGATTGGCCCAGCCATCAGCCTGCTTTGACCTCCTGATAGTGACAAACATAAAAGTCACTAGACAGAGCTGAAGACACCCAAATACTAAGGTCTAAGGACAGGGAGAATACCAGCCCAAGATACCTAGATGTGTCCTATGATGGTTCCATTGAGTACAACCCTAGCACTCACCTATGACGTCCAGACGGAAGGAGACCTTCTGTCCCCCGGCCTCACAGCTGTACTCCCCAGCATCCGCCTTGCCCGCCTGCTGCAACACCAGCCTCCTCTCACAGCCAGAGGCCTCCACTCGAACCTTCGAGCTGGAGCCCAGCTTCTTCCTCTCCTTGAACCAGGTCACCTCAGTCTGGGCCTGGGCCACCTCACAGCTCAGTGTGGCACTGGCCCCTGCCTCTGATTTCACCTCACTGTGTGTTTGCTGCCCCTTGGCAAACACGACCTTGGGCTCTAGAGACAAGGAGGAGAACATGGTGAGAGATACAATATGTTACTTATTTCTCAGACATTGATTCTCTAAGGTTCCATAAATTGTGTCCTTGGGGTCATGAATGTCAGGTGTCTAGTGAGATGTTAGACATACCTTCACAGACACAGTGTCTTGTTTGAGTGTGCATTTGGAAGTTATCCTGACTCAAGAGCAATTTCAAGGTCAGGAGAAAGAGGCTGGGCTATTACAGCTCTCTACCTATGTGTTTACTGTCTCTGCCATGTTTGTGGCAGATTGCATTGCTCAGTGATATATCCCAGAGCTGGCACTGTGTGCTCTGCAGACTATAGCCTCCATTCTCTGATGGTTTAGTCCACTCATAAAGTATGCACGAGCATCTATCTGTTCAGCTCAGTGAATGTCAAATGTACCTCTCCCCATAGAACCCAAACTTCTGAACAAACAGAGCATCTCAGCTCCCCACACACAGACTGTCAAAAAACATAAACAGGCAGGCAGGCACACACACACATATATATATATATATACACACACATGTGCATGCTCACCACACATATGCACACACACACATACACACAGGCTCACACACAATGCATACACACAGACACACACACATACATATACACACATATATACATATACACTCACACACGTACATACACAGGTGTACACACACAGGCTCACACACAACACATATACACACAGACACACATAGAGACATACACACTCACACACGTACACACACACACATATACACACAGGTGTACACATACACAGGCTCACACACAACACAGACACACACACATATACCCACACAGACATAGACACACACACACACACACACACACACACACAGAGCCACTACTCTGATTTCTTTCACCATCAGTTACTTCTGCCTGGGCTCTGACTTCATACCCATTAGGCCAGTTACATGCTCTATAGTGATGCTCCATCAGTGACAGACCCCAAGATTACAATGATGGTCCCTTAATGTGGTATTGCCCAGAAACATTATAGCTGTCTCCATTTGTATGACTGTACTCTGTGGTACGCACACAATAGGAAAATCACCCAACAACAAATTCTCCATCAATTATATTCTGGTTGGTTTGTAAGCTTTCATTTGGCTTGTATGAAGAACCCATCCATGCTAAATATTATTTGTTCACTTAAGCCAGGCATTGTGTTACACAACTTTAACTTGGGAGGCAGAGGCAGGTGGTTCTCTGTGAGTTCCAGGCCAACCTGATCTACACAGTGAGTTCCTAGACAGCTAGGGCTACATGGGAAAACACTGTCTTTAAAAACAAGAAGCTTGTTCCTTCAAGCTGCTACATAGGGTTGTGCTGCATAAACACCACAACCAAACACCTTTTCTGTTCCTTCTCAGCTCCGTTGGGTTGTTCACAATCAATACAATGAGATACAATTAATAAAGCTGCTATAAACATTTGAGTTCCTCAATGGTTAGGAACTCTTAGAGAGGACAAGAGTCCAGTTCCTAGTGCCCACTATAGCGGTTAGATTGAGAAGGCCCCCCCATCAGATTGAATACCGGGTCCCCCCTTTGGTGGAAGGACTTAAGAAGATTAGGAGGTATGGCCCTGTTCTGCTGGCAGGCTTTGAGGTTATGAAAGACTCCCACCATATGCAGTATGTCTCAGAAAACAGCTGGCAGGATAAAGGATAGGTGGGGCTGGAAGGCAGAGAGAATAAATAGGAGAAGAAATCTAGGAAAGAGAAAAGAGGAGAAAACAAGGGAAAAAGAAAGGGAGGCTTCCAGAGCCAGCCAGCCAGGCAGCTGCCAGACAGACAGACAGACATGGAAGAAGTAGGAAAAATAAGACATGCAGAAGAAAAAGGTAGAAAGACCTGAGGCAAAAGGCATATAAAGAGAAACAGGTTAATTTTTGTTAAAAGAGATAGCCAGAATCTAGCCTAAGCTAGGCTGAGCATTCATAACTAAAAAAAAAAAAAAGCCTCCGTGTCATGATTTGGGAGCTGGTTATTGGCCCAAAAGAGAAAGCCTGGGACACCCAGTAAATAAATGGACTAGGAGACATCATCATAATCAACAGTCTGAACATAAAATGTGTGGAAGTTAATTTTAAAAAACTCTCTGTCACACCAGGACAGAAATAGATATGAGAAAAGCCTTCCGCTGCAAAAATAATGAAGTCCAGTGGGACATGGTTAGATCATGATTAGGTCATAGAACTCCACCTGCAGGAATAGCAACATCATTCATTAGAGCTGTCAAACAAGGGTACAGTCATAGAGAGAAGGAAAAGGCAAGTATGTGGATGTTACTGGGGATAGAGCTCAGTGACAGAGAATGTAATTAGGTTGTAAAGAACCCATTCAACACTAAAATGTGTGTGCACACATGCACACATGCAAGAATCCATAGATTCTGGCAAACCAAACAAATTATAAAGCTTAAAAATACTACAATTGAAAATAAACCTACTCCCAGTGGTACTGGCAGACATTATATGCACTACAACATAAGATTAGTGAGTTGGAAGATGGATCAAAAGAAAATATTAAAAGTAAAGCAAAGAGAGAAATGTGATTGAGCAGAGAGAAGTATGTGTATGATGTATGACCACATGTATAAGAACATGAAAGGGTCTACCAGAGTAAAGGAGTCCTTATAGGGACAGATGAGACAAAACAGCCAAAGACCAAGAATACCCACAAAAGAGAAGAGACATAAACCCACAGACTCAACATGCTCTGGCCCCCAATATCAAGCAAGCCACATGAGGTTCTCACTGTAACACTTGCCTTAATCAGGGTACCAACTGCTATAAGACACCATGACCAAAAGCAACTCATGTAGGAAAGGCTTTATTTCCACTTACTTGTCCCAATAATAGTCCACCATGAAGGGAAGTCTGGGCAAAAACTGAGGGCAGGAACCTGAGGCAGGAACTGATACAGAAGCCATGGAGGAGTGCTCCTCGTGGCTTGCTCGGCCAGTTTCTTTCCTTCCTTCCTTCTTTCCTCCCTCTCTCCATCCCTCCCTCTTTTCCTGTCTCCTTCCCTTCTTTCCTTCAACTGTGTAAAGAGTTTTCTTTTAATGTATAAAACTAGAAAAAATTATTGATTGGGATTTCACGTGTGACTCCTTCACTGTCCATTGAGGTCAGTCAAGTTCAGGATTTCTGAAAGATCCCTTTCTCACAGAAAGATCATTAATCCAAGTGTGCTATCAGACTATGATTTTTTTTTTACCCTTTTATCTCTCTTTGAATTAAAGACACACATTCAGAACACTTCGAAGCTATCCATCAGAGTATTTCTTCAATTTCTTCAAACGATTTACTTGGGAACCATTTTAAAGTAGATCTCCCTCTGACTTGCTGACACCCCATTTCTCTTAAGAATGAATTCGTGTCATTCCTAACACACTCAGAATGATGATCTACATGTAGGATATGCCAGCGCAACTCTGAAACAAAACCATCCACAGGCATCTTCAACTCCTGCTTCATGTTCAGCTTCATTATACCATAACCATCCATTTTATATCAAAACTCATACTGAACATCAGTTTGGGTTGCAAAAGAGAATTTAATTGTGCACCTCTTTTCCATGCCAGTCTGCTTTCTTACACACTCCAGGGCCACCTTCCCAGTAGTGGCATGGCGCACCGTGAGCTGGGTCCTCCCACATCAATCACTAATTAAGAAAACCCACCACAGACCTGCCTACAGGCCAACATTATGAAGACATTTTCTCAACTGAGAATCCCCCTTCCCAAATGACTCTAGCTTATGCCAAGTTAACATAAAACCAACCAGCACAATGACCAAACTTGGGTAGTTTCAAACAAACAGAAATTTCGAGAATTCACACATCAGGAGACTCACTACGGCAGACTCCAGGGGACAGAGATCTTCAGAGGCAAACAAACCCAGACCCAAACCCTGGCTCTGCAACTAAGTCTGGCTAAGCAAGTCAAGCTCCTCTGTGCCCATCTTAAAATGGGAATAGTCAGGATCCTTCCTCACAGAATTGCTAACTAGTTCAAAATCTTTTAAAAATAAGATGCACTTCACAAAACCAAGGCACGGGGATGGGATTGGCTAGCAGTGAGTATAGACAAAGCTGAGAAAATAGGTCATGAGGCAGTGTCTCACCCTAATGCGTACATACAGTGCATGCACACCAGAGAACCCTAATGCATACATACAGTGCATGCACACCAGAGAACCCTAATGCATACATATAGTGCATGCACACCAGAGAACCCTAATGCATACATATAGTGTATGCACACCAGAGAACCCTAATGCGTACATATAGTGTATGCACACCAGAGAACCCTAATGCGAATATATAGTGTATGCACACCAGAGAACCCTAATGCATACATATAGTGCATGCACACCAGAGAACCCTAATGCGAATATATAGTGTATGCACACCAGAGAACCCTAATGCGTACATATAGTGTATGCACACCAGAGAACCCTAATGCATACATATAGCATATGCACAGCAGAGAACCCTAATGCATACATATAGTGTATGCACACCAGAGAACATGTAAAGAGAAAAAGAAAGGAAAACCCACCTGTGATGTCCAGACGGAAGGAGACCTTCTGTCCCCCGGCCTCACAGCTGTACTCCCCAGCATCCGCCTTGCCCGCCTGCTGCAACACCAGCCTCCTCTCACAGCCAGAGGCCTCCACTCGAACCTTCGAGCTGGAGCTCAGCTTCTTCCCATCCTTGAACCAGGTCACCTCAGTCTGGGCCTGGGCCACCTCGCAGCTCAGTGTGGCACTGGCCCCTGCCTCTGCCTTCACCTCTCTGTGTGCCTGCTGCTCCTTGGCAAACACCAGCTTGGGTTCTGAGAACAGAAAGTAAGACAAAATCAGAAACCATTTGAGTCCTAAAAGTCACATGGAGAAAGGGCCTGGATGAGGCTTCCGAGGGGGGGACCACAAAACCCTCTCAGCATGAAACCACAGTTCACACATCCTGCCACTGCTTCAGGGGCAGTTAAGGAAGGGCAGAATCATTGGTGAAAGACTAAGGAATAAACAAATCTTTACAACTGTAGTAACTCACTGCTGGCTAATGAGCCACCACCCCATGAGCTGCTCAGCCCTATAATTTAACCAAGAACAACTGCAGTGCCTGGCGTTGGTAGCACACACCTTTAATCTCAGCACTCAGGAGGCAGAGGCAGGCGGATCTCTGTGAGTTCAAGGCCAGCCTGGCCTACAAAGCAAGGTCCAGGACAGCCAGAGCCACACAGAGAAATCTTGTCTCAAAAAACCAAAAGCAAGCAAAACAACTTCAGTTACTTCCTGGAAGCTGTGAGAACAGGGAACTCTTACACAGTGATCAACTGCACCTAAAACAGCTGCAGGGATGGAGGGCCGCGTCCACAAGAGTATGACTCAAGGCCAGTAAGTACAAGCTGCAGTCAGAGATGGCAGAGGAAGGACTTCAGTCTCCTACCTGTGAGCCGGCCTCTGATTGGACCAGATCAGGGACAGGATATGGGGCTTTAATTGGTTGACTAAAATGTAATTGCCTCTATCTTTGCCCAGTTTCTACCATAAATCCTATTTAAAAAAAAAAAAAAAAGCTTCCAGACAAAGAAATTCAATGTCTTTCCTCTCTTAGAACCCATCTCACTCTTGGGGGTGGGGGGTCTTTCACTTTTCTGTTACTTCTCTTAACAATGCCTACTTCCACTTCACTTGCTTCCAAAAGGGCCCAAATTTCTTGCTTTCACTGGCATGATTCAACAAGCCAAGAGCCATTGTCTCAGGTTGACTTTTGGTGACCATTGCGTTTCTGGTGCCTTACGTCTCTGGGTCAGGCACAACTGGACTGAGAAAGGTCTTGTTCTCAATCCTGCATCTGTACCCCAGGGAGAGGGCAGAGAGTGTTCCAAAACACCTAACTGAACCCTGGCAGCCCCAGGCTCAGTGTTCATACAATTACAAATATGACCATATGACTGAAATCTCTCCTGGTCCTTGCTGAACGTGAATTAAAATTTCTCTTTAAAAGACACCTCATGTGGGACTGGATAAGACCTCAGAGACATTTGTTACCTCAGACCTACACACAAGTAGAACCAGACTCCATGGCACCAAGGAACACTGACAGAACCTAAGCAGGCGCTGAGAACATGAAACAGAACATTGTAGCATTAAGACACCTCGTGAGGCACACAAGAGGCACTGGCCAAGCCAAACGCATATCCACCAAATGCACCTGGACCAGACACAGGGATGAAATTAGCAGAGGATGTGAGATAGGCAAAGGATGGTGCTCAATAGGAAACACACAGGGCCTGTCTGGCCATAACCAGGCTCATAACATTTGCAAACTGATTTAATGTCTCAGAACCCACCTGTGACATCCAGACGGAAGGAGACCTTCTGTCCCCCGGCCTCACAGCTGTACTCCCCAGCATCCGCCTTGCCCGCCTGCTGCAACACCAGCCTCCTCTCACAGCCAGAGGCCTCCACTCGAACCTTCAAGCTGGAGCTCAGCTTCTTCCCATCCTTGAACCAGGTCACCTCAGTCTGGGCCTGGGCCACCTCGCAGCTCAGTGTGACACTGGCCCCTGCCTCTGTCTTCACTTCGCTGCGTGTCTGCTGCTTCTTGGCAAACACAACCTTGGACTCTGAAGATAAACAGAGACACACAGTTGCTATAACTAAATTAGGGTTCCCAAACTCTGGTGACTCAAGGACCCCATTCTGTTAACTTTGACTAAGATTTCATTCTTAGCATTGGTGGAGCATGTCTTTGATACCAGCACTTGGGAGACAAAAGCAGGCAGATCTCTATGAGTTTGAAGCCAGCCTGGTCTACAGAGCAAGTTCTACGACAGGCTCTAAAGCCACAAAGAAACCCTGTCTCGAAAAACCAAAATAAAAAAGACTTCACTCCGAGAAATATATCCATTGAATTTTTTGTAAATGGTAAACTCTAAAGATACTCTCTGAATATGTGCTGTTTCAGCTTCAGTCCTGAGCGGTCACTTAACTGGGCATGGAATTTGAGATTGACAGTTGTTTCCCTCAGTACTTTGGACACCATGCCTTCATTGTTTTTCTGTTTCTTGTTGCCCACGTCTACATAGTACCTCACAGGTCCCTCTTCTTAGTCTTCATGTCTCTTAGCATCCCTCCACTCACCTACAACAGCTCTCCAGCCTCAGCCTCCTCTCCATGCTCACAGTCACTCTCTCCCCTAACCTCATCACCTCCTACCTGGGGTAAGAAAGAGCCTCATACCTGGTCTCCTTGCCTTGGGTCTCCCCTTGCCCAAATCAATTCTCCATTTAGCCTCCTAGAAGCTAATGTATCACCTCCATGTTCCTATCTCTAGAGAAATCTAAAGGACAAAGGACCACTCCCTTTAGTGGGCACCTCTGGGTGTCTCCAAATGCTCCCAGGTGAGTGGGATGGCCCAACAGAATGAGCATGTGCTTTTGAATGCATTTCCAACACAAAATTGTAGTTAATTTTCCTTTTCTATGATAAGAGAAATTGAAACATTAGCCCCACCCCCTGCCACAAAAAAAAAAAAAAAAGTTAGAGCCGACCTTCAGAACTCTAGAAATTGAGCAATGGCTTACAGTAGTAATCAGTAATTCAGAAAAACCTCTGAATCTGGGTCACAGACTGCCAGAGATGAGGAGGACTTTTATGTCACTGTTCCTCGTCCCCTGTACTCCAGTGTGCCTTTGAAGCCAGCAGTGGCCCTGCAGTTCCAGACAGAGCAGGGCAGACCAGGTCCCCGAACAACCAGCATCATCTGACATATGGGGACCCCTGAACTTCACGCATAGGTTGTCTCCATTGGCTCTGAGATCCCAATGCAGATCACTGTCCCCAGCAAAGACCATAGGGCAACTGGAAGTCTTTGCTGAATTCCAGGTCCCCCCACCCCCCACCCTAGACAGTGGAGAACAGGTCAAACAAGTCTAACCAAAAGTTAGGGAATGAAGTTCCACAGGGAGTTTTGGGATCCCTTGGCATCTTCCAGCACAGTGACATCTCAGAAAGGCCTGCACACCTGGGCAACCTCAGTGACAGCCTGAGGTGATGCTGAGTTCACTTCACAACTGCTCGGGAAGTGAAGCATCCATGGCCAACAGCCACAGACCATCACTCCAATCAGATGATGAGGCATATGTCCTTTATAGCTCAGCTCAGAGAGGCCACTAACACACAAATACTACATGCAACAAATGTTGGTAACAATTTAAAAAGAAAAGAAAAAGAGTGTGTTCATGTAAATAAAAAGTTGGTTCTTTGAAAAAGATCTGTAGAACAGACTAACCATTGTCTCAACTAAGAAAAAAGCAATAACTCAATTAAAATCCAAAAAGGTGAAAACATCAAAACAGACTCCCCACAAGTACAGAGGCTCTCAAAAAACATTGTGAATGATTGTGTGTCAACAAATAAGATAACCCAGAAGTGGTGGCTCATGCCTTTAACCCCAGCACTCCGGAGGCAGAGGCAGGGAGATCTCTGTAAGTTCAAGGCCAGCTTGGTCTACAGAGCTAATTCCAGAACAGCCAGAGATGTTACACAAAGAGACACTGTCTCAAAAAACCAAAAATGCATACATATATGCAGGCATTTATTTAATTACAGTGATTTACCAGGCATGGTGGCACATGCCTTTAATCCCATCACTTTGGAGGCAGAGGTGGACACATCTTGGTAAGTTTGAGAGCAACCTGCCCTACATAGCAAGTTCCAGGCCAGCTAATACTACATAGTGAGATCCTGCCTCCCCCCCCCCCAGAAAAAAAGAAAGCAAAGAAAATTTTACAATGATCAATTAGAGAAGGCCCTAACTCTCTTACTGTTCAAACATGAGCTCAAAATGTATCAAAGAGCTAAACATAAAATTAGAAGCCAGAAGACAACTAGAAGGAAGTGTATGGGAACACCTCAGCCAGTATATTGATACAGATACTAAATTTTTGGCTAAACAAAAACTAATTTCGCATTTACATGCACACATGCACCCATGATAGCCTGTGCGTGAGCATGTGCATGCACACGCACACACACTCAGAGAGAGAGAGCCTGCTCTAATCCTTCTATATCCTTCCTCTTCTGAAAGTTGAAAGTGATCATTGTAAGCATTGAATATGATGATTGGAGCCATGTGTGACATGACACAGAAAGTATTTACAAGAGGATAACACACAATGAAAGTATGGGATCTAGTGATAAAAGGTAAAAAAGGTTCTCTCAGGGTCCAGCCTCCCTATGTCCACGCTTCTCTATAATAGGACCCTCCAGCCTGTTACCTACAGCACGGTCTGCATCCCTGTGCTCTTGGGACCAAGCAGACATTTTGCTTAGCTCTGACCAAACAAACAAGCAGAGGTAACACTCTGGTCTCCCAGAGCAGAGCTTCAAGATCTCCTGCATCCTGAGGGAGATCTGGTCACCTCAAGAAGAGGCCCAGATGGCCCTTGTAAAAACCACTACTCTGGGCAAGCTGTTGCAAAGCAAAAGAAATCACAAAGGAAGACAAAAGGCTCTAAGAACAGCCCTGAGATCAGCTCCATTGCTATAAAAGAGGCCTCTCCTCCCATACAGCCCCTTCCTTCAGGGCCATCTCAGTGAGGATGTCAAATGTAAGCATTCATCTAGCATGGATTCCCAGCCCCAGTGACACCACATGGGAAAGAAATAAGCCATCAGTACAGACCACATAGTCCATCCTGCCCTATCAACTGGAGAGGAAAAAAAGCAGACTTTGTGTCCACTCCTGTGAGCTTGAAGTAACTTGTTACTTGCGGAGAACTACCCAATACATACCCTTGTATGGCCTATGGAATGGACCCAGGACCCAGTCCACATTAAAACACTTCCCACAGGGTTGTCCCATGACACAAACAAATATATAACCAACTGACCTGTGATGTCCAGACGGAAGGAGACCTTCTGTCCCCCGGCCTCACAGCTGTACTCCCCAGCATCTGCCTTGCCCGCCTGCTGCAACACCAGCCTCCTCTCACAGCCAGAGGCCTCCACTCGAACCTTCGAGCTGGAGCTCAGCTTCTTCCCATCCTTGAACCAGGTCACCTCAGTCTGGGCCTGGGCCACCTTGCAGCTCAGTGTGGCACTGGCCCCTGCCTCTGATTTCACCTCGCTGTGTGCCTGCTGTTCCTTGGCAAACACCAGCTTGGCCTCTGGAACAGTAGACAAAGACAATTATTCAGAGGTTCCTTTCAAACTCCTAAGTCTTGGATTCTGGTTAATAAACTCTGGACTCCAGGAAACTCCATTTCCTGACACAAAAGTCTCCCAAGGCCCCTTGCTTGGTGGTGACTCTTCTTAATCCTGAGTGTGTGGTGTCTAGTCAGTGTGTGATGCCAGAACAGATTGACAGAGCAAGACAACAGGAAATCACCAGGTCAGCCCTTACAGGCCAAGACAGCATTCTCTTATCCCCTAATTCGCCCACCTTCAGAAACAGCTTCCACATAGCAAAGGAAGGTCCTGTTCATGAACACATCCCCAGTTTTCTCCACCAACTGGAAACTGGCCATGCCATGATTTTTGCTTTTGGATATAGCCAAACTTAAAGCCATGCATATTACTGAGAATCCTGTTGTATGAAATGTATGCATTTGTAGGTTTTTAGAGCCTGTGTGAGAAACACATACCTCTGGAAGGCAGCAAAGAGTTTTCAGGTATGTGAACCCTATCCAATGGTCCAGTATGGAGAACCTCAGGCCATTCAAGAGTGGTATGTACCTATGCTAGAGCTGTAAGTCTGCAGCATCTTCATGCAGGGAACAGGAGACACAACCTTGCCCTGTCTGGTATCCGAAGCTGCCCCCCCCCCAGCTAATGCCATACCCCCATCCCTATTGCAAGAAGCACTGGCAAGAGGGACCCAAGCATCTTGCTATCTTTGCCCCACTCTCGCATATGTGCCTCTGATGTCCAGCTTGGCCCCCAACCACAGCATCCACATAGCCACCTGCCATGTCTGTGATGAAAAGTTGTAAGCCCTACAGGGTATGGATGCAGATACCCAGACTTAGACCACAAATGACCCTGACTCTCGCCCAAACCAGAGAGATTCCAACCACAGCTAAGTCCTTCTTCCTACAGAGCTGAACTACCCATCACAATTAACTTGTACATGCGCATGCACACATACACACACACACACACACACACACACACACACACGTCAGAAATCAGCTACCCCACTGCCCAGAACCCTCAGAGCATGCCTGGAGCTAGGGCACAGAGGATACACAACCAGAAATACAGTGTAGCACAAGGACATGATGGCAGCCCCAGTGCCCACCTGCACTCACCTTGCACCAACAACTGGTAGGCAATGCGGCTCCCACGACTGACACACTCATAGAGGCCAGCATCATCCTGCGCCACATCCCGCACCAGCAGTGCTCGTCTCCCAGCTGACCCCTGCATCTCGTACTTGGGTCCTAAGGGCAGCTCATGGCCATCCTTCAGCCAAGTCACAGCTGCAGCCTGGTCTGACAGCTCAGCCAGCAGCTGAGCCTCCTCGTGCAACCGGGCCAGCACCTCCCGGGCAGCCACAGCAGGAAGCTTGCTGCTGGCTAGCCCCAGAGCTGCTACAGGTCAGAGATGGTTAGATAGAAGTTAGTAGGAACAAAGAGACCACAAGAGGGTGAGCAAAAGGAGTCATAGGCAGTGAAGGAGAGGAGAGAGGATATGAGGTTGAGGAAAGAGAGATAAAAGGGAAAGAAGAAACCCAGGAAAAGGGGTGGATTGGAAGGAAAGCAGATGTGGTAAGCAAGTCAGTGAAAGGCAAGAGAAGGGAGAGTATGAAGAAGAGAGGGGAGCAGAGAGAGTGAACACAGGACACCAGTGAAAAGAGGCAGACCATAGGGAAAGCCAGATGTAGGGGGAGAGAGACAGGTGAGAAAGAAACAGGCAAGCAGAGAGGAGACATGGGGATAGACAGAAGAGAAAATGAGAAAGGAGGCAGTCAGAAATGCAGAGCCCCGAGGCATCTCATACACATGTGTGTGCAGGCACACACAAACACGCACAGAGCCCAGCCTCAACTGCCAGCCTAGGGCGAGCAACCTCAAGCACGCAGCTGCCCTACCCCCTTCATCACAATGCCTTCAGACAAACCTTCAGGGACTACGCCTCCTGCCTACTACCACACTGCAGAGAAAATGGGACTCAGGGATTCAGGCCTACCTCGGACCACCATCCGGATGCTGGTTTCAATGCCATTAGCCACAAACTTCAGCTGTGCCCCGTGCAGTCTCGCAGGCACCTCTCTGATGGTGAGCATATGCCGGGTACGGTCACAGCGGATCACATATATACTGCTGGCTTTCAAGGCCTCCCCATCCAGGAACCACTCTCCCTCAGAAGCCATGGTGAGGTCCACAGAGAATGTGACCTCACCTCCCTCTACTGCCTCCACCGCCTTCAGAGGTGTCTTCACAGCCAGCCTGGGGACTGCAGGGAGGGCAGAATTAAGGTAAGAGTTGGAGATAAGAGCACAGGTCCTGCTTCCCCCTCCTCTGCCCTGCCCCCACATAGATGAAGTAGCTGAAGCCTGGTTCCCTGAGGCTGCTGGAGAGGCAGGTTCAGTAGGGCCTGGGTCCTGCCTTAGGATACCCCCTCGTGCATGAAGAGGCTTCAACATCCCCCCAACCACACAGAGAGTCCCCTTAAGATCATCCTGGTTCCCCTGGATGCAGAACCATGCTTTGGGGTCAGGTAACTCCAGGGCAGGTAGCAGCCCCCTGTGATGTTACTAGGTGGTCTTACTCACCCAAGTGGACAGTCCCTGGAAACTCAAGGTAAGGACTCTGGCCAAAGTGGTTAATGGCTGACACTCGGAACTGGAAGTCCCCCTCCTCAGCCACTCCAGCGACGGTAAACTCAGTTGTGACCAGCCATTCAGCTTCGTGACACCGGCTCCAGGCATAAGCACCAAGTTTCCTTTTCTCCACCACATAACCATCAAGGGCGACAGGGCGGTCCCCATGGGGTGGTGGGGACCAGCTGAGGGTCACAGAACTATCTGTCTTGGCCTTTACTACAGGGTCAGCAGGGGGGTACAGAGGTGGCCTCCTGGGTGCTGTGTGGAAGATAAGTTGAACTCACTAACTGGGAACTCCCTCCCACAGCCTTGGGTCACCCAGAAAGGAAATGTCAGATCTTGAGCCTCTCCCTGGCACTACTCTGGTGGAAGGGATGGTACCATTCACCATCAGTGGGCTCAGAACCCGCTCTCCAGTCCTGCTGCCACCCAGCTGCAGTGGGAAGGCCCCTCCTCTGCCACCCTTGGATCTCCACTGGCTAGGGGAGCCCTCCACACTGAGGGAGAAAACAGGCACAGCTGTGTCCCTACCAGGAGGGCCACCCAAAGGCCATTCTTCCAATGCCTACCTGATACACAGAACTGGGTGGTCGTTCGGCAGCCACCAGCCACAAAGGCCACCTCACCCATGTCCTCCAAGGTGCACTGGAAGATGGTCAGTGTATGGCATGTGCCTTCTGAAGTGATGGCTACCCGGCCCCCTGCCACCATCTCCTCCTGGTTCCGTAGCCACTGGACAGGGCCCTCAGGGACGGCTAGCTCTACCCAGAAGATGGCTGTGTCTCCAATGCGCACTACAGTCTTCCGAGGAAGCTTTCTGGTCAAGTTCCCTAGAGTGGGAAGATTGTCAGGATGGTAAGACAAGCCCCCTGTGTACTCCATACTCCGTTTGTACAACCCCTACTCGTGTGGCCTCGTTCTCATCTTCTTGTCCATCCAGCCCCACTCTCCCATCTGTTTCTGTTACACACACACACACACACACACACACACACACACACACACACACCTTCTGCCCAACCCTACCTTCTGGTCCCTGCCTGTCCAAAACCAGGCTTAACCCTATTCCTAGCCTCCCTGTAACCTCTGCCAGCCTCAAGTTTCCCAACCGCAGGTCACTCACTACACACCTCTATGTCCTAGAACCTCTCACCTCTTCTGCACTTGAGCCCTCCTCCCTCTGTCTTACCACCTACTGTACCTCAGCCTAGTTCCCGGATTCAGGAGCAAGCACCCTCTTGTCAACCTGGCCCATCACACTTTACTCAACCCCACCCCCACTCCACATTCCAGACTCCCTCTGCCCTTCCCCCTGCCTTTTCCTCATCCTGGCCCCTCTGCCCTGTCCCTCTCACCTCAGCCCTACTCACCAACCTTCCTAACCACACGCAATTGACTCCACCTGCACCCCTGGGGTGCTAGGTCTACTCCCAAGTCCTGTAGCCCGCCTGGCCCCGCCAGGCCCCGCCCAGCCCCGCCCCTCCTGCCTTGGACTGAGAGCTCTGCCACAGTGCGGCTGCCTTCTGTGGTCTCGCATATGTACACTGCATCATCGTCTGCTGAGACGTCGCGCACAGTCAGCCGGCGTTCGGTGCCCTCCTCCTCGATGCTGTACTTGGCGCTGGCCCACAGCCGCGTCTCCTCCTTGAACCACGCCGCTTCGGTGGCCGGCTGTGCCACCTCACACTGGAATGTGGCAGACTCTTTCTCTTTCACCTCCAGGTCCTGCAGTCGCTTCTTGAAGGGCACGGCCGGTTCTGCAGAAAGGGGCCAACGGGGAGGTGTGATAGCGGACCAAGGGACCAAAACTGGGAAGGGCGCAGGATCAGATAGGTGAGTTGAAGAAATAGGATGGTGAGTAAGAGAAGGAGTAAGTGGAGCACGGGAAGAGACAACAGCAGGGTATGTGAGGTGCAAGTTAGGGGTATGGAGGAAGGGATATAGGGATAGTGGCTGGGACTATGGTTCCCTATGGTGGTTCACATCAGGTGCCATCATTGCCTGTTCATTTTGAGGAACCAGAGACAGCCAGACCTCGAACTCAGAATTCAGCTACCTGGAACTGCAATCAGGTGAAAGCACGGGGTGTGGGTAGTCGGAAAAGAGTCTCACCCCTGTGCATGTGTGGGAAGCTAGTATGCTCACCTCTCACGACCACCAGCACGGAGCTGTAGGTCTGACCCACGAGGTTGGATGCTGTGCAGGTGTAGAGGCCACGGTCCGACTGCTTGCAGAAAAGAATCTTAAGGACGAAGTTCTCCTGCTCGTCCTCATACACCACGTGTCGCCGGCCCTCGGTCACCAGCTGCCCATCCTTCTTCCACACTGTCTCGGGCTTGGGCTCGCCGGTCACATAGCAGCTGAGGCGCGCGTGTTTGCCTTCGGTCACGGTGCAAGTGCGTGTGCTGGCGCCGGGTGGGGATGGGGGGACTCCTTCTGCGCGCATGGCCTCGCGCCGCTGTTGCAGATGAGCCAGGAGCGAGGCGGTGGAGGCTCCAGGTGGTCCGGCAGCCTCGGCATCCGAGTCCACCACGAGCGCGGCGGCAGCGCTGGCGGAACCCAGAGGGTTCTCTGCACGGACTTCGTAGGTGCCACCATCTCGAGGCCGTGCCGACCGGATGCGAAGCGCGCTCGCCTCGCCGTGATCTTCCACGCGCACATGCGGGGCGTCGGGTGCGCCCAGGCGCCGCCCATCTTTGGACCAGCTCACTGCAGGTTGTGGTGAGCCGCCCACGCGACATCGGAAGGTAGCGTCTGCGCCCTCGCGCACGCGAATGGAGGTAGGTCGCAGCAGAAAGTGGGGCGCCTGCTCGGCACACGTGCCCTCAGAGTCTACTCGCAGGCCTACAGCAGCGAAGGCCTCCCCTATGGTGTTCCTTGCGCGACATACGTACTGCCCACTGTCACCGAGCGCCAGATCCAGGATGGTGAGGCGGTACACATCCCCGTCTTGAGCCAGGCGGAAGCGTGCTCCTGCCTCCACTGGCTGCCGGTCCTTCTCCCAACTCACATGTGGCGTGGGGTTACCCACGATCTGGCAGCTCAGTGTGGCATCCTTGCCCACAGATACCACAAAAGCCTTTGGCCGCGTAAGGAAGCGGGGCGCTCCACTGAATGAGTGGTCCATGGTGGCAGCAGGATTGGGGGTCTACAAAAGGCAAAGGTGAATGAAAGTCATGATGCTACTAAGGTGAGCCAGTCGCTTGTGCCACATACAGCCCTCTAATCCAGTGTTAACAGGAAAACCCAATTTAACCCAATGGGCACCTCCACGTGGGCTGCCTCCTCAGCAAGTCTCTTTTTTTCTTTTTTTTTTTTTTTTTTCTCCTTGTTTTCTCCTTGTTGACTCCCAAGCCACTCTCGTGGCTCCCAAGTCTAGCAAATTCAAATTAGCCCCTTTCTGTGGCTTGGAAGTCTAGCATCTTCAATTACCTGATGTTCTTCAGCACCACCCCCAACTCCAGTCTTACTACCCAAACCAGCAAGTCCTCTTGACTCCCCGGAGGGGACATGTTCTCATCCAGAAGGAAAGGGACCCTCGCCCTCACCTGAAGTGGAGCTCACCCTAATGGAAGTGCCCTCACTCACAGGACTTTGGGGAACCCCATATTCACTAGCACTGTCTGCCCTCATACTGCTAGTCTTCATGGAAAGCGGGCCCCCATGTAAGAGCAGGGTGTGGGAACAGTGCAGTCAGTGGCTGCAAAGGGCACCAGGAAGGTCCCTATAGTCTGAAGTCAGTAAGGACACCTTCTCTCTACAACAGCTGGGACCCAGCTGGCCCTAGCTCGCCTGGGACCTGATGGCCTTGTCACTACTCAGTCCTTTGCGTTGTCCCTTTGCATTGTCCTGCCAACCCCTGCAAGAATGAGATTGCATGCCTCAGTCCTCCTAGGAATCATCGGCACCCAGATAACACTGGCCTCTGCCCAATCAAGGCTTAGTCCCAGCCAACCAGCCACTGATCCGGTGAGTAGATGAGACTACCTGCCTGTACCAGGTCTTATATAACAACAGTGGGCAGGCACCATGGCTGGTCAACAGGGTAACCTCCTCCACCCCTGGCTGACATGACATGAGCACCCCAGTGCAGAGACCTTCACCACAGCCTCTGCATCTGCCATGCTTTACCAGAGCTTCCAGTCTCTCAGTCTGGGCTGCCTGATATGGGACCAGTCAGTTGATGGGTTTATATTCCCCACCCTCCAGTCCTGTGATTCAGGTAGCTAATCCCCCTAATCCTGGGCTGATTCTGGACCAGGGCTGGGCTGCACTGGCTGGTTTGCTGACTCACTGTCCAGTCAGCAACTCTGTCCCCCACCCACAAACAGATCTCATCTCTTAAGGTTAGGATAGGGACCCAAGTCCAGCCCCTGGAGCCGTCTTTCAGGATGTGTTCCGTAGAAGGTCTACCTTGATGTCAGTTTCAGGACTCTTACGTCAGAGATCTTTCTACCCTCCATACTCAGTCTGCAGGTTCCCCAGAAGCATAGCAGGGTGCCTTATGACTCTACCCACCATCCTATGCATAGCCTGGGGTGGCCCAGCCTAAAACACATAAACAAGAATATGCAAACAGCCTGGAACACACATGTTTAAGGGGAGCTGGCCCCGGCCTCAGCAGGTCCACAGGCCCTGGAGAGGCAAAAGTTGCCTGGAGACCAGTGTTCTCGTAGCCCCCGTGGCTCGTGCCCCTGGGTCTCACTGTCTGCTCAAGGCCTGCATTCCCTCCACAACTGTTACCAGTTAGTCACAAGCCAAGGCACTAGCCACTATAATGGGGTCAGAATGACACCTCAGAGCCCCTCAGCCACCCTGACAATCAGGTCTAAGGCCAAAGAGGGCATCCCAGGACTGGCGATCTGTTTTATTTCCTACAGATGAGAAAACCGAGACTGTGACAGAAGCTTCAGGAAATCCTAGACAGGCTCCTCCTCTCGCCTGGTTTAGGCTGGAGGTGCTGGGCATATGTCCTAAGCAGGGAGTCCAGGTAGTGATCCTAGCCTCTCAGAAAAGCCTCTTCCTCATTGGAAGTCAGCTCTTCCTCCACCCTTAGAGGACTTCTCCACCCCTGCAAGTGCCTTGGACCCCTCTACTGCCCAGGGTGGTTTATAGGAGCCCCTGACACAGGCTCATACAACTGGCCACACTACCCACACCCTCCACCCTCCACAGCTTTAACAGAACATGGCTACTCTGCTTCTTGCAGGGTAGATCAGTTTTCTAGATGAACCAAGTGAGAGGTGACACACAGACACTAGCCAGAAGCAGAGGCTGTCCCTCCTTGGAACTCCACCTTGCTGGCCCTCCCTGTCCCCTCCACCACTCCCAGAGCAGAGCCAACAAGCCTGTGTGTGGCCCCTATGCCCTTCTAGAACGGATTTCCAAGGGCAGCCCCTGAGCTCAACCTCACCTTAGACCCCGGGGCTGTGGCTTCCCCCACTCCCCGGGAAATTCTTTCCTGGAGTCAAGTGTCAGTGCCCCTCTGGCTGTCCCCTCCACTGAGCCAACAGGCCCAAAATAGCCCCAGCTGTCAGCGGGCATCCATCTCAGAAGAGCTGGGGGCAGGGCCACCAGACCCCCAGGCAGCAGGAAGACTGGGGGTAACCCTGCCTGCAATTCTCACAGTGATAGCTGCAGCCTTCCCAGTTCCCTAAGGGCAAACTGCCCCTTCCCATTCTGAGGTATCGACTCAGAGTCACAGAGGGGCCCAGATCTGGCATCCAACCCACTCTTTTCTCAGGGAGGAGACCAGGATGACCAGACCCCCTAAGGTCCCCAAGTTCCACAGAACACCATGACCTTCAGCCCATCTGACCTCCAGGAGCAAAAGTCGGCCCTCCGCGCAGCTCTGCCTCCTCACCTGTGTCTATCAGGGGTTGGAGCAGCGCCCAGGCAAGGGGCACAGATGGTGAGTTGGGGGCTGCTGGGTCTTGCCTCCTTCCTGGGGCCCAGGTCGATGTGGTTCCAACCCAGCAGCCCACACTCCTGCTGGTCCTCAGACTGGACAGGGACAAAAGGACAAGCAAATGCTGTCAGCTGAAGAAGGCTGGGCCCGCCCCTGCCCCACCCCCGTTTCTGGTCAGCCCAGCCCAGCCTAGCTCCAAAATAGCCCTGGTGTCACTGTCCAGGATTCAGTTTCACCCTCAGCCCCAAGGAGGCAAAGGGCAGGTGGTCAGAAGCTGGAAGATGTCTGTGTCTTCCCACTGTGATGTGGGCACCAGGGAGAGGGGAACTGGTCCAGCCTTCCTCAGACCAGCATCCAGGAGTGTGGTGGGGGATCAGAGTGCAGGGTCCCAGAATGGTGTCAAGAGGGTCCAGTGAGCAGTCCTGAGGACAAAACTTGGCACTGAGGACCGCCACACAAAACCAAGTCTACATCTAAGGGATCACAAGACCACACAGGGGTCTAGAATCAGCCCAAGAGGACACAAACCAACCCAAAGACCCAGGAGCACTTTAGTTTATTTATTCTTATTTTATGTGCATTGGTGTTTTGACAATATGTATGTCTGTGTAAGAGTGTCAGGTCTTGGAGTTACAGACAGTTGTGAGCTGCCATGTGGATGCTGGCAATTGAACTCTGGTCCTCTGGAAGAGCAGTCAATGCTTTTAACTGTTGAGCCATTTCTCCACCCCAGCCCCCAGGAGCATTTTAAAGGAACCCATGAACACCCAAGAAAACCCACATCTGTCCGAAGAAGGATCAAGTTTACTCCAAGGGGATTAGGACAACCTGCTCTGCTCTCCACCTGGCCTTCCTGGGACCCAGCAGTATAAGGGGACAGCCATTAGCCATACACTGATCCCTGACTCATACCTACTCTGCCCTGTCCACACCTATGACCCAGGCACCCTTGGTCCCTGTGCCATGCTCAGGCTGGCTTGCATCTGTGATGACCTTAAATGAGAGTGGAACCCTAATAAGAATCAATCTAGCCAGGGTCAAGGGGTCTGAAGTTGGGGTTGAGCTGAGCACTGACAGTGCCTGCTGCTTCATGTACCAGGCAGGACTGCCCATTCCCCCAAACCTGGAGTAGATTGAGTAGATTGTTTCTAGGGAGAACATGAGCTGGCAGCAGGGGATGGAGGATATATGGGGGGACCTTGGTCTCTTTAACCCTTAAGGAGCCAGATTGAGAAAGGCATTCAGCTCTCCCTTCCGCCCCCATTTAAGCACACAGGGAATCAAGGGGAAATGCCAAGGCTTGTCTCTTGTGGCTCCCACACTCTCTAGCTTCCCCCCACTTGCCGGTGCTGTGGGACCCAGGGGAAGAGTCAGCTGGAAGTAGGCTGGGAGCTACTCCAAACCTCCAGGCTGACCCTTATTCCAGAGTCAAGGCCGGGGTTCCGTGTCCCTGCCTACACTCTGAGCCTGTGGTAAGGGTGCTCTTCCAACTAGTATCCCCAATCCTTAGGTCAGAGAGGGCAGGAGCACTCTTGGGGTCCCTTATAGGAACATTCATGCTACTCCCAAGTTTCCCTTCTTACGGCCTCATCACCCCCCCCAAAAAAAAGCCCCACCTCTAACATGAGTACCACAGGGGAGGGGCTTTAGCATGTGAATTTCAAAGGAGATAGCACCTGATCTCCATGAGGAAAGGAAGAAATGGAAGACACCAGGCCCAGGAGCAAGATACTGAAAAGCCATGGCTGATGCACTCATGGGCTCTTACGAGTGTGCGGTGTGTGAGTATAAATGTCTGTACAAGTGTTAGTACACACATGTGTGCATGGATATGGAGACACCAACTCACATGGAGGTAGGCATGCCTCACACCTTCCCAAGGCATACATGGAAGGACAGAGAAAACATCTAGCTCCCTGGCAGCCTCCAGGGGCGTCCTGAGAAAGTGAGATGTTCTTTTGCTTGGGTGATCCCATTCAGGGTTTCATTTTGTAGCCTGGATTTGCCTTAAACTCACTCATGGTCCTCCTGCCTCAGCCTCCTGGTTGCTGGGATTTCAAGTACCCAGAACCAGGCCCGGGTCCTCTTAACTCCAGAATGGCCCTGGGATACTGGTAGCCTTCATCTTCATCTTCACCTCACTGGCTCATCCATGGCTGGGTTTTCTGCCTCCCACCTGGGTCTGAGTCTATAGTGATGTTTGCACCAAAGCTTCCTGCAGCTGCAATGA